CATGAACACTGTGATGACCTTACAGGACATGAAGCAGGCCACAGCTTGGATTTCTCTGAACTAAAACGACCTGATAGTCTGGTCACCTTTGAGCCAGCTTTGAAAACCCACTGCCACTGTTTTGTGAATGTCACTGGTCTGCCACTAGAAGGTCAACTCAGTGAGTTTTGCACTTTGTCAGTGCCTTATCAGAGCACTGTGCAATTCACGTGGCCTCATTTCCAGCGCCACGGGGTGAGAGGTGGTGAAGTGGAAAGATATGAATGAATTTATTTTTAATGCTGTGAAATAAAGCCTCTTTTCATTTGGGTATTAAAAAGTTCCCTGTGGCACATTTTACTTTATAAAAAAACACATCAACAAAAATAAACAGCAACGATAACAAAAAAGGTTTAAGGCTGTTATGACCATAAACTACAGTAAATACTTCCCAAAATGAAGTTTTTTTCAGGACCACAGCATTACTTTTGAATCTTTACAAGATGTGAAGTAAACCCTGCTTGCTTTGACTCCTTCTACATTGAACTACCAGCCATGTGTGACTTACTGTCGGGCCCAGCTACCTAAAATATTCATAGTGTCCTTGTCAGAACACATTTTTGCTGCCTCACTGAACAAACCTCTGTAGGATTCAAGTATGTGGAGGGTGCCAGTGTTTTCAAGATGACTCAGCGAATTGAAGGCTGCTTCCTTTGTGTTGAGAAAAGATGACAGCGACTCGCAGAAAATGTTCCTCTGAGATTCTTGTTCTACTGTCACAGGTGTAGGAGGAAACACTGCCATGGTGAACAGTTAAAATCCTGGCATGAGACATTCATTTATGCATGAGCCATAAGTACTGCTGCAGAGAGGAAGCTGGGAATATCATACAGAGAAGAGAGGATGACAGTTTTAGTGCATATGTAGTTTTCTACAGTCTGTGAAATAAGAGTTGTATGTCTGCCTTTTAGTACAGACGCTTTTTTTACATGTGCTGAGTCCAAGTTTATCTTAATCCTTGTTGCTTGAGCCTTACATTTCATAGAGTAATTAATCCCAGATGCCACCCCATAATCCCAGTTTTTGCTTAGCTATGTGGCTTGTCACATGGTGTTAAATGTAGCCCTTTCCTTATATTAGTAACCTGCATTGTATTTTAGAGAATGCTAATGTTTTTCTCACATGGTCAACAGGAAAAGGTCAAATCATTAGCCCATGAATGTGTTGTGTTCCTCTCTGTTATTTGATGTGGGATTTTGACTGATCAGAAATAAGTATTTAATCTAGCTTTGCGCCGAGTAAAAGGCAGGATATTATTGGACTACGACCACTGTAACACCTAAATGTTAGTATGTAAGGTAAATATGATTGATAAAAAAAAAAAAAACATTGGGTGTGCACATAAGTCTGCATAGGATAGGTCAGTCCCCCCTGTTGGACAACTCCAGTCAAAAACATGCCTGGACATAGCTCTGCTTGTTTCCCATCATGCTTTGCATTGGACTGAATGTAACTTAGTGTTTTGTTGTTTATGTCAGTATTCAGAGAACATTGCATGTCATCCTACAGCCATATTTCCTGTCACTTTAGCTCTTCATTTTATAGCGGTAAAATGGTCAGAAGACAAAGTTGCAAATTGATTGATAATGTAAAAGCAAAACCCTTCAACAATAAAAGGCAGTGATGACATGGCTCATGTATCCAATTCTGCGATCTGCCCACACAATAAATCCTACAGTGGTGGTGTCACTCTGGATACCAATTAGTTTTTGCTAATATGTGCTGTTTCTTTTCATTGTTTTGGTCAAGATCCAGTTCTTTAAACATCGTCTGGAGCTGGAAATGTTGGCTGCACTCCATCAGCTTTAATCACCACTATCTTGTCTGAGGCTGTGCTAAATGCTTGCCAGTGATTTTCATTCAGCTTTGCAGAAAGTAAAATGGGACTAAGGGAAGTTTTGCACATACAAAGCGTATTGTAAGTTAAAAAGAAACCTTAGGTGTTTGATTTTAGATCCAAGCATTATCCTTTTACCAGCTGCATGTTTTATGTTTAAAGTCATAAACTGCTCTGATTTAACAGTTTTTGCTTGCAGTGAATCATACCTCTGTTTCAGTGGCGGCTGCTGGTCTTTCAAGGAGGGGAAGCTCATTTTTCTGGCCTACATCATAATTGTATTTGTTTATTAGTATGTAACAGAACAGAGTCGCCAAACACAACGGCAGTCATTTTTAACAAAGACAAGAGTCGCTGAGGATCGGTAAGGTCTCCGGAGCAGTTAAGAACGACGGAATGAATAACTTGGAAAATGCTCTGGTAGATGTTTTATTCTTCAAGATCGCTGATTCGCTTGTTTAGCTGTCAATCAAAAAAAGATTTCGCCTCAGACAGCTCATCCAATCATGGATGCAGAAGCTTGGAGTCCGGGAGAAAGTCGGGACCGCCCTCTCGCCATAGAACTCCAGTGAAGCTGGGCTTCCGATGGGCGGGACAAAGCCCAGCATTTATCCAATGAGCGTCTAGTTTCGCTGCTGGAACAACCCACTTTAAGCTTCCACATTGAAGTCAGCAGAAGCCCAGCGTCCGGCTGTTTAAAGCGCTGAGGCGCTGCGAGGATGAATGAGAACGAAGTAATGCCGGTTACCTGTGATTATCAGCTTCTTATCACAGTGTCTGAACAAAAGATGAAGGCTTTCTAGTGCGTATTTAGTTAATGAAATGTACACACAGCAGTACGTATTTCACCACTTTTTCTTTTTTTTTGAGGGGTGACATTTTAAGGGAAGCCGAGCTTCCCTTGCAGTCTTAGAGCAATCGCCACTGCTCTGTTTGGGGGTTCTTCCTTTACAGTCCAGGCAGTGATAAAGATGAAATGTGATGCAGGTGACTATTCTTGGAAAGTAGCCATATTTTCCTCTCCTGGTGCCAGTAATAAACCATTTCACCTTGTCAGGAATGTCAAACCCACATGTATGGAATCAAAGCATGCTGTGGCCATAATACCAGCACAAGAGCTGTGATAGAGAGATTACCTTGTGTTGATAAACCTAATCTGAGTTGACTTGGTGCCTGTCCTCTCTTGTTGTCATTTTGGTTTTCATCACACTGATGAGAGGGATTTGAGGCTGAGAAAAAAGGCTCTTGTGCAGCTGTCATGAGTCCAGGTCTCCATAAACATCTTCACATGAAGACAAACACAGACATAGACAACAACACACTCATGGTCTAGAAACAAAAGCCTGAGACAATGCTGCTGAAGTGATTTTTATCCTCTAATCTTATTACCAACGCACTGAAATAGCATTTCGCTTTGCACTGCAATGGCAGGTAAGTGAGTTCTGCCTCCACTAGGTGACATCTGTGCAGTAGTGGAGAGGGATTTAGTCTGGATGTTCCATCTTAATGGACATCAAACCACTTATAGAAGGTGTGCAGTCATGACTCACCAACACCTGAAAGCAGAGCATGACAAATGGTAAGTAAATCTGGCACAGCGTCAGCTCAAACTGAATGGCTAATCCAATCAGAAGACTCAAGACACAACTTGTTAAGGAAGGAATCTGGTTGTTATGCAAAAGCCAATGAGCAAAAGAAGCCCTGGGTTAGGCTGAAGAGTAGTGGGATGTATTCTAATACATAGGGCGCCCTTAAGAGTCTGTCAGAAAAGTGCTGAATCCTACAAGGCAGATAGGGCCGCTGTGTTGACACTCACCTCTTCTCTGGCCTTGCTCTGAGGGCAAGCTGGATAATCATTACCTAATTCATTTAGTCCAGAAATCTACTGAACTCAAGCACAGGGAATCTTCCCCTCTGATAATAAATGTAAGGCAACCAAGTGAAAGAAAATAAGACATATATTCTGAGTGTCAGATCATAAAAATCTACTGTATACTGGATACTGTGTGGTAGCCCCATCCCAGGATTAAACAAATAATAAAGTGTGATCTACTACATGTTTTTAAGGTTAATTTCTTTTTCTATTTATATTTATAGACACTCATATGGTTGCTTTAGTATATTTTGGGGGCATTATTTCTATTTATTTTGTTTTCATTTAATCCATATTAGTTAACATTTCGTATATATTTATTGTTATTGTGCCAGGTCAACCTCTGTTTTTGTCCAGCAAAGTAGTCTGCACAGCCTGTCGATCTTACTTGAGCCTTAGTTTTGATAAAAGTAATAATCAGATTATCTGGTTATCTTGAAACTTCTCAAAATTAGGTCATTTTTATAAAGTAAATACATGCAAACGATTTACGCTTTATCTTGGTTGCATTACTGCATTTCTCTTTATTCTTGTCAAACACAAAATAACTTCAGTGGACTTTATAGAATACAGAATACCACACACACATATCACTGGCCTTCATTTTAGCGGTTCACTTTTAAAGCTTGTAGGGGTCAGCTGTGAAACACATGGCTGACCTCCATGTAACCTGGGATCTTTCTGGTAGGAGTCAAACCATAAAATTAATGGGGGTTTAGCCTTTTTTTTCTGCAGGCCCGTTGTGGAATGACCTGCAAGGGGAGCTAATGCACTGTCAACTTTTAAAGCTCCTGTGAGGAGTTTTTTTTTAATGTTTATACAACAGACTGAAATTCACATTCATACCTTTTCATGACATCCAAAGCAAACAAGACTGATGATTTTAGTATCTTCATTCCTAATATCTAAAACTGGTACATGAGAGGTATGTGTAGGTGCTGAGCAGCACGAGAAAAAGCCTTATTACAATCTCAACACTAAATATTTACCGCTGATGTCCACAGGGGTAACCAAAATCAGCCAACACCTAGTGATGGGCAAGGCAGTTCCTTTAGATGTACTGAATCGCTAGAATCAGTTCACTAAAAAGATTCGTTCATCGAATCACCGAGTCATTCAGCACTGAACTGGAGGAGCCTGTGACTCCGACCTCCTGAACTGATACACAGCTGAACGGTTCAGGATTCAGTTCAGATCATAGTTTCTGGGACCAGGAGACTAGAGTGTTTGGCTGCGTTGCTTTGGCAAACAGGTTCGTAAAAATGAGCTTGTTTATAAGTCATGATGTTGTAAGAGTACCCTCCTATGGTATGCTATTTATCAGGTCTGCTCGGTAAATTGGGCTCAAATGAGTGATTCGTTCACTGAACGTTTAGAAGAATTCACACTGAACATTCACTGTTCCCTCGCAAACCGCTGTAATGATAGGATTCTGCGGGTTTTATGCACTACTTGTTACATGCTGTGTCCTATTGTATGCGAGTTGTTGTGGTGGCAATTTAGCAGTAACAAAAAAAAAAGGGTTAGTTTAGTCTGGGAAAAATTATTCCAAAGAGTGTAGTTCAATGTGTGATTTGTTTACCGAGTGATTCAGGCGTCTGTATGCAGTCCCTCATTCCTTTGCCTGGCAATGCTGCGTGCTATGGCAGCAGCCCTGCTGACAGCTTCACCAAAGTGAGAAACAAATGAGTCACTTGAGGAAGAGATTCGGTTCAGTGGGCTCACTTAAAAGATTTGGTTCTTTTGAACGTATCGTTCGCAAAGGACACAACACTACAAACACCACAAGTCCCTCAAAGGAGCTTTAAATCACTTTTGAGGACTCACTATTTTAGACTTTATTTTCACTGATTATATGGTTTAGTTTTGTTGTTTATTTCATCACTGTTTGTTGGGTTTTGTCCAAACACTTATCAATTGTTGCCAGTTGACTTTTCAATTTAATGCAAGTATCTATCTATCTATCTATCTATCTATCTATCTATCTATCTATCTATCTATCTATCTATCTATGAGGATATCAAATATTTATCTTCACGGGGATGTATGGCATTATGGCAAAGACAGTGCAGCTTGCTTAAACTGCTTATGTCCTCGCAGTGACTGTATGTGTGTTTGTGTCATGCTCTATTTCATCATTCGAAGGCTGGTTCAATACAATTCCTGGAAAACTGCCTTACCTGTCTTTCAAGCGCCTTGCTCTGTATCAGGCCTACAACCGGGATTTCATCACTCTCAGAGTGGGCGTTGTAGCTCCGCCCGCTCCTCTTTGCGTCACCGGCGGCGTGGCGGTAGCTGAGGGTTTTTGTCGGGAGCGCGCCTTCCCGTCACTAGCCGACCAAGAGCGTCAGATCTAGTCCAGACTAGACCGAGAGTGGACGTGCTTCTCCTACAGAGAGGGAACAGAGACCCACCGACAAGCCGTGCCTGAAGCCGCGTTGCGCCTTTCCTCTTTCCCGAACCAACCAAACGCTGAATTCACATTAAATATGTCTAATATCGTTTGTTGTCAAACGCCTCAGGTAAGATTTTCTTTCTTTTTATCAAACACTCCGCCTTTCTGTCAAGTAACGTGGTTTTTGAAACGAGGAGAAACCGTTAAATGTGACATTTGTTACAGGGGACGCGTATTTCGGTGTCATTCCTTTATTTGATTATTGATAAGTATTTTGTTTCGTTTTTAGTCAGTGGTAACTTTGGTTTTACTCTGGGGTGAGTTGAAAATGCGTGAAACCATCGTGTAACGTTAGAGGCGCGGACAATGTCACGCCGTCGCCTTCCGCTTCACCGGCGATAACTAAGCACGCGCCTATTTGTCGTAACGTTTTACTAACGGGTAACAGTGGATAATTTTCTCATTAAACCACGGTATATTTTCACCGTAGTTCAGTTTAAACAATGAACCTGTCTCAGCCTGGCTAAACAGCAGCAGGTTGTCCATTGAGAAGGCTAACATGCTAACAGCTGTAGCGCGTGCCTCTCCATCTCGTTCCAGATTGAAGCAGGTTGGCTCGAGTTTAATGCCCACCCCGCTCGAGCAAAGGCATTTCTGTTGTCTACTGGAGATATAATCCTGGTAAAATCGAGTTAATCAGATTTTTTTGGGGTGGGTTCTCGTCGCTGACCTACTTTCCGGTGGCGGGATGTATGTCGGGGTTGGGTATATGACTCCTGGCACATCGCCAGACATCATGGCCCTGGTACAGTAGCTACTCTACCGTAGGAGGAGGAGGAGGGGGAGGCAGGCAGATTAATGGCATGTCTTTGCAGCGAATAGGCAAGCAGTAGATACAGGGTGGCTAATTGTGAGCCCTGCCTATTGGGGGATGGCATGGTCTGCCATACAGCGTGGGTACATCCTGTCCTTTACTCACCCCTTTTACAGTGCCATGTTGTGTCAGATTTTATGGGCTGTGACCATGTCTCGGCGTAATATTGATACCTCTGTGTTAAGCAGTAATGGCTGTGGTTTATTGATTATTCAGTTAAGGGGAAGTTGTCTAGCCGATCCTTAGCATTTTTGGATTCCCTGGAATGTTTTACAAGGTCTCCTGGCTGCAAGCTGCCTCACTAACTAACATGGTGGTGTGTGACCTACTGTGCTTCTAATCTGGTGCTGAATGTAGCGGCCACGTGGAAAATCCCCAAAATAGTAATGCAGATTAATGATTTTGCAAAAACGGAAAATATCCACACTGAAACATGTTCTTTAATTCTCATTTTAAATATTATATTGAGATATTAAAGCAATTTTTAGACATATCTTTGATCATAAATATTTGTTTTTGTGGTTTCACACACACTCCAGCATGAAAATGTTTACTACTGCTCTTTATTCTTTTCTGCGGAAACATCCTGATTAGATTACCCCACTCATGAGCCGATACAGTGAAGCAGTAAATTTCCACACCATAAAATTGGGTGAAATATCCAGCAGTACCTCCCTTCACCACTGGAGGGGTATCTACCAAGCACTGATTGTTCAGTGTTAGACCTGCAATTGTGCCTGAGTAATCAGATGAGAAAATGGAGCGAGAAAATACATTCAGAGCTACCCCTCTGTGACAAAGTTGTGAACAATCTCGCTCTTTCTCTTTTCGGGCTTTGTTCTCTCTCCTGTTTTGTTCTCTGGTTTTTCAAGCCTGTGCACACTTACCCTCATGTGCAGCCCACCCAAGTCTGCCTCGCATTTTGATTGTGTTTTTAAATTCTCATTATTGAAGTGAATCAGCACAGTTATCAGAATGGAAAGTCACTTCCTTAAACAGTAATAGTGATTTCTTTTAGCACAAAAATCATTATAACATAGACCTGTGACTTGAGCCAAATAATAGTGAATAATAGCGGTTTTCTTTGATTTCTATCTATTACGTCATGTAGAATAGCCTGTAAACAATGCGGCAAATACAACCAAATAACAGCATCAAACTTTTACACATTATATGAATTATTAGTCGTCCTATATTGAGCTCTGCCAGCATCATTTGTTCATTGTAATTTGCTGCTTTCAGGGACCACTGTTTTTAAGAATGTCTTGCCAGTTAACAGGATTAAGTATTTAATCACAGCCAAAATTAAAGCAGAAACTGTTGAAGTGAATCTCCCTGGAGGCAGAGGGTGTGGCCTGCCAGGCAGATAGTTTGTGTGGAGAAATGAGGAAGGAAAAAAGGCAACAGGCGAAGCGTGGTGGACCAAACCATGTGGAGGAGCTGAGCGTTTTAGCCTTAACAAGGGGCCTTCTGCCAGATATTGCATAACATTTCAAAAGTGGGTCAGTGTTTCCTCCGTCCACACACAGACACAGTAAATTATAGCTTTCCATGCCAACTTTGCTATAAAGACCGCTCAGTGCAACAACAAGACGACATTCTAGCATGTGTAATGGTGCTGGTGCATTCACCAATAAAAACGTCTGGCACATTTCCCAGCAGTCTTAGCTCAGTGGTTTAATACATTCGCCACATATCTTTCCAAAAGTTACAGCAGTGGTGCTGCAAGGCATGTCTGTATTTCTGGGATTTGTTTTTTTTCCTGAAAATGATTTACATCTTCAGTGAACACTGTCACATGGCGAACAGTGCTTTTCCACAGCATAGTGATTGAATTTTTCATAGTTCCTGTACCCCCCCCCCCCCCCTTTCTCCAAGTGACGTAGCTAACATCCTTTCCTTGTACATTTTGTCCTTTTTAATTTCCTTTGCATTGAGCTGTGTTGTGGAGGTCCGACACCACCTATGGAAAAATGTTAAAAAAAAGAAAACATTGAGTAATTTTGTCTCGGTGCAGCTCTGCCTGTTCTCTCCATCTGATACTTGTTTGTTAATGATGGCGGGGGTTTACGTTTTGTAGGTTACTGGATTGGAGTGTTGTTTTCCTCAGACCCTTCATAGTTGAATTTGATCTGGGAGTGTAACAAGTGACGCTCTGATTTACTTCAGTCAGCCGCGTGGCACTCCTTACACACGCTGCAGTGCTTATTTTTACAGGTGTTATTTCCTTTTGAAGACATAGCTTGGGTAATACTTACATAACACATGATAACTCGCTGGAATTTACGTGTTTCAGTGTGCTCGGTGCAGAGAGACGACGTCGGAGAAAATGTGGCGTCTTTACAATGAGATCTCACACATGGCCTTGGGCTTGTAAGAATGGGTTTCTGTACCTGTTCTCCACACCATCAGATTTTGGAGAATACTGTTATTATCCCAGAAGCACACAAAGAACATACTGTCTGTCTGTTTGAAGATTGTATTGTATTAACAGACAACTTGATAGCCTGAAGTATGCAAAGTGTATAGTACAGAGATCTAACATTTCTCTGTGTAAAGGTTATTTGAATTCCAAATACTTTCTTTTGTCCTTGTTGTGTCTTTGGGCTGAAATTCCTACCAGAATCACGTGTGTCTTGACAGGTGAGAGGCATACAGGGCTCCTGTCATTGTGTACTTGTGCGGTGTGCTTGCTTCTGTTCTGTTCACGGTTTTTAGTTGCAATTGTTACCTAATGATTTACATCCTGCGACTGAAATGTGCTACCGACTGTAGCCGGAGTGACGACAAGTAAATTATGCGAGTAATTCACACGTTTTCTCAAATTTGCTAGAATCACATGCAAATTGGGAAGAGACTGGTGCTAAGTTACACTACCCAGGGAAGCCTTGTCACATGGAGTGTGGCTACAGTTTCAGACTACAGGGGCAGCTGCTCTGGTCACTCTGTCCCCCTCTTTCCATAAAAGATGGTGATAAAACTGATGGAATTTATCTACTGAGCTTCAGACTGCACGTGGCCCAGTGCTCGGATGGTCATACTGAAGTGTTACATCATTTGTTTTTGTTTTTTTTGTGGACATCTTTTTTAGTACAAGAGAAGTCTTTTTGTCTGACTTATTGTAAGACTTGGCAGCGAGTGAAATCCAAACTTCTTCAGTAGCAGAACAAAGTGTCTTCAGATGAAGGTTTTGGATTGGAAGGGACATTCACATGTGGGTGTGTCTGTAGGTGGGGCTTGTTGGCCAGGATTACATGGTGTGTATGTCCCTATAATGTCCAACAGAGTGGCCGTGAAGTTAGGTTTTAAGAAAAAATAAAAGGACACTAATGAATTTCACAATTTGACTGGCTGTGAGAAACTGTCTGAAGTTGTTCCCTCCTGCATTTTCCTTATACGTCGAGATTTTCCTATAGGGAGGAGCCTGTCAGGGGGCTTGTCACATAAGATAGGGTTGGAGTGGCCTTTCTGCAGAGGGAGAGGGGACAGAGTGAAGGCGAGCGATGGATTAAACAGTCTTGTTTGGCCTGGTTGGACAAAGCAGCAGGTGTGAGGATTAAAAGCACTAAAAGAAGGTAGTTTGAAAAGGAGGCGTGTCAAGAGCATGGATTTCGCTACCAAAACTATATGGCTCGTGGTGTATCCTGAATAAGGTAGTCTTTTTTTTTTTTAAAGAAAATTTTTTTTAATTGTAATTCATTTTTAAGTTTAAAAACATTTAAAATGTTGTGAGCTCTGCTGCATGCGTGGAGGATGCATGTCTAGTCTGAAGGACTCTGAAATATTTAAGAGAAGAGAATGGAGGGCCCTGTTCTCAGCTGCCTCGATTTAGCACATGGAGTGACTCGTGTTAGCATTTTATGGGTGCCAGAAACAGTCGGCACTTATTTCACAGTGAATTATTTCGCTGTTAAATAACAAAACTCATGACCTTTTTCCCTTTCTCGTTTCCTCCTAGGTTATAATGTATGACCAACACAGAATAAGTACAACTCTATAGCCAACGGGATCTCGAGGACTTGATTACAGTCGCTTCAAGCCTGATAGTTTGTCCGTGCGGCTGCTCCCCCTCTCCCTTCTGCTCACGCTCGTTTAGTCGACTGGCATTTCTTCTAACAACTTCCCATCCCTCTCCGCGGGTGAAGAAGACTTGGATTCCATTGTGATTTCAGTCTGCTTTGCCTGTTGCCTACCTTTGGTCCCTGTTCTACTCTCAGCAGTGGCTCTTTCCTGGATTTACATTACACTCCATTAGGTAAGACCATTACTAACGCATAGAAGAGATTAATCTAATCTACGATGTACATTGTAGTCACTTAATCCTAATCCGCTCTCTGGTCATCAATTAATAAATCTGACTATTGCAGTGCTGTAGAGCTGAGAGAAATGTGCAGGAAGTAAGATGTCTCGTGCTAAAACAATCATTTTTGTGTCTTTTCTCTGCAGAAATACCTGCAAAACTTACCAAGATGATTCCAAACGGTTATTTGATCTTTGAGGATGAAAGTTTCCTTGACTCCACCGTGGCCAAAATGAACGCTCTGAGAAAAAGTGGTCAGTTCTGCGACGTTAGACTGCAGGTACGTTTGATGCCAACTCCCATAAACTCACACACGGGCCTGGAACCTTTTCAGTCACTCTGTAAAGTTGCGGGAAAAAAGAGAGAGAGGTTTAAGAATTCATAGCAGTTTAAAATGTACACGGCGTCAGTGCAACAAGTGTGAATGTTATGTACAGAATGTACAGTCTGAATTTTACACAGTGCAGTTTTGTGTCTAACAGACGAACAATTCATCTTTCTTTTTTCTCATGAACATTGCAAACTGAAAACTGTGGGAATGATTTGGCTGTTTAATGCAGTGTTTTCCATCATATTACAGTTCTTCTCTTATCTCAATATAAGACCTAGAATCAGATCTCTGAGAAACTTCAGCAGCCTATTGGGAACACCACAAAGAGGACCTCATTTTTATCCATTTATTTACAGTTTTTTGATCATGCCCTTTGTGAGTGATAATTAGTGATAATTTCTGTATCACTAACATTAAACCAAAATGTATTATGGCAGCTTTTCTCCAATTTAACAAACTTGACCATCTGCTGATTTTCCCGTCATCTGTCTTTTTACTTCAGGTGTGTGGTCATGAGCTGATGGCTCACCGTGCTGTTCTGGCTTGCTGCAGTCCCTACTTGTTTGAGATCTTTAACAGTGACAATGAGCCTCATGGAGTCTCACATGTCACCTTTGAGGACTTGGACCCAGAGGCTGTGGAGATCTTGCTCAACTACGCCTACACTGCCCAGTTAGTAGCACCTTTGACATCCTGCCCTAGGCCCTGTCACAGCAAGGTTCCAACCTTTGACTTGAAATGACGTCCTCGCTGTGTTTTCTCTGTGTAACACAGGCTCAAGGCTGACAAGGAACTGGTTAAGGAAGTTTATTCTGCAGCCAAAAGGTTCAAGATGGAGCGAGTCAAACAGGTACATCCTCAGCCTTTTTAAAATGCCCCAATGCTGCAAATCTTTAATCACGTATGAATATTACAAGCCACAAAAAGCTGAACGCTCACTGTCATCTCACCTCTCAGATTTGCGGCGACTACCTGCTGTCTAAAATGGATTCCCAGAACGCCATCTTTTTACGCAACTTTGCCAGCTCTATGGGAGACGGCAGGGTTTTGGCCAAGGTGGACCTCTTCATCCAGGACCATCTACTGGAAGTGTCTGAACAGGAGGACTTCCTCAAACTTCCCCGCCTTAAGGTACTAGATCTGGTTTGCACACAAGCCTCAGTATAAGTTGTTATATAACTCAGTATAACACTGCTGATGGAAACTGTTAGAGAAAGCCTGAAGCTGCATACAATGACTGCTGACAGTGGCGGCTGGAGGGTGTTCCCCTTGCTCCTGCATAGAAGCGAGTCAGAGGCCTCGGCAGGATTACTCTTTGTATTTTTAACTTTGACACGAGATTAAGAATACTTAGCAGAAGTAAAATCTATATGAGGCACACCCCATACTCTTAAGTCCTGCTGAGGATGTATTCAGGACAGGGGTCTTACTGGAATGCAAAGGCCCCAGCGTAGGCAGGTTAGAGTGTGCAGCTCCAAGTTCAACTGCAGGACTAAAAGGGAACTCTACAGCTGAGGTTGTGCAAGTCTGACCCAAAAAAAGAGAAGTGGGTTTTGATACAGATACACAGAAATGCAAACTGTTGAGCCTTGATTTTGCAGTATTCTGATTTAGGATTGTACATTATTGGGCTGTGTTGAAAGGATTAGTTGGGTAGGTAAGTGCTTGAAATACTAAATATGATCAACTAGTAAATAACTATGTATGATAAATTCTTGGAGGGAGTATGCCAGATTAAAAAAAGCTTAATATTTTACTTCTGAACTACAAACCTGACCTCCTGTATTGATTACTATGACAAGCATCGATGACTTGCAGTTATCTACACTATTGCTGCTCTCTTCCTTTAGTCATCAGGTTTTTTGCTCCAAGAGAAGTCGTCTCTGTAATCGGGCAGACAAAGCCTGTTGGGACATTTGAAATGTTTATTTCAAACCTGTTTTCCAGATTAATGTCTTGTGTGGGCGGGTTCAGTGCAACTTAATACAAAGCTGAGGTGGATTCAGTCGCCATGGCAAAATGAAGCTATAACAAAGTTAATGAGTCACATATCCTCATTGTCAGGTGAATTAATGACAGGATCCAGTTTTCCAGTAGTAGAGGGTATTGTATTCTTTTCTTTAGTGAAGCAGTTACTTAATTCCCTCTATGTGCGGCACTGACTCCCCTTTCTCTTCCTTTTGTGTGTTTACAGTTAGAAGTAATGCTAGAAGACAACCTGACTCTGCCCAGCAATGGCAAGCTCTACTCCAAGGTACTCAGCTGGGTGCAACGCAGCCTTTGGGAAAACGGAGACCAACTGGAACGACTTATGGAGGAGGTCAGTACCGGGCCGTGGAGTCTCGACTCTCATTCCCACCCCGCCCCTTCCCCTCCCGCTGACTCCTCCTGTTTTTGACGTTAAGAAGTCATGAAGGGGGCTGAAGTAGAAATGGCATGCCAATGTCATGCTGCTATGTCAGGACTGTTGTTTTTTTCCCTCTGATTTGTTGAGGTTTTGGCAGTAAGACACTCTGTTCCCCTGAACCATACTACAAATTAGAGGTGAGCTGAAAGAGCGGATGTTTGCTCTTGTTTTTTTTTTGTTTTTTTACACTGTTCTCTCTTGGGTATGTGGTTGGTTTTGAATACACCCCCATTTGAGTATTACAGTGCTCCTCTCCTCTGAAACACTAATCACAGGTTCACAAAGGTCCTCAAAAGGTCTGACCCTTAATTTTACTGTCTCACTGCCACTTTTAACTATATCTGCACAGGTGCGTGTTTGTCGCTCCAGCACTAACAGGCGCTCCTCCCCATTGATTTATCTCTCCTGTAGGTTTATTAGCAGCAGCAGGAGACCAGACTGAGGAGCCAGGACTGAGCCACCAGGGTAATGAGTCAGAGAAAAGAGAGAGAGAGAGAGGGAGGAGAGGAGCACTACTGCCTCTCAGCAGCCTCTCTTTGCAGCCAAGCAACACTATGCTCCCATCTGTCCATGCCACATTTACAGATGCATCTCATTTCTACATTTACCAACACCCACAAATCACAGCCTTTTAAAAATACAGGCATCACATTGTCATACAGACCTACTTTTCTTTGCCACATAACTTGACATTCTCACCGGCACAGTTAGACCTGCTCACCGGCGTTGGACAGAAAACAACACTTTCCATTTGCGATTGATTTGCTCATCACAAATTTTTTATTCAGCCCAGTTATAAATCATTTAGCTAAATTCAAAATAACCTAATAGTTTCCATCAACATCTCATATTTTTACAAAACTGCAAGATCTTGGTTCTTTTTTTTTCCCCCTTCCAAAATTGGCCCCTTAGACGGGTATCTGAATAATTTAGTACTATAATTACTGACGAATGTTGCTTCTCTCAAAAGACTGTGCTTTTATATTTTGTTTGTTTGGAATGGTGGGTGGGTAAAGCTGAAGAAAAGCTTTTAAAGGCATACTGCTCTATAGTCATCTGGATTTGACTGCCTATTGTTGCTGCCAACACAATGACCAACTCCTTCAGCTAGAGGACCTGGTTTCCAGGCAGCAGAAGTGAAAGGAGGGCCACAAGCAGCCCCTCCTCCTCCTCCTACTCCTCCTCCTCCTCCTCCTCTTCTTCACTCTTCACAGAAGATCTTTCCAGATGCAGCCTCACATTCTTCTCCAGCTTCTTTTTTTAGATGCAAATTAAAGAGATTCTCCGTCTGATACCGTCTTAAGCTGAGAAACGCAGCAGCGTGTGTGTCTTTTTTTAAGGAAGCTTTCCATCCAAGCCACTGAAGATCCAAGCCTCTATCCCCTCCCCCCTCTTCCTCTTCACAGCACTGCCCCCCTCCTCCTCCTCCTCCTCCTCCCTCCTCCTCTTCCCTCACTCTTTTCCCCCTTATGCTGGGGCTCTTAGTGTGTTGCCATGGAGACAGCCACATGGGTGTGTTGTTCCTGTTTGTCTTGCAGGTGCAAACGCTGTACTACTCACCTGACCACAAGCTGGTGGATGGAGGGCTGGTGATTGAGGGGCACAGTGAGGTGTTTGGTGGCGAGGAGGACCACCTTCAGTTTGTGCAGGTACTCAGCAGCTTGTGCCTGGCTTCTTTGCGGTGAAGTCTATTACATTTCGCTTGGCAGTGTCCAGCACTCTTTCAGCTTGTGCCTGGCCATGCATAAAAATACACCGCCTGTGCCTGGCTACAAGACAATATGGCTTATTTATCTTTTTACAATTTAGCCACAATGTAAAGTCAAACGGCAGCGGATTAGCTCTGATGCCTGCCTGGCTAAAAGCTAATCTCAATCTCTTTCTGACGCCTCCTATATTGAGTTTGGCTGAGCGTCTCGCTGTTAAATCTGATCGTGACATGGTCTGAGAGTAGTTTGCAGTGGTGGGTTGCTGGATTTCAATGGCGAGATTATAATGAACATTCGGTCAAGGTTTAGTTCAGCCCGAATCAGAGTGTAGTTGAGCTGGTGTTGGCCCCTGGCCTGTGGTGAAAGCCTGGCTTCTGTAGCTGCAATGTGCTCTTGCAGAAGAAACCGGTGCGAGAGAGTGCCCAGAGACAGATGAGCTGCAGCTCCTCAGGAAGCCTGTCGCCCTCCAACCAAGCAGCTAACGCCCCAAAACAGACGGCCAGGAGAGAGTGGAAGTACATTGCCTCTGAGAAGACCACAAGTAAGTGTGTTTGTGAGCGACCTCGAAACTTAAATGTCTTTTTACAGTGAATGATTTTCCTGCAACCAATCACAGCAAGTGTCTCTTAACACTTTCCCTCTGTGACTCTAGACAACACCTACCTATGTCTGGCTGTGCTGGACGGCGTGTTGTGTGTGATCTTCTTGCATGGCCGCAGCAGTCCTCAGACCTCTCCCTCTGCCACCCCCTGCCTGATGAAGAGCCTCAGCTTCGAGGCCCAGCCCGAGGAGCTGGAGGAGCAACCGCTGTCACCCATGCACTACGCTCGCTCCGGCCTGGGGACTGCAGCTCTGAATGGGAGACTCATCGCAGCAGGTTAGCACCACATAGGGTCACCAGTGTACTGCATGTCTCCTGCAGCGCTCTGTAAAGTCCGACCATAGATAAATGATTCATTAAAGGATCAGTGTCCTCAGTTTTTATCATTCAAATGGGATTATGTAAACAAGCAGTGTTTAACCTGGAGTCATGCTGATGCTCCCACAGGAGGCTACAACAGAGAAGAGTGTCTGAGGACTGTGGAGTGTTATGACCCCAAAGAGGACCGCTGGACTTTCATCGCTCCCATGCGGACTCCGAGGGCTCGGTTCCAGATGGCTGTGCTCATGGTGCGTTTTACGACCCGTCTTTATCTCCAATTTAGTGACTCCACAATAAACTGACACGGGTGCTTCTTTCCTCTGTTTGAATAACTGTCTTGTGCAAATAATTAGGCGCTGTTTTACACCGTATGACCCCGCTCCGATGTTTGAGCTTCAGTTTTTATTGTCTTTTTATCAGGAGGTGCTCCTAGCTTCGAGTGTATCAGGCAGTCAGGCTGTTGTATAACTCTACGACACCATGCTCTCTCTCTCTCTCAGGGTCAGCTGTACGTGATTGGAGGCTCAAATGGTCATTCTGACGAGCTGAGCTGCGGGGAGAGGTACGATCCACAGGCTGATGAATGGGCTCAAGTGCCAGAGCTGAGGACCAACCGCTGCAATGCAGGTGAGTCCCTCCTGCAAGGACTCAGTGAGTGTTTCAGAGCAGTCTCTCTGTGTACTTTATATCTCACTCCTGTCCTCTCTGTTCGCAGGAGTCTGCTCATTAAACAACAAGCTCTACGTTGTGGGAGGGTCAGACCCCTGTGGGCAGAAGGGCCTGAAGAACTGTGATGCTTTCGACCCTGTGACCAAAACCTGGTCCAACTGCGCCTCCCTTAACATCAGTATGTACACTCAAAAACTCCAAACCAGTTTTGTGTTCAGTTTTGCTGCGTGAAGGAAAAAAATGACAAGCTGTACTCATTGAAAAATGTGATTTCAGGGAGGCACCAGGCTGCGGTGTGTGAGTTGGAGGGCTTCATGTATGTGATCGGAGGGGCGGAGTCGTGGAACTGCCTGAACACAGTGGAACGCTATAACCCGGAGAACAACACCTGGACCCTGATCGCCCCTATGAACGTGGCTCGCAGGGGCGCTGCTGTTGCTGCCCATGCAGGTGAGGATAGTTGAACAGCACGATGTTGGCTTCGTTAATATTTAATACAGAATGTTGGTTCACGTGTCATCCATCATTTTGTCGCATTATGCTGATGACGCGTCTCCTTTTGTCCAGGCAAACTATTTGTCGTTGGCGGTTTCGACGGCTCCCACGCACTCCGCTGCGTGGAGATGTACGATCCCGCCCGCAACGAGTGGAGGATGCTGGGTAGCATGACATCATCGCGCAGCAACGCAGGCGTGGCCATGCTGGGGGAAACCATCTACGCTGTGGGCGGCTTTGACGGCAACGAGTTCCTCAACACAATAGAGGTGTACAACCCCGACACAGACGAGTGGAACGACTGCACCCAGTCCCTCTCTCCCCTCTCCGACTAAGAGGAGGGGGGCGACAGGGACGGAGGAGGAGGGAGAGAGAGAGAGGGTTGGGGAGTTTCACAGTGCTTCACCTTTTTCCAAACTAACAGGCTTAGTGACGTAATCGTGTTTCGTGATGTTCAGTGTGTATGAGCGGATATGTGTGGGTGGGAGGGGGTGGGAGTTGTGGGACGAGGGGTCTTCAGTGAAGACTGGCTTCTATTTGGTGTGTGGGGATATATTGGGTTGTTGCCCGTTAGCAACATGACGCCTTTGCATATTGCATACAATGTTTTTCTGTGCTGTATATATTTTGTTTCTTCCTCATTTTTGTCATATGCCAACATTTAATACACACTTAGTGCTTTTCTTTTTCTCTTAGAGTTGAAGGTTTGTCACTTTGAGGGTTTTCAGATGAGCTAGCGTCAGTGGTCACTCGGACGGTGGCAGTATGGAGTGGTGACAGTTGACTTTTGACAGTTCAAAGTTTTATTTAAGAGTATTTCTGTTGCAGAAATGTAATTTTGCTCACATATTTAAAGGTCAGTGGGTTGAAGCCTTACTCTGAGTGCGAGTTGATAAACACCTGTAATGGCTTTTTGTGTCATTTTAAACAAGCTGGAATTGCTTTTTGAATCTTAAACAATGGCCTTTTTTATATTTTTTATACACTGCTGATTTACTGAAATAAAATAATAGTAGCAGACAGCTTCGGTCAATGAATCTAACCAGTGCCAGTTTTAGTTACTTTTTTTGTGCACACACCACACACGCACAACCATGCTTCTGCTAACCAAACTTTTGTTATTGTGATTTAAACTAACTGATGTATGTAGAGATGCAGTTTACTGAAGATCCTTTTTTTTTTTTTCTTTGGTGTTTTAAAGTGTCAGGCATTGGCAGATTCTTCTGGAAGGAATGTTAGAGCGAGAAATTTATCACATTTGTAACATTTCTTAATTAATAAATCATTTAAATCTACTTTTTTGTCTTTGGACTGTTTTCTGAGTTATTCATTTTTTATCTGTATTTCTTCCTTGGACTGAGTTTTTCCAAACACAGGGAGTTATAGACAAACATTTAGATGTCAAATCTCTGACCTTGAATTTCAGCTACAATTCCACCTGACTCCATCCTGGTTTGCCGTCTTCCTCAGGGACTACAGCACTAATCCAGGTTTTTTCTGCTCGTCTAAGTGTCTTTTTAGGGGAGATTATACTAAACTGGCTCAGACCTCAGCAGGAAGGGCGGGCGTCAATCTTTCTAAGGTGTTAAAAATAGGACCAGCTGAGCGGGCTGCATCTGCATCACTTCAGTCTGCCAGTCAGTTTTTCTCAAATCCCTAACCTGCTCTCATTCACAAGTTAGCCTTTGATAATCCCCGCTGACACACCTGACAGTCACGACTAAGAAATCGGCAGCATGTGGACCACGTGCTCCAGGAAGCGGGGGCTTAGCGCTCAGACACCGATGAGTCTGTGCTGTTTGCTTTTATCCCTGCAATGTGTGAGGGCAAATGTCCAGTATGGCTTCTCTCTCACATAATCAACAGGAAACATGTTTTGGCAGCTTCCTCTTTCAGTTTGTGTCATCCTCAGAGGACAGGGACTGAAACAAGCAAAAATGGCATTTAGGTTAAAGCAAAGAAAGAGGAGACAAAAGGTTTTCCCCCCAAAATATAAGAAATATTGACCACATCTACATGGCAAATGCTGTCTTACAGCTGTGGCATGGATTCTAACTGTAAATCAGATGAATTATCAATCCAGCAATAAAAAGCCATGATGATTACGACCTGACAGAACAGTGTCCAATGTTTCAAGGTGGTACAAAATACCTGATAACCCATTAGCGACTAAAAGAAGAGTCACTTCCTTGCTAGTATCACTATTACATTACATTACATCCAGCACGTACAGAGAGGCCCTAGACAGACACCAGTTCACATAATTACTCTTTCCCAGTCATTTTCCATTTTCAGTCTTCCCTTGAGATACCTCTTAATTTAACATCATTTCCTCATCAACAGGAAATTACCCGGTTACCACAATAAAACCAGCTTTTTTTTCTCTTGGGATGAAGATAAATTAATCTTATGTATCTTATTTTGTTTCACTGAAATAAGAAAAAACAAGCTGAGATCTCAAGAGTACCACTGGAATGATGCACCACAGGTCGAGGTTTTTAGAGTTTGCCCAATGAACACCGCCTGTAGCTCATGTTGCACCAGTGGAGGGATTGATTCCTGAGCCAGGCATGATTTGGTGCACACCATCCAACCCTCGCCTCTCCCTACACACACTGTCTGATTCTTCCAGGCTGTATTATCAAAAAAAGGTGCTTTTTGCCCCAGGAACTACGGACCTTTTGAGGAACTAGGTTGCAGATCTGCCTCTTGAAAAGCCTCTGATCGGGGTGGGGGGAGTACTTTTCCAATGACCCAGGGATTGATGATCTCATTCACAAAGACAGGTAGTTCATTTACATATAAGATACTGGTAGCTTTGTGCACAGACACACACAGAGGAGGGAAGAGAGACTCTGGATCCAACATAACTTCTGTCATCTGATTGGTAAAACAGTGGATATACATTAATTTTGATTTTTGATGTACATTTTTCCATCTCAATAGGAGCCCTGTCCCTGTGTTGCATCCACGCCCCCTCCATTGATTAAATGAAACAGGAAATGGACTTCCAACCTCCGCTGACCCTCATTATCCCTCCTCCCCCGTGTGACGTCCGATCGCCCTAACCCCTCTGTGTGTCACAGCAGCAGCAGGTGTAATCTCTGCCTGTCTGCTGGCGCCACCTGAGCTCTAATCCCCTTAGTTACCAAACGCACCCATGCCGCACATAAAGCTGCATGCGCCCTCACTCAGGTTATCAATCACAGAGCACAAACTGAAGCTCAAAACTGAGCCTGAAGGCAGTTCTAACAAGGACTCCACCATTAATGGAAGTATGTGACACTGATGAGGACAAAGGGACTCAATACTTTGACACATTTCTTCTTTTAGTACAAATATTGAACTCCTTCACATAAAATATACTTTGCTTTTGGGTTATTTACATACTCACTTAAAAAAAGGATTAAAAAAAATCAAATCAAGACCAGCAAAACCTAAAAATGTGGATTCTCTGCACAATACCCTTTTGAAATCAAGCTTGTACCCCTTTTCAACATAACTGTGATGTTCACCCACTGCTCCAGATGACAGAAAAAAGCCAGTCAGCTGCAGCATTTTACAGAAACGTGAAAATAATGCTGACTCATACTCTGCTCAGATTAGCAAAGACTGTATGACAAAGTTACACAGGAGAACTGAGGCTGACATTTATGGGGTGACGCTGGTTGCCTGGTAACCTCATGGTGACATCAAGGCTACATGAGGTCATAACCAAAAATAGCCATGAGACAGGGGCGTGCCTAGATATGTGGCGAGGGGTGGCACTGGCCCCACTTTAAATCTGATCGGCCACCCCAGGTACAGCCACAGAATCCTAAACAATGATTGGCCAGTTGCCCTGTAGGCTGGCAGAAGCTTTCACTGTAGTGTAGCACTTTTTCGCATCTTTTTCACATCTCAAAATACTAGGCTTAGATTTTTGCCTTGCTGGTGTGTTGCTTTTTAAAATAAATATGACACTTTGTTTAAATAGAAAGCAATATTGCACATGCGCCACCCACCCCAGCCCACATAGGAGCCCAAATTTGGCCTACCCCTTGGAAAAAAAAAGTCAGGACATGCCACAGCTAGGACCAAACTACCATAAAACCAAAGATAATTATTGTAACACTGCGTTAGAGCCAATGAAGTGAGCTGGTTTTGTTCCTTTCCAATACAGCTGGGCTAGCTGTTTCCCTCTGCTCACAGTCTTCACGCTAAGCTATGCCAATCACCCCCTGATTTCGCTTTGTATCTAACTGACTAACATAAAACCGGTATCTTCTTTTTTGTGTCTTTTGACAACAAACTATCAATGAGAGTCAGAAGTTTTGGGGTGAAGTTGGAGAAGAGGCGACATTTCAAGAGGGTCTGTGTTGAACAGTGGTAAACCGTCAAATACAGTAGAAATAAAGATTGTCATTTAGTACATTTAGGGTGTTGCTGCACTGAAAACATTCATAAGGTCTAAATATAGCTTTCACTAAATAAGAGTTCTGCACATTATGAACAAATACACAATTTCGAACAACACTGAACATAAACAGCACTATAAACACATTAACATGTTAACTCTGTATTCTATGTGCACATATGTTTTAAAGGCTTGCTGTGTTAGTTATAAAAAGCCCGGTTGAAGATTTCATTAGAGAACATAAACCCGGTTCAGCTAAATTCAACATACTGGAGAAAAAAAGTGGGTTTCAGTCAAATGTAGAAGCTCTGAAAGACAAAAGACTGAAAATATCCCTGACACATCCAGGACAACAGAACGAAAACATCCTTCACATGTTATATGTCAACAGATAAAACAAAATAAGCAAACAAGAACCAGTGAAACAGCACAAGCTGACGTCCCTTTGGTGTTCAGGTCTTCAAGTAAAGGACATCAGTCTAAGGCCTCTGTGTAGTTCAAGTGTAGACTCTCGGATTCTGGTCCAATCAGGACTGAGAGGTACAGGTCCAAAGACAACGATCCAGGGCCCCTTTTAGTTCCAATAAACAATTTCCTCCAGCACTTAGCTTCTCCCTGAGGACAAAAATACAGAAATGTGTAAGAAGTTTTTTTTTCTCTGTTAAAAAGTCACGTAACAGTGGAGGGGTACTCACTTAGAAAATAGTATGAATGGATTTTCTGCTGGTCTTTCTGGGTTCTTTTATTAAATCTGAAGAAAATGGTGCGGACGTCAAAACGACAGATTCTACCGTAAATCTGTTTAAACTCCTGGTTCTGTTCCCACACAGCTGTGAGTGATAGAGCTGGTGTTTTAAGAGCTAATAACTGACTAAACTGAGGCGGTTTATCATTTTAATTATCTTATATACCTCTGTCACAAATTTGTGGATCCAAGTCCTAAAAAAAACCTGCATCTCTCCAGTGTGTCTGCTGCCCGACATGTTGTGTTTGCCACGCATTTGTAATCATTATTACTCATGTCCAGATCTGTACATTTCCTCCTTCCTGTCAACTAAACTGACACTTCTCTGTACAGTATACAAACTTCTCCTTTTCCTACAAGAATATCAAAAGACATTCCAGTTGGATGACAGAATACAGTTTAAAGGTGAATTAATCTTTTAATACCTGGAGGAGCAGCGTTTTAAACTTCAAAATAAATTCAGTCATGTGTTCAGGACAGAGTGTCCGTGACTAACAAAGAGCCTCTGTGTCCACTGATGCCTCTAAATGGCAGCTATTTGCGCTCATTTTTCTTCATTTGAATTTTATATTCTTTTGCTAACATGCGACATGCATCCTTGCAGTTAGAATTGCATCAAGAGAACACACAGCCAGTCTTTAGCATGAACACAAACACGGCTCAACAGGCTGCTACAGTCTTGGTTACGGCTGCTTAGCAGCGGCAGACACACTGAGGAGGCTTGTTCCTTGTTTGTTTCCTGCTCTGCTTTGTTTCCATTCAAACGTTACATAACCTCCGGCTGAAAAACGGAGGAAAGAGAGAGCAGAATGTGCTGGGTGTTGACGGCCTCTTTTTTTTTCCTATTCACTCCCCAACCCACCATCCGTCCACTTCTTCATCCAACAGGACAGCTGTGTGTTTTCATAAACTGTGGAAATGGAAGGTCGTGTTTGGTCTGTCCACTCCGCCTGGGTTTATCCCAGAATGTGCTGCTCTGACACACACATGATCTGAACCACATTCCAGTGTGTTCTGCAGACAATGGGACAGCGTGACATGTGTTTGCATTGACACCTATAGACCCTTTAGTGAGACACATTGGTCACGTCCAACAGCATCAGGCTCCAACAAGAAGAATCTCTGAATGTATTCACACAAAGTAAGTGACGCACAGAGGCACTGACCCACATCCTCCGTGTATACACAAAAGAGGCAGAGCTGTGTGGCCTGACGGGGTTACATAACAGCCCACATGTGATTGACAGCTAATTGATGGGCCCCCAGGAGACAGACAACGATTTGTACTGAATTAAACAGAGAAGCACATGATGCACACAGATGACATAACTGATAACTGCTCCCCACTGGCCAATCATCACTTCCTGAACATGATTATTATCTGCTGTCTGACTGGATGTACTCTTCAATATCAGGAGCAAAACAAATACATTAGACGGTCCTGTTTTTATATAAATATCATCAGCTGGTTCCCAAAACATTACATTTTCCTATTTTTGCTCATGTTTTGTATTCTTCAAAATAAAAGGCTTTATTTTTCTCCTTTTTGTTTCCTTACCCACGGTTTGGTCTTATGTTCCAAGACTTTAAAAGCACTGTCAGGGCAGGGGTGCACAGAAAATACAGAAACATTTTCTCTTACAGTCTCCTGATTACTAGGTATTTACCTGGTAATAACATGGTTACTAAAATCACATTATTATATATTTACTAATGTAATAGTTAGTTAATACCCTTTCTTTTACAGTTCCGTGATTACTTGGTATTTACCTGGTAATAACATGGTCACTAAAAACACATAACTATGTTATTAACATTGTAATTATATTAGTTAACCCTGGCATTTACAGCTCCCCAATAACTAGGTATTTACCTGGTAATAACATGGTTACTAAAAAACATAATATATATTAACCAATGTAAAATTTGGTAAATAACCCTTTCTTTTACAGTCCCGTGATTACTTGGTATTTATCTGGTAATAGCATGGTCACTAAAAACACATAACTATGTTAGTAACATTGTAATTATCCATTAATTTACACTCGCACTTACAGCTCCCCAATTACTAGATATCAACCTTGTAATAACATGGTAACTAAAATCACATCATTATGTAATAACAAATGTAATAATTAATTAAGTACAGAGAAAAACCTCTTCTATTACCCATCAATTCAACTAAAGAGAGAGTTTTGACCGGTTTAGTACTGCAATAACCATGACTACCTTAATGCCTTGTAACTTCCTGGTAAATATATGGTCATAAAATTATCATGTAATAACAATGACTAGAAAATCAAAAGAAAAACTACAGCTCAAGTTCTACAGTAAAACCAAGTAGTTAACTGTGAAGTACCACCTATATTCTGAGCTAATACAAAGTCTAATCTGTATAGTTACAACATGTTTATGGGAGCCAACCTTACATATACTTTCCATGTCACATAGAAACAACATGTTAAGTACAGAGAAAAACCTCTTCTATTACCCATCAATTCAACTAAATCAAAATCATGTTCAACATATGAGCCAGATAACTTCTGCAGTAAGTCAGAGATCATCTAGGCTTTATTGTGGCTTCACTTTCCATCTTAGGAGAAGCATGGAGGCATGACGTCCAGTCAGTAAACAACAATGATGCAGCTGAAAACAACGAAAAATAATGAAATGATATACTCTTGTAGTCATTAGAAATAAGATTTAATTTGAAGGATTAACTGCACCGTAATGCATTTCCCAAAGAAGTGTTTCAAATAAAAGGACAGCAAGGAACAAAAACAGCTTTGGTCTTTTTTGATGTGACTAATCCCTCTCCCTAAAGGACGGTTATTTCCATGAAACAGCAGTGCAGCGTTTTCTTGGTCATTGGGTCTGTTACATAATATAATGTTCAAATATTATGTTCGAGATAATGCCGAGAGGGGAGCCTGCTATAAATAAGAACCTGGTGTTTAAGGTTGTGTCTGAGGCAATCTATTATATAAGAAATGAAATGAAAGCTGAATGATGACGCCAGGACTGAGTGTGAGCACATGAATACAGTTAGAGCTGAGGCATTAGCCCATCAGCTGTTCACTCATTATAAAAATATTTCATTCTATTTTACAGGTTTTGTTATTTCAACTTTTGTAATAAACTCAATTTTGTCCACCCCTGTGGAGAAAGCAATCTTTGATTATCTTGTCCTCTGCATGCTTAAGCCTCTACATGCTTAAGTTGTGTTTCCTGACAAAAGTATCTTTCTGCTGACTTTTGACAATCAAATGTGTCAGATTTCCTGAAAAGCAAGGCTGTTTCTTCAGCTGCTGTCACCTACCCCCCTAACTCCACTTTAACACATAAAAAATGACAGAATAAAAACATATCACTGATGGTCTTATTTGTCTCTGTGTATCATAAAATGCTCCAATATGAAGATAAATCTATTTGATTTATGTCTAAAAACCCTCACAGGAGCTTTAATGATTGAATCTGCAAACTTGTAGGCAGAGTTTTCTACAAACTGATCTCTCATTCTGAACATAAGCTGCCCCAGAGCAGATACAGAGTTCAGCATAAGTTCCCATGGTGGTCTACCCCAGCAGGAAGTAAGAAATGAACCACCTTCAAAGAACTGAAAACCCCCTGAAGTTACCTTGATATCTGGAAATCCTGCTTTGTAGTGCAAACCCCAAAGAGGGAATTACAGACAACAAAAACAAAAAATCACAATATTAATAAACAAAAAGAAAATATCATGTAAATCTGAGGCAGCTAATGGTTATAATATTGTTTTTAATGTTATAATTATTAACCCTGATTTATGCAGCCCTAGTAATAACCTTCAGCTAAGCTATTAAAAGCCGTCCTCCATAAAGCCTGATAACACATCCACAGGTGTAAACAGACAGGTGTTCCTCTGCATGTTTCCAAACAACACCAGGGAAATAACAGACAGTTGGTGCGCCACGGCAAAAACACAACAAGTAGGTCATGAGAGATGTAAGGCTGCATGAATCCACATTATCATTGGACCTGAATGTATTCCTGCAGACAGCAAACTGAGCAGAAAAACACCAAAACTGTAGTCTGCTTTGTTTTGTTCCACTTCCTCCCACTCTCTTCAACAAAAACGCTATAAAACTGAGATAGCATAAAGGAATGAGCGTATATAAAGTGGATGAAAGTGTTCAAAGGTATTTAAAGGTTCTCTGCGTGCTATAGCTGCCCCATAAACAAATTATAGCTTTACTTCTGTGTGCGTATATATTCTCACAGATGCAGAAGTACAAACAGCTAAAGAGAAGAAAGGAAACAGGCCTTCAAATGAGAAAAACATCCAAAGACTGAGAGTTCAGAGCTTTCAGGCCAACAGGTCTTCATCGGGGATGATTTTAAGTACCGAAGACACTAATTTGTAAAAGCTAATCTGCTGAGAGCTGCTCGTAATGACCGCACGCACCCCTGTAAAAGGCCTCCCCGAGGCTTTATATAACGTATGACATCATTCCAGAGCACGGAGCGCAGGAATCAAATATTTAACAGCGGGGATAATGCTCTCACAGAGTAAAGGCCTACATCACTCCACGATGAATGTAGGGAATAAAAAATTTAATATCACAACACTGCCTGATTAACTCGATCTGTCAGCGGTGACCTGTTCACACAAAAGCCGGGATCACATGACCTGTTTGTGAAACAGCAGCTGTTGAATTCAATATTAAAGAAACCTTTAATTATAAAGAGCAAGAAAACTACTCTGCAGTAGAAATATCACTGTTAGTTATTATCTGATGATTATTTTATGGCTGTGTTCACCGATTAATGACTCCTTTTTTTATCTAAGTGAGCCATAAAACAATAACTCTCTGTCAGAGCTGTAAAATCAAGTGAGAGCTATTTTAAGATGTTATGAAACTATCAAAAAAACAGCACCTGGTAGTCAAGAATTAAAAGAGGATAGATTATACCCGGGAAAAATGAATTATCTAGTAACGCCAAATTAACTTGAACAAAGCGTTCAAAGTAAACCAAAGAAATAAAACTTCCATCCCAGTTACAAAGACCCACCACACAGAAAAACAACAACCCTAATAAGAGAGGGCGAGGAGTTTTTGTGTGAGACTTTGCCCCTAATAAAAAGATTTCAAGATTAAAACTGCAATTTCACACGATAACAGTTATTTTTATTGACCCTTGCACACATTAAGCTGTCTCAACGGTAGTGCTGACTGAGGAAATAAAAGGCCATATTTGTTTTCAGCTGATCAACTATCCAAAAATAAAGTAATTATAGCAGAAATCCACAGTAATTCAATTATAATAAATCTGATATTGACCCTGAAAAACATGAAGTATGGTAGCCAGCATAATTAGTTTGAGCTGAAACTGAAATAGAGCAGAGTTCATGTTAAACCGAGTAAAAATGAATCCCAGAACAAGTAGGATGAGTGTATGTGATAATCCTGAAGCTGGTGTTACCTGAGCAAGTGAGTTAGAGGTAATTCAGAAGACCTAAATTCAACCCTTTAGGCAGCGTTATTATTTGTGTGTTTTTCAGGCAGCAAACAAATCCCAACACCTCCTAAAATTTACTTAAGAGAAAAAATGAGATGTTGGCCTCCGGTAAAAACTGTCTTTTTAAGGTTGGTTACAGCAACTGTGAGTTTCAAGGTGACATACATCTCATTTTTAAGCTTAGTCTAAACTTCATGTACTTTATCAGAGGGTTACAGGAATGTATTTATGACCGTGCTTCCTCAAACAAAGTCAACCAAACACAACACATTTATCTCTTCTTCACAAGAGCATTTGGAAAACCATCTTCAGACCACAATTGTAATAAATCCTGAAGTCCTAATCTGTGACAATGTGTATGATCAAGTTTCAGCCACTGACAAAACAACTCAATTATGACACTGAGGAACTTACTTCAGGCACTGTGGATCTATTATCCACCTGTCTGGTTTTAAATAACGAAAGCACAAAGATCTATCAAGCAAATATCTTAACAAGTTTGACAGTTGTTTCAGGTTGTTGTCATGGCCACAGTTATTGTAAGAACTCCGCCAGGCATATCTCTGGAGGAGGAGGAGGAGGAGAAGAGGGCCTTTATGATAGAGTATCAGGGATTATGCTGCTAAAACAACACTCATACCTGTCCGGACATGCCCGACCAACTGAGAGAATAAGAATTCAGAGAACCTGAGACTGTTGGATTGCGACATCTGGTCAGAGGGAGGTTGTTGCTAGATGCAGAGATCAAACTGATATGATGAATCGAGGAAGGGAGGGATCTGTCTCCTTGACTTTACAATGTATGTGTGTGTGTGTATGTGCATGTTTTTGTGTGTGGAGTCAGAAATTATGTTTCAGAGTCTGACTGAAATCAAAGTGTAGAAGCATTTGGGTGGCATGACAGTAAACATTTGGAGCCCCTCTGTCGGACTTGCTGCTGTACTGGTATTAGAGCATCCCTTCTCCATGTTAACAGATGGGACATGGGTCAAACTTTGAAATCAAATACATCTCGTTTTTATTTTGTGCTTCTTTCTTTTCTGTCCATCTTCTACTGTTTAACTAAGTTTAGTTTTGGTACACACCACCATCACCCATTTACTGGAATATCAGGAGTTTTTTTTCCCTGTGTGATTATTAAGCATCCTGGTGTCAGGATTGTGCTGTTTCTCAACCAGCTGTTTCTCTATCTGTTAGTGTTGCTTTTCGACTTGATGTTATGGACAAAGGAAGAACAAAACGACTCAATTGTTCAAAGTAGAATCTTGTGTTTCGGGCTTCAGACAGTCTGTAGTTTGATACTGTGGTACTGTGATATTTGGTCCATAGCTCGTTGAAAACATGTTTAAAAAAACTACAGACAGAAGGTTTTTAACATGGGGCATAAATTTAGCTTTTGTTTCTATATATTTGAATGACTGGTGAGATTTTGTACTTCTTTATGGAAGTTCAGACCCTTTCTTATTAAAGCTAAGCTCTCATGTAACTCAAACCCTGGTACTAACGCTAACGCAACCTGAGAGATTGTTGCTGTATCATCATCAAGTTTGAGTCTTTTGGTTGGTGACGGCTCCAGTCTCTACTGCACACACACTGGCTCTAATGTAATCTCCAAATCGCCATTAATCAGTGTCTGTCTAAAAGGGTATTTTGGCTTCATTTTATGCAACTGATGGAGCTGTAGACACTCCATCCATCTTTACACAAAGTAGTTAGTATTGTCATTATTACATATATCATCTTCGTGTCTGTGTGCGTTCTTTACCTGTACTCCTGTTGTGAGAAACAATCGTGAAGGTGCTGGGCCGTCAGTCTGGAGTCCACCTCAACAATCTGAGGGACAAAACAAGCATGTGAGGGGAACTGGAAAGTGAATAAGTGGAAGCAAGCTCCACGTGACAGAAGGACACCACTGCAGAGGGGGAAAAAAAAAAGGTCAAGTGACTTTAATTAATGGGACCAACCTCATTAGAGTGGATGATGGTGAAGAGCGTGTGGGCCTCCTCTGCACCATGGGCTGAAGACAAGACGCTGGCATGGACAAAAAAATAACAAAATACAAACACAGGGTTTAGGGATGAGGTTTAAACTTTTATAACTTTGCGGTAAGAACATTTACAGAACGTAATGGACAAAAAGAAAGTACAGAAAAACAGAAATTAAAGGATATAAAATATGAGAAGTGTTCTGGATATGAACCATAGCTTGTGTCCTTGATATGAGAAAAGTGAGTGAGAGGGGGAGGGAGGGAGGGAGGGGAGAGGAGTGCGTGTCTAGAATGAGTCATAGCTCAACACGTGAAAATGAGTCTGGCTGTCTCCTTGGTAACTGCACTCGAGCAGCTAGATACACACATACATGTGCATGAAAAACCACATAGTCCTGAGCACACACGATGGAGCAGGATTCCTGGAGATGGAGATAAATATAGCTTTGGACCAAACGGCTTCATTTAAAAAAAACACCCAGGATTTATAAGATTATATCATACATTTAAACTGGTAAATACCATTCAAATTCAAATTCAAATTAGTTTGATTGGCATGAAAGTCAGAAGCAATGTTGCTGAAGCGTAAACCATACTGCACATTGATCGAAAGACAGATAATTAAATGACACTGAAACTTTAAACAATATTGTAAGAAATTAAAACGAGACTATGTGACATCCAAACTTATCTTAAAGCTGCCGTGATGAATGTTAGATTTGTGTCAAGTACGGTGCCCCCTGTAGACAAAGCTGTCTTTGCTTATCTTTTGGCAAAAGTGATCACCCTGATGACTTTTGACAATTGAATGCATCATTTATTGCTAATTATTTAAATGTAAACTGTTTAAACAGAACCTTTTTATAAGCTGTTTGGCTGACACCTAACCCCCCACATTGGCTACAGACATTAAAAATAAACTTGTACAAACCGTCTTGAATCTTCCAGTCAAAATAAAAACCTTTACCTTGACACTTTCACACACTGAGACAATCAACATAAAACCCTCACAAACCTGGTAGTAACACGGTTGAAGTTGTATGCTTTATGGCAAAGTAAACAAGAGAGTTGTAAAAGAGCGGTGAGTTGAAGTGATCATAAAAAGCAATTGAGACACACACACACTTCAGAGCGAAGTGGCTCATGATCAGAGAGGTTTGTCTGTCTGCTTCACTGCCTCTGAAGTGATAAAACATTGCACAAGCTGAGCTTCGTGTTTGCTCTAACATCACTGCAGACATTCAAAGCAACCCCGTCTTGTGGTTAAACACATTAGCGTCGGTATTCTTGCTTTCCTGTGCGAAGCCACGTCTTACAGATTCAGAGCCGAGCACAAGAGAATCAGAGAAACAGGATCACAATCTTGAGTGATGAGTGGTGTAACAACATCTCAAATCTTACCAAATGAAACCTCCTTAAAAGTGTCAATTTAATTTCACAATTCAACGGCAGATTACTAAAAGGTCATGCAGAGGACCATATCATACTCACAGGCAAGTCCTCTCCTCTGATTTTAGAGCCCCTGAGAGCAAGAATTCAGAAAGACTAGCAGATAAAACTTTGCCCTTTAGATGTTGGTTTATTGTTACCTGCCCTCAAAGGGACACAAATGTCACGGTGAAACCCATCCTGGAAATCGATAATGGACTGACTCTGACCTTAAGTTTGAGTGATGCTGTGTGGTCATGTGTTGGAGAGCAGAACTAAGAAAACAGGAGCAATGAACCTGAGGGACATGAACTGGTAGCTTGTATTGAATGAATAAATAATATCTAATCTAAAGGTTTTAAATAAATATAGGGGTGAAAAGAATTGAAATGTTCAGCTTCAAGTTACCTTACTGACATTTCTACGAACCAGACAAGTCCCACTGAGATTAAAAATCTCTTTTCTTAAAGAGAGAGCTGCAAAAACACAAAGTCACAGACACAGACACAGACACAGACACAAAGAGAACCAGAGTGCAACTCACAGGCACTAAAAATAACGACAAAAACAGAAACTATCTCAGAGTCGAACAATCAGGTCATCTAAGAGCAGCAAGCTTCAAAAGAGTTTCAATCAGTCTGCCATAAATTCAAGGATGCAGGTGCAGAAAACCCTAAATCCCTTTTATCCATTTCTGCACAGGCTTTAGGAGCAGAGAGCATTAAAAAGTCCTGGGAGTAAAATGAATTCTGTCCAGGACTTTTTTGAGCTTTGCTGCAAAAAAAGTGTCAAGATTAGAAGTTAAACCTAAACTGCTGATTATTTACTTCTAACCAGGGATGGAGAAATTAAGAAAGCACTCTTAAAATGATATAAAAGCATATTTTCTCAAATTAACTATTGTAATTAAACTAACAGAATTAATGTAAAAAGTAAGTTTGACTCTGCACCTACCTCGGATAAGGTTATAAAAACATATAAAAAAAGGATGCAAGTACACTAAATAGCCACTGAATTAGTGATGTAATTATAAACGTAAATGTAATTATTTACACCCTGGATCTAAGGGAAAACAGTACACAGCTGTAAACAGTTTAAAATCTAGTTATAAATGAACATTTGAGGGATATCTGGAAACATTTTTACTTCTGGAAGACTCCGTTAGAAGCTCCATGGTGTCTCAGAGCCGTCTGTTACGTCACGGGAAAAGGTGATAAGGCAAAGCTACAAGGTCAAGCAGATTATGGCCTAACCAATTCTGCATGCCAAGTAGGTCCTGAGAGCCACAAGAGCACATGACACACACAGGAAATAGGCTGGTTTCAGGTGAAGGACAGGGACAGGGTCTTACTGAGGATACCTATCTACTGTAACAAAGGTAAAACCCAGGGTGAAGTATTAGAGCTTTGAGTCAGGGTGTTTGAGTCAAAGTCAGCCAACAACATTAATGGAGGGCGTTAGGGTGTTGCAGTAGAGGAATCAGAGGTGCTGCATGAATGTGTGCTCAGAAACGACTGCACAGAGTTGAGACTGTTAGATAAAATCTGGTGCTTAAGGGCCCAGACTGTTTAAACATGTTAAGACTGCTCTGCACAGCCCACTTTAGATAATGTCTGGAACACATTTAGTCCAAGGGCAGTTTGAGGAGGTTTAGGGACTGTTTATAAGACACAACAAGACTGAAAATTAAGATTGAAGTCATGATATTTTTATACTCTAAAACCAGCAACAACATCACTTAGCCAGGTGTTAGGGCGCAGTGAATTACTGGAGCGCTCATAAAAACTACACAATGAAATCACTGTAACTTTAAATACACCGAGTGGACCGAATACAAAAGTGACACAGAAGGTGTAAGGAAATGAAAGATTAAGGAGTATAATGTCCGGAGGAGTGTCCAGACTGACAGCTGTGATATGAGTGGGCTGGGATACCTGCTGAAGGCTTGAAGCAGCTGCGAGACCACAGAGGACAGATTGTGCAAACAGTGCAGGGCGTCCTGTGGCGGTAAAGGACCTCCCGCCGGCTGAGCTCGCTGCATAGTGTGAGGGTCAAAACCCAGAGCTTTGAACACTTGCAAGCTGAAACATGACAGAAAATAATGACCTCAGGGGTCAGTTCAATGGAAAAAACAACATTATAGTTACAAAAATAAACAACCTCTGAAGAGTTTTGTTTGTTCCTGCAAATACTGTCCCCCTTTTTCTTCTTCTCTTTAGATCAGAATAAGACATCTTAAGACCTGTTCTCTTAGTCCCTGAACAGAACAAAGAATACAAAAGTTTGGACTGTACCGACACATCATATCCTGAGTTTTAATAAAGCAGTGGTGAAAAAAGGTCTTATTATTATTATTTTTGAATTTGTATTGTCTGTATTTTTATCATTAGCTGCAATTAGGGGTATCCTGATACAAATTTTTTACCAATATTGTAGCCTTCATAATTTTCTGATACCGATATTGATCTGATATTTTGACAAGTTTTGCACTCAGCTTCAATGTCTTTTTTGGACTTTAGATGCAGGCCGATATAATCTGATATTCATTTTTTGCTCATATTGAACCGATATCGGACCAATATCTGATTGGATCGGGACACTCCTAGTTGCAATCATTGTTTCCGACCTGATAGCTTCGACTGAGCTGCACTAATGATGAATTTCTAATTGTGTTATTCGGCTAAAGGTGAGGATTAGGACTTGAACTGTGAACTATATTTACACTGGCTCTCCTGAGTTAGCCTACAGCACAGCTTCAACATCCATTTGATAACATCTGACGACTGATAACATACCCTCAGTCTTTCTGCATCTTGACACAACAAGAAGCAAACATCAGCGACTGAAAATCAAACAAGACTCGTGTGACTCAAGCATTTTATCTGAATCAGCCTCTCCTGATTTGCTGACTGTGGTAGTCAGTCCATTTCTGTGATAACCCCCTTTTTTGCCTCATGTAACTCTGTCTTTACATTGCCTTTGGGGGATATAGCTTTAATTGTTTTCTTCCGTTGTATCATCTCTGCATTGAATGACTCCTCCGGGCTGCTCTGCTCTCCATGTGTGTTCACCGTGATAGCTTATTATAGCCTGGTTAGAGTTAATGTGGATTAGACTCGGATGAATTGTGTTAGGAGCACAAAACAGAACAGCTTAAGCCTTAGTGAAAGTCCCTGCAATGGTGTGAGGGGCTCGATGAAGACAGAATATCCTTCGTGTGAAAATCAAGTTTTTATGTGGTAAAATATTTTCATGATGACTACAGCCCTGCATTCATGTCAACTCTTTACACCCACCTTGTTTGAAAAAGTTTGGACCAGATGTCCTCAAACAGGGCCCACACTTCCTGGTGAGAGACTTGAGCGGACGTGGGCTGTTTTTCTTCATCATAATCCTCATTCATGACAACATCAGAGGCAGGAGATTCCCCCTACACAAACACACACACACGAATGAAAGTGTTGTATAAAGGATTTTGATATCGACCGAATACAGTTTTTCAGCGGCTAATGCCGATTATAACAGAGCTAATGTTGGATATATAATGCTTGTCAATGCTAAATATTATAATACAACACAATATTCACACTCTGATATTTGTTATACTTTGATATGGATCCATATGCTGTTAGTGTGTGATGAGAAAGATGTGTTATCATTTAGAAAAGATGATTGTGATATCGGCATTGTGAAGGCAGACGCTAATAAGACGCATGTTATGTTGACGTCTCATTCTTTGGCCTGATTAATTGATCTTTCTGTGCTCGTTACCAAAAGATCAGACTTCACCATAAAGAGCCATTTCAGAGTGAAGTTTTTCCTTTCCTTCCGTCCAGCAGCAGAAAACATGAACTGAATTATAGATCGCAGGTGTAACACTCTGAGCTCGATTGTATGAGGAAGACTTACTCTATCGATCACCCTGCGGCTGCTCTGTGGTTGTAGCTTATTAAAAAGGTTCTCCAGTTTGGTGATGGCGCCTGGAACACAGTTTGATCTTTTCCCAAACGCTTTGACAAACTCCTTCGCCATTTGGATGGCGGCTTTGGTGCCACTGCGGTCCATGTTTTGACCTGTGTAAGAGGGACAAATGTGAGTATGAGTACAAATAAATGGAAAAGATCCTACTTGGAAAAAACAAAAGCCTTTTTCCCTTGGTGAACTTTTTGAGGAGGACTGATTTAAGCAGAAAGATGGAAAACAGTTCAGCCAGGCAGTGAAAACAATCTGAGACTCAGTTTGTGTGTGTGTGTGTGTGTGTGTGTGTGTGTGTGTGTGTGTGTGTGTGTGTGTGTGTGTGTGTGTGTATGTGTGTAGGGAGGATGTGTGTTTGTGTGTATAATGTCTAATCTACTACGTGTTTTCTGCTACCATGAACAATAACAGTGATCTTGCATGGATTTGATTTTATTGGGCATTGGTCCATTTTAAGGACGCTTTAAATACTCTGTCCTCACAAGTATAACAATCTCACACCCAGCCTGTCCAAGTGAGAGCAGAAAAATCACATGCAGTACTTTTCCACTCCTAGATTTGTTCTTTGCCTTTATCCCTCCTTCCTTCCCTCCTCCTCCTCCTCCTCCTCCTTCCCCACCTCCTCCCACCTCCTTCTCCTCCTACTCTCTCATTTGTGGCACAAAGCCAGGCTGCGTGGTACCAATAAATCTTGAATCTTGTTAGTGTCCAAAGGATACACCAAGCAAGGGCAAGTAAATGTTTCATCTATGTATGTTCCTGGGGGGGATTAAATAAGTATAGTTTTGCCATTCACCCCCTCTCTGGCAGACAGGGGCACACAGACACACTCCCATTCATCACTGTAAGCATAGTGTAATCAGAGCCAGCCTGGGATCCAGAGAAAGAAGTGCTGCAGCAGGCGACTCAGCATCTTTCTGACACACATTTGAGAGCCCTTTTTTAGCTGATGACCTGATTCTGTATCTAGTTCTGTGGGGTTCTAGCGCAGTGCAGGGCAGGCAACGTCATACCCCAGAGGAGTAAGACTTTATTAGCAGGGATGACTCAGTACCTCTACAGCACTGTCCGCGCAGGAGTGAGAGGAAAAACTGCAAGGCTTACAGTATTAAATCTGACCAGAATATCTCTGGATTTAAACAGCCAGGGTGGTTTCCTAAATGTCAAATCTGACAGTTTTGTACCTCAGGCAGTATCTCACATTTATTCATTCGGTTTTTGCAAAATGTTTTGTTCCCAGTTAAAAGCAGATTAGCCCTAGTTCCCGGGAATTAGCGCATAATCTTTTTTAATAACATCAGACCCTCTTTGAATTCCAGTGACAAAGAAAGTTTAGAGATTTTCCATGAGAGGGAGTGATGATGATACACTAAATATCTGCACTGCTGTGATACGATCACAGGCTGCAGACTGAAAATCAGCACATCAAACATCAAGTTTGAAATGGCCTTCAAGTTAAAGTTCATTAAGTGACATGGAGTGTTAAAAAGCACTTATCAAAAGCTAATTTTAAAGTTAGACTCACGATCCATTTGCTAACATGAAGGAGGTGGGGTTAACGAGCAATACTGCAACGGGGCAGTAGGGGGAGCTCTAACTCTGTTGGTTTTACAGTCTATGAACACTCATGGCACTCTTGCTATTCTGACTGTATCATAGACTGTGTATACTATGGACAACTTGGTTCCGCCTTCCGCCAGATTTGAAGCCGAAAAGCTCTCGGTTATTCCGCATTTTTTCTCCACTTCCTGAAACCAAAATTGCACAGTAGCGTTGTACGCACTCTATCACTTGCGCAGGAGCATTATACTCCCGCATTCGGTTGGAGAGTCACCGAGAGTCGCTGTGATTACGCTTGGCTAGAACAGCGTATCCCCAGGGTGAGCTACACAATCTTCGTACGCCCATAGGCTGTATTAAGTGTCAATCATATAAACATGAACCCCCTAATAACTTTTAAAAATGGAGCTGCACAGAACAAAGCACAAACCAGTCTTACAGTGACAACATGTCAACATCGCAACCAGGGAGGAGAAAAATGTATGTTCAGTGTAATAAATTTCTAAAGTTTGTCCAAAGCTCCATAGGGATTGCTGGAGGAGGCGGGATTTATGACCTATACTGCAGCCCGTCACCTGGGGGTGCTGTTCTTGGGGTGGCTTCACCCAGCGAGGAGGCAGACAGCGTCCATTCTATATACAGTCTATGGTCTGTATCCATGGTTACTGCAGACCTGCTACTTTTTATCCTGTAAAATCACTGTTTGTTTTAATTGATCATATAGCCAGTTAGTTACCACCTTGATTAATCCTAACAAACACAGGACTCATACTTGTAGAGACGAGTCCCTGTGATAAGCCCTCTATATCAGAACTGAAGGAATGTCCTCTATCAGATCAGATTGCTCAGTCAGAACAAACAGTTATATAATGACGAATAAAACGATATAAGAGGTCTGCACGTCAAGAACTTTGAGTCAGTGTACTGAACACACTGTTGTGTTTCATGGGAATCAAAGCTCACAACAACACAGCTCTGAAGAAAAGCTTGATTTAGTCGTCTGAACAATTTGAACTAGTTTATGTCATTAGTGAATTACATTTGGAGTTTTGCATAAAGATCTGATGTTTTGTTCACATTCCTGAAGTAAGGCTTGTGGGAAGTAATTTCAGATCTAGAAAAATCCCCTTGTTCGATCGCTGTTACCACATATTATGAAGAGTCATGTGACCTGTTAATCTTGATGACTGAGCCAGCCATATACAATCTTTTACAAATAAAACTAAGGAAACCCAGAGGTTAAACCACCCATTTGCATTTCGATCTGATGCTTCTAGACAAAATAGAGTTCTTAAACCTTCAAACCTGAGTGGAAGAAGTCAATGAGGCTTGAAACTGTTTGCTCCATCCTCCTTGGGACAACTTGGCCAAACACAGCAATCCAATGCTTCCTCAAACACTGTAGGACTTCCTGAAGAGTCCACGGTGGTTTTATCATAACGATCTGTTAATAGAAATAAAACAGAGTAAAGAGCCACATGTTCAAAATGTTTGTCAATTTTTCAACTAGTATGTCGCCAAACGAACAAACATCAAAATCATATCTAAAGTAGCTGAACCCAGCTGTTTGTTCATTTCTAAATATAGGTTTACCTCAAGCCAGAGGTTACCAAAAGCAGCCTCCATCTCCACCTCCAAAACATCAGACAGCACCTCACGCAGGCAGTCCTCAAACTCAGAGACACATCTACGGTCCCAATGTGCCTCCTCTTCATCCTCCTCATTGCTTTGTTGCTTGTAATCTGTGACATCAGTTACATATTTAAGAATCATGAGAGTATTAAACACATTTTATTCTTCCCACAAGATGTCAAGTTTGTGTTTTATGTGTTGAAATGGTTTAGCTGTCACCCGGATTGACTTCGAACAAGGGTTTGAAGTGAAGGAAGGAAAACAGGAAAAATGAAGGAGGGAGGGGGGCGAGCGCTCGGACGGTATGTGCTGTAAATTATTACACCGCGATGGACCATGCCAAGTGATTTCCTGTTTTTGCGGAGCGAACACGTATCCTTGGCTCACCTTTCCCTCTGAGTCCCACAGAAGGTTCTGATCTCTGCTGAAAGCTCCTGTCCAGAGCTGCTGATGAAACCTGAGGGCTGATGTGAGGCAGTGTGGAAGTTTTAATGCTTTGCAGAGGATTAAAGCCATGGCTGGATTGGCCAGCCTCTACCTCCAAATCACTCTTACTGAGGGCCTTCACCCCACTCAGGAGAGCCTTGCTGCAAAGGTTTTTATCATCACTGGAGAAGAATCAAGAAAAAAATTATAATTACATATCATTAATTAAATCCAGAATCATGAACATGTCCCTGTGCAACACTGATTCAACGTCTAATTAACTAATGTCTCTTTTTCTAAGCAGAGGGATCAATAAGAGCGTCAGGAAATGGTGCTAAAAGAAATAGGTCAAAGGGAGAATAGGGCGAAACAATCGAATAGCAACTGCTCTATGTACCCCAAGAAAAAACATCCCCGAACTGCGCTCAGAATCCTCTGCTCAGCACATCTATTCTTGTCCAATTACTCTGTCTGGCCCTCTCTTTCTCTCATCCCAACTGGAACTATCTGGCTGGACCCGCTCCCAGTCACATGTATGTGCGTTTTAGAGGACACACACGCTGCAGCAGCATTAGGACAGAGCAGAGGGGGAGGAGGAGGGGGACTCACGTGCATAAGATGAGAGCACACCCTGGGTACAGACTCTGGTACTGCAGGCAGCACTGCAGCACTCTGTCATCGTTATTTTCAGTTTTCAGATCATCTGGGGACGAGGAGGCATGATGAGGAAGGGGGCAGGAGAGGAGGAGGGAAACAAAGCCAGAAATATGAGAATCCACACTATAAACAGAGAAACATGCAGGATTTTTTATCATATTATTAGCTTGTGACAGGCGAGTCTGTGTGCAGGAAAAGCCCTTTCTTCTTCCAAATAAAGACTGTAAAATGAAAGAAATACAAATATAACATTAGAGTTAAAAGATCTCTTTTTAAGGATGCATCTGTGCCTTTGACTCTCAGAGCTGGGGTCAGTTTCCCTGCTTATCTCCTTTATTAGCTGCTTCTATAATGTCCTAGCACTGGTGTTACAAATTCAGTGTTGATCAATATAATACACAGATAAGAAGTGGGCAACCTCACGCTGGGGTGACAACCTGCCCTTGAAAAGGAAGCAGTGCACGCTACGATGGTGACATTTTGAAGTTCACCTTTATGTCAGCGCCACCTAGTGTTTATGTTCATGTTTGTCTCTGCCCACACACGTGTCCTTGGACAACCCTAATTGTGTGCTTTGTTCTGTCGGCACTGGTCTGGGTATGTGGACGTGCATGGCATTAAAGGGCTATACATACAAGTGGATCATTCATGCAGTGAATGAACTCAGATTAACTAACCCATGATGTAAAGGACTTAATCCGTCACGCTGGAATTCATGATGAAGAGTGAATTTTTTGTGCAGGTTATATCCACATACTGCCAACTGCATTTTGACAATTTTCTTTAACACATTTTCACTCTTTGTTTACGTTCTTATACTCGTTTCTTTCATGGTTTTTATTGTGCAGCCTTGGGGGACAGTAACTGCATTTCACCACCAATCTGTTTGAGAAAAAATCTTCAATCTTGAACCTTGAATATTTATTGAGGAATAATAGAAAGTCAAAGTTGTTTAAGTTGAAAAATAATAACCAAAACAACAGGTAAATTTTAGAAAAATAAACACATTTCCCTGAGGGTCTGTAGCTCCAGTGATGTTTGTGTTGCTCTTTTGTTACCACAGGAGAGTGGCACAGAAACACAACAGTAATTTTTTTCTGATATGGGCCCAAGGACAAGCTGTAGAAAAACTAGTCTAAGTTATAGCAAATTCATTAAACCTTCATTATACCTCCAGAGCAAAATTTCATATACTCTCCTTAAATCAGTACTCACTCTTGCTCTTAGCTGCTTGCTGCATAGACTGCCCCCAGAGTCGAGGTTCCCGACTCTTCAAGGAGTTGTAAATGTACGAGATGGCAGGTCTGGCTCTGTGGGCCACGGAGCCAGACAGACCATTCTCCTGTTTCAGGGAATCCAGCTCCTGGAGCACCACCCAGGGGATCAGGACTACAGGGGAGCCCAGGGCTAAGAGAACACAGGGAGAAAGCAAGTTAGGATTAACATGTTTTTTCCAACATTATCAGGATGTAGAGTTCCCAAAATATGAATTTGGGGATTAAGTTTCAAAACTTCTCAGGATGTTTGTTTTGTAAGAATGACGCTGTACTCACAGCATTGTTAAATAATTGCTATAAAGTTCAGTCTTTAAGAACAGAAGCTTATTTTCATTGTCATGTCTTTGCGTTATCAGTTGTCATTAAGTGAACTCTTGTAGCTGTATCAAGACTTAAAACGATTAAAAAGTTAGTTCCTAGTTTATTCCTGTTGTAAAATAGATCTCAAAAGAAGAAGAACAAAATGAACCCAATAATGAAATTAGCAAACATTTAAGGACAATTGATAAACAAATCAATCCAACAAATGTTAAACCTTTTAAATTGGCAAAATTACATAACAGGTCAAAAACTAAAATATTTCAAGTACCTTTGAGGCCGTGGGATACGATCTTCTTCACGTAGTCCAGGTGACTGATGAGAATGTTGGTGTCCAGAACGAGGATCAAGTCCTGCTGCAGGGGTTGTCTACCTGGAAAAAGATCGTTTTTTCTACAGTGATGAAGTTGCTTCTCATTAAGTCAAAATGTGCACAGCTTTAATTTCAAGAGTTTTCTGTGAAGTGTGAAGGTTCCAAGTTACAATACAATCTTATGATGACTTTGTTTTTGATCTCATGTTTGACATCGGTCAGATCTTAACTGTAGAAGCAGCACTCAGTTTTGTTTTATGCTCCATTTATCTGGAATAAGCTTACTTTCTGCTGAAACCCCCAGCTCTTATAAATCAGGCTGAAAACTCGACAGTTTAAAGCCTTTTGGATTACTTTAACAATCAGAGACAAATTCTATAACTTAATGTAATCTACAGGCTTGTATTTAGCACTGTTTTATCACATTTTAACACTCTGTTCTTTGCACTGATCCCTAAATGTCTTCATAACATTTTTAATATCCTCTTTTAATGTGTTTCTTCTGTCCTTTATCATAATGTTTAAAATCTTGTGTGTAAACTTTTTTGTGCTGAAATGCGTTATAGAAATGAACTTGCTTTGATTTGCCTTTCACTTAAATTTGACATGAATAAGTGTGTATGATTTCAAGTGTCTCTGCTTTCCCCTAAGAGCTTACAGTGTGATTCTGCAGTTTCCTCTGGAGGGTCTATTTCCATACAGGTTAGCTCCCCATAGCTCTGCATTACATCCACCTCCAGCCGCTTCTCAGAACGAGCAAGATGAAGCTCTTCAACCACCTGTGTCAACCGAGAAATGAATTAAAAACAAACATCACTGAAATATTGAATTTTGGCAATGTCAAAAAGCTTATTTTACTGTAATAAATTAACTGGAAAACTCAGAATTTGCAAAGCTGCGAAATAACTTGTTTGTATTGAATAAATTAGTTTTTTTACCTGGTCAGGCACGGGCTTAGTGGGAGTATCAAACAGAGCTGGAGGTTGTCCAGACAGAGGTGGCCTCTTTTCTTGTCCCTCAGATGAAACAGATGGAGTAGCGGCCGAACGGCTGTAAGTTTGCGGCACAGTTTCCTGTTTTGATTTGCTCGCTGAGGCCTCAGAGTTTGGAGGTTCAGTCCCTTTTCGGATATTTTTGATTACAGGAAAAGTATTTTTATCTTCAGTGATGCTAACTAATGGCTTTGGTTTAACCTTTTTCGGGATCTTGAATCTTATTGCGAAAGGTGAGAGAATAGATGATTTTTTAGCCGATGATGACTTTACTGTCTGATTAGTCATGCAGCTGATGTTCCCTTCGACTGGAGTGAAATTATTCACCATATTTGAGCTACTAACTGAGGTAGATGGCTTGGCTAGAGTGAAGGAGGACACTTTGGTGGAGATAAAGGGAGTTTTTACTTCTGCACACGGGTCTGTTTTGACCTTAATTGTTATTTCATCATCATGTCCACACGTTTCCTGGACTAGCTCCTTTCCTGTCTGCTTTACACAGTCTTTGGACACGTGGGAGGTCTTGCCTGGCGTGCTGGTTTTGATACTGTGTCTGTCATCATACGACCTTTGTCGCTCTTCAGCTGCCGGTCTCTTCTTCAGTGCATTTCTGTCAGCTTCTTTGTGTTTATCAGTAACCAAACTGGGACTCATTATCTCTTTTTTTAATTTGGACAGGCTCCTGTGGGAAGACTTTTCATCTGGGCTCCTTTTCGATGTCTCCTCTGTCCTCAGAGGAACCGTGCTTGTGTGTCTGGAGTTTGAGGGTTTGGGCATTCCCTTATCAACAGTCCTACTCCCACTGGCAGCTTTGTCTTTCCCTGACGTATCATGTTTTGCTTTGCTTGAGCGATGTTCCCCTTGGGGTGACACAGTGTCACTTTTTGTTTTCCTGCTCTCTTCCTCCTTGTTAACAGGTTTCTGCTCTGTTGCGTGTGTTTTTGTCAGCCTGTAGACGGGTTTCTTAATCTGACGAGTGCTTTGGGAGTCATCTTTAACAGCTCGAGAGTCAGATTTTTCCCTTTTTTCTGCACACCTTGAGATGGAACAACACAAGATATATCAGAGTCAGAGATGAACAAAAGTTGAACAATGCAAACCTTATCATTAGGGCAAAGTGCACCGTTTCTAACCTTTCTGTGCTGTTTTCAGACTCCTTTCTCTTGTCATGTCTGGAGCTTTTCTTATCACGCTCATGCCTGGGTCTCTGAAAATATGAAAAAAATTGAACTCCTCAGTTGAAATCTTGTAATTGCAGAAACAACAGCTGGATTTCAAAGATAATAACACAATTCCTTTTCAAATCACAAACCGAGCGTGGGAAAACTGTCTAATATAAAAAACTATCTTTACAGAACTATTATTACTATATCCTCCAGTCTTAAATCAAACTTTTTCCATCCTGATTTGATTTGTTCAGGTTTTTTGTGCCCTTTTAAAATGAATAAAAATATATAGAAATTAGCTGTATTCTACTTTCAGTTTGGCATCTGTTGGAAAAGCCTCTGTTTTTGACTTTTAAAAAATAAATAAACCATCACAGACATCTAGAGGATCCTGAATCTGAGTTCAGGATTTCCACCACGACACCAACAAAGTTAAAGCTCCTGTGAAGAACTTTGAGTTTGTTTCAGTGACAACAAATCTCATCCTGATGACTTTTGATGGCAGAATGTAGTGTTCTGTTATGAATATTTTTAGTGGAAATGGTAAAAACAGGGTCATGTATATCATTAAAGGTCACAAAGATGAATTTCAGTCTTTTTCATAAATGCCATATTACTCCTCATAGGAGCTTTAAAAGGACTGAATGCCATCCATACTGACTTTCTCTATTTATAAAGGTAAAAACTGTGATCACATATGCCTCCTCACCTTCTCTTCTTCATCAGAGGAAGAGGAAAACCTTTTACGCTTTCTCTTCTTTGACTTCTTAGACATCTCCCTGGAAATAAACAAGAGACATACAGAGCAAACATTGTTAGCATTTGGAGTAATTGAGCCATGGTCTCAATACCACAATGTCCCTGCTGAAACCACTTATTTTCGTCAACATATAACCATTCTAAATATTTAATGAATTTCACATCAAATAGTTTTTTAAGGTAAATACAATCCAACGAAGTCACACAGGTGATGAAAAGCATAAGGGAGAGTGGGGTAAGTTGAGCCGAAGGGTAAGTTGAGTGTTCCCCCTGTTGCTTGAAAATGGTAAAAGAAATTGATCATGGGACCAAATATTTAGGAGATGGGCATCAATTCATGGAGTCTGTGAAGGTTAGAAGCACATGGGTGAAGGGGTTAGAGACATTTATTTCCCAAAAAACATTTGAAAGTGAATTTAGTCTGTCACAAAATTTATTACAATTGTGTTCAGGCCAAAAAAGATCATTTGGTATCTATGAACTACAACATGAGGTCAAAAACCTAGCATAAAAGTCCACCATTTTAGCTTAGAGCAGTGGTCCCCAACCACCGGGCCCCAGACCGATACCTGTCTGACGATCAATTAGTACCGGGCCTGAAAAAAAAATTACAATGATTAAATAATTTGTTTTCTTTTTTTATAAGTCCTCCCAGTATCTTATTTTGAAAGACCACCACTTCTGACATTGCTTCATTTTCCTGCTTCAGCAACACAAACTAGCCCTGGCAAAAACGAGCCAGAAACAGAGTTCACTGGAGAGAGAAAGGGTTGGTTCTGCATTATGGTGAGTTGATGTTAAAGTGTAATGAAAAGTGCCTAATATAAAATGTAATTGTTGTACCCCGAGTACATACAATGTACATACTATGTACTGACTAAGGCTTTTGTTATTGGAATCTCCACGCCCCTACCCAGTCCTTGGAAAAAGTTTCCTGCATGAAACTGGTCCCTGGTACAATAAAGGTTGGGTACCACTGGCTACATGGACTAATAAAGTCATCATAGTAGTTCTGGGGTAAGTTGAGCCAGTGACTCAACTGAGAAAGTAAAGGAGTCTGATGAGAGGATCAGAGTTTCAGTTCAGATTGTTGAAATGTTTTACTTTTTCTTTCCATAGATACAGCTGTGAATGTTCTGAATCACTTAAAGACATTTTCATGTTAAAAGGACTTTTTACAAAACAGCTTTTTGGCGGTTATATGCAACAATAATAAAAGAGGATTGTTGTACCAGTTGAATGGTGTATAATAGATAAAAATACACATGAATGTGGAGAAAAGTGACTGTTATTTAGGGAGAGAGAAGGTGAGGGAGGGTTAGTAGGGATACGGCTCAACTTACCCCATACATGGAGTAAGTTGACCATAGGAGACCACTTTTTTTGGCATGCTATATTATCAAGACAGTTCTGTTTACACTCATTCTGTTGGTTTGCAGGGATGAACAACATCTTGAAATATATGCAGATACACTAGTAAGAGACAAAACTAGGATTGCCTTGATGTAGTGATCTGAAATACGAAAAATGTCTCATCTTACCCCACTCTCCACTATAGTTGGTAGACAACTCCAGCTAAGAAATCACTGTTGGCTAACTGAGGCTAACGTTAGCAGAGGAGAAGTTACAAATTAAACCAAGCGGTACATGACAGTGGTCTACTTAGCTGTCTTACAAGTTCGTTTACCTTATTTCATTCAAATAAACATCGTCTGAGAGAGTTTAACGACTTAATTCCAAACAAACAGACTTCACTAATGCCGACTAGAACCAAAACATCCGCTTATCTCCTTCTTGTTTTCCGGCGGATGGGAACCAATACTGCTCTCCTTCTTCTTCTAATGCAGCTTCTATCCCTTCTGTTTAATACCTATCGCCCCCTAGTGGAGTAGAGCTGAGTTTAATGCTAATGTGATGCGAAAGGACTCACATTTTGGAGAGTTGTTGTTATGTTTAAGAGGAAACAGCCAGCATTCAAAAACGAGTCCTCGAGAGGAAAAGACAAAATGGAGTCTGCCTCGATGCAAAAGGATAGGGAGTTTCATCCAGTTATCTCTGCCTTCATTATACAGACTGGGCCACAACCTTTCTGCCAAGGTCACTCAACAAGTGAAGGCTCTGAAGAAAGTCAGTAACTTTCCACTAACGGATAAAAATTCCCTCATAGTTTTTTCTTCATAGTTAGTCTTAGAAAGAAGAGCCTGCAGTGGCCTGTTGTCAGACTAAAAAGATATTATCAGAACACAAGCGCAATCAATGAAGGATTTACAGAGATGTAAAACTTCTGAAAAGTACTGTATAATGTATAATGTATATACTCAATACCTGACTGAGGCACCTTTACCTTAAGTTACTGCAGCGAGCATGAAGGTGATCAGTAGTGATGGGCACAGCAGTTTTTTTAGATGTACTGAATCACTAGAATTAGGTCACTAAAAAGATTGCTTTAAAAATGCACCATTGTATTTATTCGTGGAGACAGTTTAAATGAAGTCCAATGCTTACTCTAAAACCAAACAGTAAGGATTAATTAGTCAGTGGTCTATTAGCAGAGACTAAAAGTCTTCACCAGAACTTTGTCTTGACTGGAATTTTCATTTAATTCTCTATCTCTATCAAAAACCAGTAACTTGTGCAACATTTTCTGTTACCAAACCAGGATTGCATTTTGCAACTGCTGCTGTTAGCCACACAGTGACAGTGTGGCTCCATCCAGAGACCCCCTTACTTCAGAAGCAGCTCTGTTCAGGGAAAGAAATCTGACTACTTACAGATGAGCTGTGAGCAGTACCAGCTGCAGGGGATAGACCCTGTCACTTCAATGGTCTCGGACAGGAACTTCAACAACACATACGACCATATGAGTGGTGGCAGAAACAGTTAGATAATAAAGGATTCAGTTAATGGCCCAGTTTGGATCAGATCAGTGACATGTTGAATACTTCAAGATTATATTTGAAAATGGAAACAGGTTGTCTGTTCTGTTGTTCAAAGTGTTTTCATGTGGTAAATTGAGATTAAAGTCCACCAGTCAGTTTTCATTATCAGAGGGGTGCACAGAACTATGACAGTAGATTTTCTCTTTAAATGTTTAAGACTGTAAAAACAGAAATGTATCCACATAGAACAATGCTATCACTCCAATCACAAAACCTGTTTATACATAAAGAAAACAGACTACAGTAAAGACTTTCATCAGTATTTCAGTCAGATACTGTGGTTAGAATTCAAACAAAGGTGAAACTCATACTCGTGCCAAAGTTTTCATTGAGCTGTTTGAGGACAGTTTGAAGTGGAGCTACCCAGTTTACGATAGCACTGACTGAACTGGAGTGGCCAAATGGTCCCATGTAATCCATTCATTATAGTTACAGGAATATTTAAGTATCCAGAAGATGCTATACTCCAGGATATTTGTTGTTTTTCCACTCAAAAGTAACACAGCAGACTGTCAACATTTTAATCTTCAAAGTTAAAATCTTTTATAAAAAAATGCTTGCTCCAATTCACAAGTCAAAGCACTAAAGAAATGAAGATATAATATATTTAATAAAAAAAAGCTGCAGGCAGCCTGTTGAAACACATCCTAAATAGGTTATTTACTTCAGTGCTGCAACTGATAAGGCGAACATCCAATCATTGCTCAGTGTTTTTGGGTTTGGGGAACATTTGAAGTTGTATTTCAGGTTGTAGATAAGAGACATTTAAGGACAACACCTGTTTTCTTTCTTTTTGTAAGTTTTTAGGGCCAAACAACTCTGAGGTACACAAAATTCACAGTGATGATTGGTCGTCTCGGTTTATACTGCCAGTTTTCACTATAAACTTTGTCAGCAAATCACCTGACAGTCATTCATAACTCTTGATTTGACCTCTGCTCTTTGTCCTTGAAGAACAAAATCCTTGGACCGAGTGCAGCTCTCACCTCATTTTATCGACAACCAATTTCAATAATCCTGAAAACAGTCAACAGATTAACAGTTGAGAATATGAATCCTTTCTCTCTTTCTTTCTTTCTTTTTTTTTCTTTCTTTCTTTCTTTCTCAATGGCGGTTTTCTCAAGTATTTGTCTGTCTCATGTATCCTCCTTTCCATCTGTCCCTCTCCCTCTCCCTCTCTCTCTTTCTTTATACAGATCAAAGACATTTGGCTTTAATCAATGAGCACATGGCGAGATGGCGAATGCTCCTGTTACGTGTGTGTGTGAAACAGTGATACGTCTGAGTACGTGTAGGAGAGAGTATTTGCTCCTCTAATGGTTTACTCAGAAACCTGAGCAGGTGTTTTATGAACATACGAAAATATTCGTTCAGGCATTTAGATACTTGGTAACTTCTGTGTGTACAAACCTATATGTGTGTGTGTGTGTGTGTGTGTGTGTGTGTGTGTAAGTTCAGAGGTGAGTTCATGCTCTCTGATTTAAAGGCTGCTACAGGTGCTCTGAGGTTAGGTGTGCTCCGACTTACAGACACCTTTGATCACAGTGACGGATACTCAGTGTGTGGCCTCCCAGCACATCATTTATTCACTTGTCTGTCATTATAGGAACCGCTTAGTATTTATCATGTGTAAGTACTGGATATTTTCCTGTAATCTAGTAGGAGCAGAATGGAAAAGATCATTTTGATACAAATGAAATTCTGTTTGTGTGGCAGAAATTTCACCAAATATGGATCCTTGAAAAAGAAAGAAACATTTACTGATGTCCTGTGAAATGTGCATGTATTCAAACAGGAAGGTTTCATTCGGTAAAGTCAGAGATTTTGCTCAACTAAAGGATGACAAAAAAAATGAGTAAACAACATTTCCCTGTTGTTAGTGTACTATAACATTTGTGAATTAAAGTATCGGCTGCAATGCTTCACTTACACATTTGGACAAAAGCTGCTCAAATACTGGTTTGTTTGACAGATACCATAATCAATTTGGGGTAATAGAGTCTTTATCATATTAGCAGATATAGTACATATTCGAGATTGAATTAAAGCAGCCTTTTCTTGCATATATTGCACAACATTTTGGCAGCCAAATATGGACTTTTAGAGGCAAAAATACTAAAAATAAAGATTATTTTGTCTGTACCACCAACTGGTTTATGTGCTGACCATTACTGGGTGTGCTGCAGACAGTGGTGTGAGTCAAACTGCACTCTGCTGGACTAACTACATAATGAAACAATTTCTATAGTACTTGAACATTGTTTACTGCTTTTCAGGCACTGCAATTAGTGTTTTAATACCTAGCACATGTTGAAAAACATACACTTAGACTCATATGTCCGCTTTTTTTTTTTCACTGTGAATCATAAAGGATTCATAATCATATTGATAAGATTTATCATTTAGTCTCACTGTGGAAAATGGACTGATGAGCATTTATTTGTTGAACAGCTTGAAACTCTGTCAACATAAAGACCACAGCTTGTGTAAGGAGGTTAAATAGATAGAAAAAAAACCACAGTTTTCGTTAGACAGTTCAAATGTAAGAATTTGATACTTTTTTTGTCATGTGATAATTAAGTAGATGTATTTGGCTTTTGTACTGGTGATCTGAATGAATCTCTTAATGGAGTCATGATGTTAAACAGTATATATCTGTTTTCTGTCCTTTTAAAGACAAAGAAAAGAAAGCCCAAAACATCTTAGTTTTCAAGGGTTAACACTGGTCCTGACTGCATATGAACCTATTTTATACATATTATGAAGTCATAATTAAATGTCTAGTTTCCATTGCAAGGCCAAGAATAGTCCTGCCAGTACTCACTAAATATTTATACATCTCCATTTTCCCTAAATCAAAACCAAGGTGATTCTCTCTACCTCTCTCTGCCAGCAGAGATGACTCCTCGGCTGTGATACAGTTTTATATAAACAGATAGAGCTCTCAACCATGTGTCCTGAACATCTTGCCCTGGCTCTGGATCTAATAAGCCCCACTTGGCTCTGCAGTTGTTGTTGAAAAAAGGTGACTAACGTACTGACTGGCTCTGTGACAAACACCTACCTCAACGCATTCTTCAGGTCTCTTTTCCCATTAATAAGTGCTCCTTTATTGGTCCGCTTTAATAAATACCCTTGGAGAGTATTCCCGGGCTATAAAGGGAGGTTTGTTTTACAGAATGGTAATGGCAAAGTGTTAATAGGTTTAAAACAATAGCCTGCCATGCAAACCATTAGGTTGTAAATGCTTTCGCTTTCCTCACTGCTGGGTTAATGCTGATGTTTTATCTATTTTTAGCCACAGCCCGATTTTCAACAATATGTTCATTGTTGTCAGTATAAACAACTTGGACCAGTTGGTCTCAGAACTTGGGGGATCTTGTCACAGAATCAGAACTGCACACAAAGTGAGAGGAAAAGGCTTACTGCATGACAACCTGTTTCTGGGATAAATTTAAATATGATATATGAGAAGATGATGTCAGTATACAGTTTTTGGAGAACATGATGATATAAATATGGAGGTAAAAGCAAATATACAAGGATGAAAATAATATTGATATTTCATTATCTTAAAGCTCCTGTACACACTTTTTAGTTAGTATTGATGTGAGCAGCGAGCTTCGGTTTCTTTTTTTTTCAGTAACTTCCATTGTGACGCTTTTTTTTTTGCTGTCTTTTTTATTTTCAGCAGTGGGGGTTCTTGGCCACCATAGTTTAGCATTTTATTTTACATATAAAAGTATAAAAACATTATTGAGAAACATAATTAAATACAATACAGAGTTACACATGCTTATTTGTAGTTGACCCACTTGGAGCAGAGTTAAAGCTCCGTAGAGGAGTTTATATCCGGATATGAAACAGACTAAAATTAAAACCTGAATCTCATTATGAGCAGCAAAATAGACAAGACATTTTTTTTCTTTAAAGGTATTTGTAATACCAAAAAACACTGGCAGGAGTAGGTGTCAGTCAGTCCAGCAAATGAAGTGCATGCTTTTGAAACAGCACATTTTTGCATTTTCCATGGTAGAGATTTCCAACGAGTTATCATTCTAGTGTTGAAATAATGTTTTTATTCTTATTCAGGATAAAATCAGCAGAGATGTTGTCCACATGGGGGCGCTCAAATCAACACTAACCAAAAAGTGCCCACAGGAGCTTTAAGTTAATGCAATATCAACTTTGTTTTCATTTTTGTATATTTATCTGCACCGTTTTTTCTTTTATTTTCCGAGGGCTTCGGTTTCTTTCTTTTGCTTCAGTAACTTCCGTTGTGACTCTTTTTTTTGCATTCTTGTTTTGTCTGCAGCAGTGGGCGGTTCTCGGCCACCGTAGTTTCATATCTCAAACAAGCATAAGTAACTCTGTATTGTATTGAATTATGCTTCTTAATCATGTTTTTAACTGTTTAATGTAAAATAAAATGCTTAACAAAAAAAGTTCAATAAGTGTCATGATAAGGGAGAATAAAGGTGTGTAAAACAGGTGACGAAGGGCGGACTACACTGATGGAGACCGGTGGTGGGAGTGTCCGCGTGGGGAACAGAGCTTCCTCGCTCTTTACGCGCGCGCGCAGTCTCGAGCGGTGCTGAAATGTTTTCATTCTGAACTTAAAGGGTCGACAGAGCAGCACGCGGACGAGCGAGACGCAGGAGAGGCAGGAACCGTTTCACGTCCTCTGTTTTCCCGTCCTCGTTGTTGTTATTTTCTTCTCCCGGTGTAATGTCAGCGTGTCGGGCTGTGTCGGTGCTCCTGTGCGCCGGGTTGTTTGCGGTGACCGGTGCCCGCAGGAGTTCACCGGAGCAGGAGGATGTTCAAGAGAAAATCAACAGCGCGAGATGCACGTCCAGGTGCCTCACTCTGCACATGACCCAGCTAACCGCCGCCTTCAGACACTTACAGGTACCTACATCTACTCTGTTCCCTTTTTGAGGAGTTTTTACTGTCACCCAGGTCACCCAGTGAGCACTTTTAAAGCCATTAACTCTCATGAGTGAGCATGCTTAAAGTAGCTGCTTCTTAAAACCCAGTCTTATCACATTAACTCATGAGCTAGCCTTCATTCATAGGCCACAAAAGGCCATGTAAGAGTTTTATCTTTCATTATTCAGTTTATAAGCTTGAATTCAGTTATTGGCATCATACTGTATCTCACACTTTTATGAGTCTTCACTCATGTTAAGAGGGATAATTGTGTCAGTGATACCACACACTGCATTGTTGTATGGAAGCCTAATGGGGACATACTTCAACGCATTTTAATGAGTCCATTTTCCTGTGATAACCATCGCTTAAATTGGCAAAAACAAAAGCAAGTACTCCCTTTTTTTCACCTATTGGCATGTGAGTCTGAGTTAGAAATTTGTCTAGAAGTATTTCCAAATTTCTAAATCTTTTTGCACCCTTAAGGGGCCAGGCCAACATTGCTGTTGTCCTCTTTTTATTCCTCATTTAACTGGCAAATTCTCATAAATTTGGTGTTGTTTTCTGGCAAAAACGCATGTGAGCTTCATATCATTGATCATTATGTCATGTGCCATAAGGTCATGTCTTTCATTAGCTATCACCAAGAGAAACCTCAAAGATTTAAAGCTGGTAAGAAGTCCTGGTTTGAAGAAAAAGTCCTGGCATGCTGGTTTAGAAGAGGTGGCACTGTTACAGAGTGAACCAGCCCACTAAGACTGTTGACTGTTGTTTGTGGCCTCGTACAACTGCTTCCTTTGCCAGGTCTTAGTTGCAAAAGCGGGACTCTCTAGTTGAATAAATGTGAAATGAATGAATAGATAATCAAAATGCTGGTGATGATCAAGGTTTTCCAGCTGTTTTGTGTATCCAATGATCTCAATTTAACAATTTGGCTCTTCCATTTCATTGGATTAATTTAACTTTTAGTTGTAGTTTGTTGAGAAGGCTTGTTTTTTTGTTATAATGGGATTCATTTCTGCAGATCTGGAAGACAGAACAATAGGCTGGTCTCTGGGATTGGCCAGACCATGACATGCTACCATGCTGCCGTTGCCCACTACGCCTTTTACTACTTTGATTTGTTTATTCTGTTGCAACTCTTACAGCACAAGTGAAACTGAATTAAGGTGCCGTCACAAGTCTCAGTGGATTTTAGGACAAGTTTGAGTTCATGAAAAACATCTTTTAATTTTTATTATTTGCTGTAGTGAAGGATCAAAACCCAGTCTTGATGTGCAGTCAGATTGAATGTAAATAAAACCCCGGATTCACATACACCTGTGATCACCAGTCACTGCAGTTCCTCTTTCATGTGTTGTATTAAAGCTGGTCTTAACAGAGACAATCTCAACCTCATACCAGTGAAGTCAAACCTGCTGAATCAGCCGAATAAAAGCCCAGTGAAGCTCTTACCGCCTTAATTATTAATCAAAGGAAACAGAGAGATCTGGCTTTAAACAGTGTGTTGTTTCCCACATGGTTTTCATAAGACAGTTTTGGACAAATTTGGCATTCCCCGGATATCTCTTTGTCAGTAATCAGAGGGCCAGAGGTACCCTTAAAAACACTGTTAGTAGTTGACTCATCTCTGTGAAACTGCTGGCCCATGCTCTGAAGCCTTTGTAGTGAGGAATGTGAGATTAACGGGGACATTAGGACGTTACCAAGTTCGAAAAGCCACTTATCGTTAACGGCTTCAACATGTGCATGCTGTGTAGTGGGTGGGAAAGTCATTAACCGCAGAGTTTAGCCCCAGTGGCTCTGAGGTGTGTAGAAGAAAGAGTGTGCACATAAGCCTGTGTGTGTTTGTGTGTTTGCATATGGTCGCGTATAAAGTGAAAGTTCGGTCTGGTCCTCGTCCATCCAGAAAAGACCTCCGCCACCTGTGCATCGAGTAATGAGGGTGGCCTCTGGATGACTCTCTTGCATTGTAACGTGTGACTCTTAATGCGTATGTGTGTGTAAGTTTAGTGGGGTTTCTGGATGGAGGTGTGAGAAAGGGAACATTTGGTTTAAACTTTTATGAAGTGGGGAGCAGTAGTCAGATGTTGAGCATCAAACAGCAGCGATGGAAACAAGGCTCAGACGGGGAGGTTGTAAAAGTGGCAGGTATCCATTTTCTACCTGCAGTGAGCAAATGCTGCATTTCTCCTTGGCTGTTTAATAAGAATTTTGTCATTTTCATCAGAGGTCTGCTTTTACTTTTGGGGTTCTGAATGCTGGTACCTTTGTGCAGAAAACACACCTGTTCAGAAATTGTATCCCAAACAAGGAAAACAAAACATTTATTTATCCAACTTAGTTCATTGATATATTTTTTAGCCATATGTGACAAATATCCGATTTTTTAAATGTAAATATGAACAGTGCACATCTGATTTTTACGAATCCGACCCAGGCCTCTTTTGTATGTGGATATTTATTGGATATGTATCTGATGTGACTGCAGTGTGGACGCTCAGGTCGCGTTCATCCGACCTATACGTCATCAATATGCGACAAATATCACCATTGTTTGACAACACAAACAGTCACGCCTGCTTTGTGCACATGCGGGTCACTTCATGGACACATTCTGTTCACATTAGATGCCTCATCTGTTGTTGTAATGTGAACGATTGCACAAAAAAATCGGATTTAACAAAAAATCCGAATTGTGCATCATAACCTGCAGTGTGAATGTAGCCTTAGTTTGTCTTTACATATAAACTGCTGATTGTACTTATAGTCAATGGTGATTTTTAAGACTCAACTCACTCGTTGTTTCTTAATATAAAGGATCTGTTTTGTTCATGTCATTGACATATATGTTTCCCAGTGAATAACTTTACTGAGGACAACTCATCAGCAACTTATCTGGCAATTGATATTCATAAAAAACACAATATTAAGAAATCAATTATTTTCAAGCAATATAAACAAAAAGGCTTGTTGTAGGGGTGTGTGATATGATCAAAAACTCATATTGTTATAGAGTCCATTAGTTATAGAGGCTTTTGAGACCATTAATATAGGTAAAAATGATATATGTCATTAGTGCACTAATGTATAGATGCTATACGTTAGAGTATGGAGTGATCATGAGTTTCTGAATCACAGTACGCACAGTTTGCTCATTTTAAGTTTTGTTTGTTTAATTTTGTTGTAGATGATTTTAAAGGCTGTCAGTATTAACAGGCTCAATATGAGGTCTGCATACAATCTTGCCCCTGTAGTTAAGCTACCCCCGACGTCTTCCTGACTTAAATAACTGGATTAAAAGTATTGTCACCACTGCACTTTGAAATGATAATTTTCAGTTTGAAAAACTCTTTGACAAGTCTTTGTGTCAAATGGAATTAAAATATTACAGAAATACTTAAAGGCTAAGCATATGGTGCAAGTGTTTGGACAGATGTCAGTCTGCTTGCCCCCTATTTCCTCAGACTGCACAGTCTTTTTGTCTTTTATGATGGTCACTATGTCCGACAGGGTGATTACAGAGCCATAAATTTTCGCTGTGAACAGACAGACATGACGGAGTACATGTACATGCACCACAAGTACACGACCATTCGTCATAACAGACATGCTGAAGAGAGGTTGGGCCAAATGACACCATGTTAACTGCAGTTACTGACAAGTTTACTGTAGTTTTTTTCCATCTGCTTACATTTCCCCTGTTTCAGTCTGTTGTGATTGTCACTTGATGATCATAGAGGCACGGATGTTTGTTGCTACAGCTCAACAAACTTTTCCTCAGTCTCATCGTCCCAGCACAAACTTCATCATTCCTCTTTCATGTTTCTATTTTGTTTGTTTATGCTTATTACTTTCAGTCTTCACAGCTCCTTGTGCTCTCGTCTTACAACATCACCTGCATGAGGGAACAAATTGTAGAAAGCAACAAGAAAAATCAAACATGTCAGACTTTCTGTGGAGAAGTTGTGAGGGATCCCAGATGTGTGTTTGATTGCTGTTGATGATGGCACATTACACAAGATGAAACTATCAATTTTTAAGGTTGACAGGCCCTGACACCTTACATCTGCTGGATTCGACTATATTCATGTCAATAAAATTTAGTCTGAGCCCAGCAGTAGTGTACTTTGGTAGAGACTTGAAAGAGTCAAATAAATATAATAAAGCCAAAAACTACTTTATTGATCAGACTTCAGCTGTGTAAAAACGTTACAGAGCAAGACAGACATATGTGGACAAGATGAGTGTTCAGCTTTCCAAAGGAAACAGATTAGATTCATTGGAGCATCTATAGAAAAGCAAGAAATACTGATTGGTCGACCTGCATTTTATATACCAGGATAATAAGAACTGACTGATACCTTTATAGTTAGACATTTGTTAGAATTACTATTGTTGTCTTATATTTGGGATTAATTTTGGAACTTTTTGCCTCCATTAATAAGGACAGCCTGAGAGAGATTATACATGATCAATGCGATGAGATTTGTAGCATCTATACATGGGTTTGCAGTAGGGCTGGGACGATATGCTTTTCTTCAGATTCAATTCTTCAATTTTTTGGATGCTGATTTGATTTAAATTGCGATTTTACAATATTGTTGATTTTCTCAATTTTTAGTCTCCATTTTTAACACCAGTGAAACAGTTGAATAATTCTGATTGTCTTCTGACTATTTCAGGAACCATATTTCCCCAAAAAATACACATCACATGTAAGTTAGTTTTTAGGATTTATTCTTAAAGTTGAAAAAAAAAATCGATTTAAAAATAAATTTAAAAATTGTAAAACAAAAAATCGCGATACTTATGTGAATCGATTGTTTCTCCCAACCCTAGTTTCCAATAGTGCCTTTATTTTGCATTGTTGTTATGGACTTAAAATACAAGAATAACAGCAAAAATTAACACGCAATCAAAATTTAGATCAGTTGCGATCAACTGATGAAATTCAAAGATTTGCTAGGACCCTATACTCTATCTTTTATACGCCCATATTGGCCTGATTGTATAACTATTATGCTGGTTGGATTCTGTAAGACAGGCTTCTTCCCTGTGGTCCGGGACGTCCTGAAAAAAAAAAAGCCAGTTTAGTGAATGAAGTGGTACTAAAATCTTTTTATGTGACACCAAAGTCAAAGACCTCTAAACTTGAAGCAAACAAAGAAACGAGTTTCCCTCCAGAGCCACATCCTGGGAAACAACGTCACTCCCTGAATTTATCAAAGAATCAGAGATGGGAAACTCTGTGTGTTCATGCATTCATTCATTTATCCAACATAAATAAAACCCTTTGATAGCAGCTCCAGTAACTATAACATCAGTGACAGCAAATAGGTCTTCACTCATCCTGTTCTGTCACCACACGCAGACACAAACACACACACATCGCTTCCTCTGGCTTCATGTGGGTGAACCCTGTGTTTTTGGCTCCGTCTCCCTCAGTGTGTGTGCGGCTAGTGTGCAGCCACTAGAATGTGACTCACCAGTTTTCTATTTACACCTCTCTCTCTCTGCAGCTTCTCTGGGTTTTCCACTACTTTCCCTTGTATGGAGTAATAGTGTAATTATAGTCCTTTGTGTGTGTTTGTGTGCACACAAGCACATATATACTGGTATGTTGTCATATTCCCAAATTCCTCCTTGATGCAAACTCCTAAAAATAAGGACAAGGCAGCAGCCTTTGCCTGCAGAGCTGGATCTTTCTGCACATACGTAGTTAATCAGATTAGACTGCGTGTCTTAAACACTCACAGGTCTGTGGTGATGATGAGCGGATGGTGAGCGGTGCGAGCCAGTTCTTAGTGCCAGCGCGAGGCTGAATGAGCCGCCTGTGCATTCATGTTTACATGTGTGTGCGCGTGTGTGTGTGTCCCAGCTGCTCTGCGGTAGGTAACTCTAATCAGCCCAGAGGTCGGCCAGCCAACTGGTCACGCTCTGAAAAAGACCAGAGACAACGGGCAGGTCGGGTTGCACAGAGAAAGACAGACAGGGAGATAAAGGCAGGTAGATCTCCCCAGCCAAGCACATAGACTGGTAGAGGAGATGGTGAGACGGGTAAGGAGGCAGGTGTTACAAATGCTATAAATGGACTGACATGCATGTAGACAGGCAGAAGGGTGGGCACCTCAGGAGACAAAGACTTGATTGATTCCCCTCAGAGATAAAGCCTCTGACTCTCTCTGCTGCTTTGTGACTATGCTGTCATTCGATCAGTAGAACCAGGGATAGCTGGTGATAAAAATGTGGCCGCGTAGGAGTCAGTCTCACCTGAAACCAGAAAAAAAAAATTCCAAGACAGTAAATCACAGCTGGGATGGCAGAGCGCTGAGTAGCTTTACTTTGTTCTTTGAGCTGCAGAAAGAGAGATAGATAGAAATTCCACCACCACATCAAAACCATGACGTTATTCTATATCTGATACTTGAGCAACTAAATCTACATCTATTTAAGAGAAGGTGAAGTTACCGCCAGGAGCCAGACATTTCAGGCTATAAAAAACCTGGGAAACAAAAGGGAAAGGCTAACCTTCCCCTGAGTAAAGTAACAAATCTGCACCCCTAAAGGTGTGTCCAGACCAAGAGGGGAAAGTGTGGAAAAAGGATTTACAAACCTGTTTCTTTGCACAAACTTGTGTGACACTGTGCCAAGGAATCTTGTCATTTTTAAGCTTTTTCTGACACCCTTAGATTGCTTTGAAATGGTCGATCAAACCCACTTTGAACATTGTCTGCTTGTCTTGCAAACAGGCCAGTAAAAGTGTTTATTTCTACTCTATAAATCTGCGTCTTGTGTAGTTAAGCTGGCGACCCCTCTGACTGTTTTACAGCAATTAAAACTCGGTACAATTTGTGTAACTTGGATTACTGCTGCGGTGAGCCTGATTGCAGCCACTATCAGATTTGCTAGTCACAGTAAATCTGCTTCTCACAGAAAATCCTCCCAAGCTGGAAAGAAACTCAAGTTGTTGGTTTAAAGTGGAAAAATCCTGGTCAAGTGAAGCCTGATTTAGCTAACAGCTCATCAAACTCAGCACAGGTCAACAAAGCAGCAATAAAAGCCCTGAAACTAACTGAGTGATGTTACAGACCCAGGTATGACAACATTTGACTTACCCGCTTTAACGTGTGGGAGTAATCCACAGATTTAAAAGATAAACATGGATGTTTTTCAGTGAAGTCACCTGTTTGTTCCCGAAGAAGCACAATGGAGCCCAAAGATGTTGCCATATTGGAAATGCTGATTCCAACTTCTCTAGAAATCTGTAGAGATGTTGAAATGGACCTTTAGTACTTTTTAAGGATGTTGCAAAGCTTTGGTCAGACTTAGAACAGAGTATTCATTTTTCTAAGTGGCACTAATGAAACAATCAAATATATGAAAACACATTTTCTCACATACTGTATAAATTACGCATGAAATTTAGGACATTTTTCTTCAAGTTTGTTCTCAGTGCTGTCTGCCTGGTATCCTACTATTTGTATTTAATGCATAGACCATGTCACAGAACAACAGTTTTAATAGATCGTAAACATTGGTTATTAAATGGGCTGTAGACACTGTGATATAAACACAGACTTGACAAAATTATAGCTGGAAATTGTGTTTAATTCTGACTGCTGCGTTTGCTGTTGGGTGCTAATTCGAGAGCTGCAGCACAGGTTGAGGTCTCTGAGCACAGTGTGGAAAAATGAAACAGTAAACTTCAGTAGACTTGATCACGACCTTAAAACTGGACCATCAGGAACCAGTTTGTATGACACTTTGTGGTCCAGGTGGCTATGGACTGGTGCATTCAGATCTTGGTTACTGATTTGGATCAGTGAGTCTAGTAATTATTCATTAGTGTGTGCATCCAAATACACACAATGGATGATCTATCATAGAGCCCCTCCTTCAGTTACAGCTGCTGGTATCTTAAATTTGAGCTTTAAGAACCAGTTTATTGACCAAAACACTGAACTGTTGGGACGTGTTTGTTTCTCCTCGTGTGATTTTTCCACACCTTTGGGCTTGAAGCCACGTCGCTGTCAGAGGTGAACCAGAACGACAAAACCAATACCAACATTACATTCAGATGAAGTAAGATTCAAGAGCGTGTAATGACCGCTTTGTTGTGATGCTTGTTGTTTACAGGATGTGCGCACCGCAAACACTGACGTTAACACACATGCACACACACGCACAGAAACACACTCACACACATAAACCAATTAAGGGCTTCTGTCTGGAAAGTTTCGACCTCAACACGGGCTTTTTTGGAAAAACTTTATATTCCACTGAGTGGAAGTTAGTCATGATACGCTCACCACACACTTACACTAACAGCACGCACACACACACACACACACACACACACACACACACACACACACACACACACACACTGTAACTGTGTTTGCTTCTGGTCATCTGGGTGTGATTAGCAGAGTTAATGCGTCGTGTTAAATAGACTTTCTACTGCACCTCACCACAAACACTGACCACAACACACACACACTGTCCATCTCTCTTACACACACACACACACACACACACACACACACTCACTTTTTATCGCTGCATCTGGCCAAAGCGTGATTTATATCTCACTCTCTTTCAAACACTGAAGGGTGTCTGCAGCTGTGCGCGTGCACGAGGGACATGCATGTGGTTCTGTATGTGTGTGTGTGTGTGTGTGTGCGTGTGTGGTTGTTTCCCTGCCTCTTTCCTGTTGTTGCATCAAGTAATATCAGGTTGTTATTTTTTAACACTGATTACTGTGGACCCAGCGTTCACCAGGACCATGTGGAAGTCCTTCGCTCTAAGTGTTCCTCTCACTCCGAGGGTCAGCTTTGTTTTTGACGGGTCTCTCGTGTCTCAAGCTCAGGAAAAAATTTCTCTTTTCCATCCCAGGGTAGAAAAAGAGTTTAATACCATGTGCTTTTAAGTGTTGCTATGTAATCCAGCCATATGGAAATCCATCATTAAAATGAATTCTCTGCTGTTTTATGTTCTCGTCGTATTTCATAAGCCGGGTTGAAGTGAGACTCTCTTGATAGTTCTCATGCAAGGTGCCTTGTGAGCGATTGCATGATGATTTTATTCATCCATGATCCATAAATTACCCAAAGACGGTCTTATTTACATTGAATTTAATGTTTTTGAATTAATAAAACTTCACCCTACACCCTTCTCCATCAGCAGAAGTGCAACAAAACATGGTTTTCACATTATAAAATGTTCTTCCACTAAGGATGAAAACACACTATTAAAAGTTGGCGTCTCATTATTAAAATAAGCCTCGGGCCAGATGAACAGCAGTCACCAAAATTTATTACGTCCTGTTCCATAACTAGTATCCACTTCTCCCCGCCAGTGTCCTCCCAGCTCCTATTAACTAATATTTATTTCCATCTTTCACCTCCTTTTGTCCGCCTCCCTCTGCTCTTTTCAACTTCCTCCCTCACTCCCATTTCCTCTCTGTCTCCCACATCCAACTTCTTTTCTCCTCTTCAAACCACCTTCTTCCAATCCTCCCTTTCTTTTCCCATCCTTCTCTGCAGCTGTTTTTGCTGCAGGCGCACACACACATTTTGAGACTCCCCTAAACCCCACTTTGACCACTGTTTAATAGCCACACGGCACACAGGCCGGTCGAACTGGCCTTGATTGTTTCTGACAGCAAGTATGTCCCATGAAATCGACTTGCAGGAATTGTGCCTGCGCGCATGTGCGTTTATGTTGCAGAGGGAGCTGAAGGAGAGTGACAGAAGAGGGAGGAGGTTTTGGCAAAAGAGGATAGAGAGAAAGAAAGTGTGAAAAAGATTAAGAGAGGGGATGAAGATGTGAGGCCAGCGGGGGGGAAAGCAGCTTTGTATCTCCTCAAAGGAAATCTGGAGATGCTTAACTGGTCTTCAGTTCTTTGAGTAAAGCATCAGTAGTTGATCATCGATGCGGCTCTTCAGTCCTCTCCATTCTTATCCAGAGAAGATGACAGGAGGCCAGTCTGAACGGATAGGAGCAGGTTGAAGAAGATGAAATGTGAAGTTTGTGTATGATTTGGACGGTGAAATCTGTTTTTCTTCTCCTAAATGAAGGCAGATTCAGAATCAGTATTCAAACTCTTATGTGTAAATAAGTATAACAGAAGGATGGCGCGTTGAGGGGAAACCTTGACGGAGAATCTCAGAGGCTGACCACGAAGAACAACATTACCAGATCAAAAATATGTTTTACTGGATGCCTTGGAGACTGGGGGAGTGGGAATATTCTGAAGGAGTTTGAGAAGTCATGAGGGCTGTGATTTAGATTTGATTAGGATTAATTTGGATATGATTAGCATTCAGAACCATTTTGTGTCATATCAGTCAGCTACAGCAGTGAAATGAGTTTGGAAAATGACCTCACTCACTGTAATGGGTCTTAAAAACATAGAAAAACCTATATTTGATTACTTCAAAAACCAAACCCAACGTTCACAAACTTAACGTCATTTTTCGGTTTTATTTATGGCATTGAAAATACATCTTTTTTGGGGGTTCTGTTTTTTGAGGTCATACAGGGACATTTTATTTATCAAAATGACAGAGAAGTTTTCAACATAAATAAACCAGATAGCAACGCAGCTGTATGACTTTGTTGTTCAAACACCTACTCATAAAATCCAACCAGTCCAGGTACACTCATGCTGGTGGATGGAGAGAATTTGTCCCAAAAGCTGATTAAGTGAATGCAAAAAACTGAATCTCTTCATCTCTAAAAAGCTCCATGATGGAGGACTGACTAAAACCAGTATGTTGCTGCACTAAATCAACTCAAAGGTAGCTTGTAGAGTTTTTGACCTGACTTGATCCCACGCACAGTTACCTCCATGTTTTCACATCAGTGGTGATCATTTCAGGGCCACAGAGAGTAGCAAAGACCCAATAGTGAGTTGCGGCTGTAGACAGTGCAGGTTGGAAATATACATACTGCACATGTAAACTGGGGCTGCACAATAAATTACGAGTTTATTCATATCATGCTGTGAACACAATGCAAAAATCTTGATTCGACAATATAACTAGCTTTCTTCCAAATGTTGCAACCCACTAACCACAGACGATAGTTCTGGGATCGTCCTTTCTATTTCTCAGAGTCTGGCATGTACAGCGGGGCTTCGGGGGCGGAGCTTGGAGTTGTGATGTATGAAATTTCACTGTATCTGAACCTGCTGTTTAGGTCTGCCAGAGATACACAGTGAATGTATGCAAAAATACTCAGAAACGCAATTTTGCACTTATTTTTTCTCATGATATGTCCTGTAGCATCAGAAAAATGCCATATAAACATGATTTTCATCGGAGCGGGTCTTTAATGCTCAACTTGTTTCCTCCTCCTTCTCTCATTTACCTCTAAAAATAGTCATTTTCAGGAGCAGATATTATCTCTTTCAAAATCAATGGCACAGATTACAGTTCGGATCAATTCTCACTTACTGTAGCCTGTGTGGACTTGCGTCAAACCTCCATCCTTGCACTCCTCCTGCATCCTCTTGGAAAACTGCACCTCTCCTCCGCTGCTAACAGCTGGAAAACTGAGGCAACGGTTTGCAGCTGCGGCAGCAGAAATGGACAACAGGGAGAGCATGAGAGGAATGACACAAACAAATTTGTGGAGAACTTGGAGCACTGACCGTTTTCACACATATTTTCGACTTTTTTGTTCCTTCAGAGAGCGGGTGTGACTGTCAGTTTGTCAAATTTCCATAAATTGCAAGGGGCAGGTTTCATCATGGTGGAGTCGGAGAGAAGTTAACCCCTCAGCTTTATTTTAAGAGTGTGTCTTAATCTCTCCCTCACCTGACTGGGATCCTTCTAGCTGCAACATTCAGCATCTGTGCGGTCTTTAAAAGGGAATAAATCCTCCACTTCATACATCAAAGTCTAATTCAGCTCCTTTAGCAGCTATTTAACCACAGTAGTCAATATGCATCTGTTAAAATGTGAATGAGTCAATTCAGCATCTTCTGTACCGTGAAAGCCCTTAACCCCTAATCTCTGACCTTTGACCTGTGCACTGTTACCCCAACTCTAACCCCTTAACCCTCGTCAGAACAGAAGCACAAAGGCTACCTAAAGATGTGTGTGTGTGTGTGTGTGTGTGTGTGTGTGTGTGTGTGTGTGTGTGTGTGAGAGGAAAAGAGGTGAGCTTGGTTCAGGCTAAATACAGCACAGTCAGGAAAAGGCTTATGAGTCGTTAAGACGGCTTATCCCACACACACACACACACACACACACACACACACACACACACACACACACACACACACACACAGAGGGAAGCTTCCTGGAGACACACACATGGCAACAGACAGATACACAGATGCACACGCACCACAGTATTATAATAGTTGTTTTGATGTTGGATGATGACACCGTGATTATGCAGATGATGATGATGATAAAGCATTTCAGAGGGAAGAGCAGCAGTTTCCACAATGACTGAAGGACTGTTTTACCAAAGCTGGTCTAGAAAGGACAGAAAGAGTTTCCAGTCTGTGTTTAAAGCACCAGAAAGATCCAAAATTATAGAAAAATTCAGCTAATTGAACAGAAAACATCAGACTGAGACGCTTGTGTAATATCTGGTCACACTCTTGACCAGTGTCTTGACTTAAGGTTAACACAGTGGTATCTGTTTTTCCCTGAGACTGTGCCAAACACACATGTAGTTCCTGTGACGGCTCTCATTAGTCTCTGCTGGGCTATTTGGAGCCTAATAATAGCAGTTACTATATTGCAAATATCAACACAATCTAAATTTTGGTTAATAAGGCAAGCTACCAGATACCATGTGCCCGCCTGCCAGCCAAGCCCCTGATTCAGTTTAATTATGTAAACCATAGACTGTATATAATATGGACAACTTGGTTCCGCCTTCCGCCTGTATACGGATTTGAAGCTGAAAAGCTCTCAGTATTTCGTGATTTTTCTCCATTTCCTGAAACCAACATTGCGCAGTAGCGTTGTGTGCATTTGGCGGGAGAGTCGCTGTGTTGACGCTGGGCTGAAACAGCGTATCCCCCGGGGGAGCTACGCAATCTTTGTACACCCATAAGTGTCAATCATAGAAAACATGAACCCCCTAACAACTTTTAAAAACGGAGCTGTAAAGAAAAAAGAGGACTTAAGCACAAACCAGTATTACTGTCAACATTGCAACCAGGGGGGAGAAAAATTTATATTCTGTGTAATAAATTTCTACAGTTTGTCCAAAGCTCCATGAGCTTTGCTGGAGGAGGCAGGATTTATGACCTACACTGCAGCCCGTCACCAGAGGGTGCTGTTCTCGGAGTGGCTTCGCAAAGAGAGGGGGCAAATGGCGTCCATTCTATATACAGTCTATGTGTAAAACTTGTAAACCAAATAGGACTGTTGATTAATTAACATTCGCGATTTACAAAAATGAAAATGAAAATTTCCTCATCGTTGGTGCCTCCACCTCAGAGAATCAAAAGTGATATAAATGAATGAAGAAGAAAACCTGATAGACCCCTACAATGAGTTTCTGCTTGTGGTAATATGTAGAAAAGTATGAAATAACTTCTTAATTAAAAACAGTGATAAATAATCTGTTTATGTTTAGAAATACTTAGTTTAACAGGTCGTATCTTTCCAACACCTGCAGCAGTTAAGGAGTTATTTCGATGGTAGAAAAGAGCAGCAGTGGGGTTGGAGTGGTTTGGTTAATCTGAATTTCTGTGCCTGTGGTCATGAAGTGACGTCTCCCTCTGTCATGGTGGTTTCTCAGACATGTTTACCGGTGGTCTTGACTCACGTAGCAATAGCTGCAAACACATTAAAACACTCACACATAAACATACATCCCACCGGCTGAACTGTCTGCTTCAGCAGCCACAGGCACAGTGTGTTCAGTCATTTTGCGCCTCGATGATAATTATGTAAATAAAGTGAAAGGTTAAGTATGAGTCTCTCTGCATGTCAGGGTTTCTCTGGTTTTGCAGTTTGGTGGATGACCTTCTATTAACAATATTTTGCTTTCCGTGTCCTTGTACCTTGAACAGCATTTCCACATGAATAGGTCAAATGCAGACGTTGCGTCAAACGCAGGTTTTTTTCTGTAAAAGGTGCTTTTATTTTGTGCAGTTGATTTAATCCTCTTCCTCTTTTTCTCCTCCAGAGTGACCAAGTTCTGGTTTGGTGTGAAAACCACAGACGCTGCGCACAGGTAAGTACACAGCCTGCACAATTTCCTGATGACCTTCCCAAATATAAATCAGTGCTACTCACTCTCAGATACTCGTAATAACCCGGGCATAATCCTCAAACTAAATCTTGGGCTAAACTGTGTGTGTGTTTGTTCTCTTTTGCTGAAATAGCACCTCTCTCGCTGGTTGTTTTATACGGAAAAAGCTCTGACAGCATGAAACTTCTGTTTATTTCACTTTCCTGGTGAAAGTAAATATAGCTGGTGAAAATAAATAGGCTGCAGTAAATCTCAAACAACAACATGTGAGAAGTGATAAGGGCTGAATTTCTAATGCATTCAAGCACACCCATGAAGAAAAAGACCAGTGCTCCTGCGGGGGTCAGGGATTTCACTAAAATACCTCACAGCTACAGCATTGATTTAAACCAAATATGTCAGGTTTTTTTGCAAATAAAAAAGTATGAGGACTGTGATACTTCTTCTCAGGCTTTGTGAACAGTTTTTTGTCCAGTAAAAGGACTCTGATGATATATCAATCAAAACATAGCTATGCCCCTTTTTTAATGTGTAAGAATCAGGTCTGAAAAAGTAAAATAAAACCTACAGTTAATTTAATCAGAATCGCCTTTATTGTCATTGTAAAAACATCACAATGAGATTTGGGTGCACCTCCAAAGTGCTTTCCAGGTAGATAAAAACACGATAAATAATTAATAGATAAATATATGTACAACTAGGTAAAAAGACCTGTGTAAAATGTAGTAAATATATAAAAAGAGGGTAGGAACTGCACAAAAATCTGATTTCCACCCAGTAACCAGCTGGTGTTTTGGAGCTCCCACTGTTCAGTGTATCTTGCAGTTCCACAAACTTTGCATGCCTCTGCTTTAGATAAGTGCATGAATTAGTTTAAGTGCTGCCTCTAAATGCTGCAGATTTGGCAGAGCTGAACTCTCACATTGACTTGAACTTTCAGGCCTCGTGAGATCATTGACAGTTCTCTAAAGTAATCAGCCAAGTTAAATTAAGAATAGATTGATAGTTTTACACAATGTCCTAAACCAAGTTTTCCAGTTTGAGCTGACCTTTTTGAATTTTAGGTTGGGACAGAGTATATCCTGGGGTTTATATCAGGTATTTGAACAGAAATTTTAAACCGCCATTCCTCCTTAAAGGTAAAAAAAAACCCGCACACATGCATTGCTCAGGTCTTTTTTTTTTGGACATATTTTTAATAAAACTTTTTCTTGCAAAGCAGATACAACAAATACAACATAAAACAAAACGGTGCACAGAATACAGACACTGAAGCCTGACAGGGGAAGATAAATAAAATACAATAAATAAATGCTTAAAAAATAAATTAGTAAAAATAACAGTGAAAGTAATTAAAAAAGATAATAATAACAGAGACAATTTTCAGGAAGTTCAAGGAGGACAGAATAACATACTCAAATTTAAAAGCATACCAGGCTATGGCTCTGCATGTTTTCCCCAGGCCAGATCTACAAGCGCTGACCTCATCCTACGAGATGCAGTGGTACCTAGGTAGTCCAGAAATAGATCCCAAGTCCAATAGAATAGAAAGGGTTTGTCCTTCAATGCTGTGGAGAAGGCATCAAATGGAATAATACTAGTCACACTTTGTTTCCACTGATCGAGAGTGGGAGCTTTATCCGTGATCCATACGGCCATGATACATTTCTGGGCGCAGTGCAGAAGAATGTGCAGAAGGTGTCTATTGCGAAGATCATGCATTGCTCAGGTTGCCTGGTTATAGACAATTTGGTCTACATTTTCTAAGTTTAAATACAACCAAAGTGTGTCAAAATAGGTCTGGGTAGTAGAGCATTAAAACATTCTGACAGTAACCCCGTCTGGAGCTGAGATACAGCGTATCACAGACAGTTTAGGACTTCAGTTTTAAAGATTCAAATTGATTTAACCAACAGGCAACTCTTGTGTGCCAATTAACAATGGTAATGACAATTAATAAAGGGCAGATGATTCAAAATGTTGAAAATACAACACGAGTTAAAGTTGAACAGTCTGAAACCCTTTTTGTCTTTTAACTCTCAGTGTAGCTTTGGACAATAAAAACATCCAGACACAACAATCTCTACAGCGCACAATTGTTGCTCTCTCAGTCCATCTCCTGAAGCACAGAGACAGAACGAGGGTCCGTCCCTTCCTCTCCTTGTTGATGAAATCTTCACACTCACCACACCACTGCTGTTATAGCAAAGGTTATGTTTTTAGTTCAAATGACCTCCTCACACTGGAGCAGAAAATTACCCCCTGTTTATTCACTTAACACCGCCTGCCAGGAGGCTTCACTGTGTGTATGTGTACATCTAAATGTGTGTGTGTGTGTTAATTCATTGTTTGATTTAAGAGGAGTTTCCATTCTGTGTGTATTTTTAGCTGCCAGTCCGTCCATTTCTGCAGCAGCTTGTTTGAGCGTTCTGGACATAATCGTCTGTACTTTAAGACCTCTGGTTCACCTCGGACACACTGACAGGACAACATGGGCCTCCACATCTTAAAGCAAATTATCAAATCTTGAAAAGAGCAGATGCTAAATGGAAATGCAGAAATGACGAAGCCTTATAGTCTGTAAAATGTCCTTTCACTTTACTTTTATTCACAGACCTTAACTCACTCAATATTAATGACTTCTTGAAAGTTCCTGTCTGGTTTCTAATTGATGTGTTTTCTGAACTCCCTGTTCAGGTTCAGGCTTATTTAAAAGCCTCGTCTCAGCTGAAAGCACACCTGAGTCATATTTTACTTCTTGCAACATTGCCAAGCTTTTCCTGAGAATTCACACGATGGACGGATAAGGGGAAAGGCGAGAGACAGGCGTGCGAGAGGGAGCGTATATCAGTAGTTTGTGTATGTTGAGGTCAACTGGGGTTAATGTCAACAACAGCCAGGTCTACCCCTGTTTTCCTCAAAAACTCTAAAACATCAGACGTCAACTCTCTGCTTCTCCCAACATAAACACAAACACACACGCAGCCTTTAACCTCCAAACTTATCTGCATCCTTTCTTTCCTTCCGTCTCTCCCTTCCTTTGTTTCTATTCCTGATGTTTATAGTTTTACAAAAAAAGCAGGGTGAATGAGAACAGAAAATATTTTCTACTTCAAACCCATGTCCAAACTTTATCACCCTGGCTTTGCGCCTTGTTCTCGCTAATGTGTGAATACCAGTGTGGCACTCGAAATCAGCCAATGGGGGCTCGAGACTGCATAAACCACAACTTTTCCCTCTCAGACAGCCTGATACTGCACAGACATGCTCAGTCTCTTCTTGGTTGTTATTAATTTTACCATTTTACAGTCTGTTGAATGTGGCCACAGCCCAATTTGTAAAAGTCACCACGGCAGGCCAACAAAAATAAATTAGTACAGAAAAGCACATATCCCAGTCCTGAGCCATAATTGTCAAGATTCATCACAATAATGAATTGTACAGCTGAGAGGGTTCAGGACTGTTAATGCTCCTGAGGTATGTACAGGAAATCTGGAGATGATAGGAGCTGTTTATTATGTTTTTATTGATTATTCACCTCCAGAGCATTAAGAGAAAAGCTCAGTACACTTTGTCACTGTTTCGTTAATGAATACTCCCAGGTTTCTGCTGCACTTTATTTGAATAATTCTGCACTTATCCCAGACAAATATTTAATAAAAGGAAGTAACTCTGATCCCTAAGGGTTATGAAGCACTACAGAGACAATAAAGAGTATTGTTTCAAAAATTTTATTTACGTTAGTGGAGGAGCCGTTATGTCATTTTGTTGGCGCACCCCTCTCACACTGACATGAGGGGTTTTTCGACGATACAGTTTGAGTGGCTTTTGGGGTTCTTAAACTATTCTCCCAGCGCAACCATTAAGCTGTGGTTTTGTGTCAAACTTCAACACCTCTTTGATTGATCGACGTGAGATTGTATACACCTCGTCTCAACAGATTGTAATAACTTTACAGCTTCCTGAGTTCTCATTAAGCATCATCCTCAAGTCAAAACATGACTTTTCCAGGACTTTGGGCTCTGGCCAAATTCCTTCAAACCTCTGACAGTCACACCGGCTGCAGCTTCACTAAGTGTGTAGGGCTAATAGGCAAATACAATAATGTTAACACACGCAGTAAGATGATGAAGAATGTCAATATTAGAGCAGTTAAGAATCAGTGTGTAAGTATTAGCATTTTAAAGCCAGAGAAAAATCTGATTTATTCTAAATGGGAAAGTGATAGTGACACAGTTTAGCCTCTTTTACGCCTCTGTATTTCACACAGCTTACTGAGTAATGAGTTGAATCAAAAACATATTTGACAGCCTATTGGCTAACATTAGACCGCAGCTAAAACTAGCAGCTGGTCACTTCCTGGTAGGAAAAAGAAAAATCACACAGAATGGAAAAGGAGATAATTTCACACAAGCATAGAGCACAGAGCTTTCATAGATGACTACTCTGGAAGTGTTAATGTTTGTTTGTGTGTATTTTTACATCATGTTAGTTCTCCAATACAATATTATGCACAATACAGTGTGTGTGTCTTTTTTATCCTTTTAAATTCTCTTTTTCCCTTAATCTTGATAATATCATTTGCCAAAAATTTGATTTGTTCAAAGAAAATTGCTGGTTTACATGTAAGATTCCTCATGTCATGATTAGGGTAAGTCCGCAGGTGTTATGGAGCACTCACTCCAAGCACGAGTAAAATCATCTACTCGCTTAATTCGCGCGAATATAGACGTGTGAGTGAATAGTATTTACTGTCTTCATTCATTCAACGGTAAATTCAGTGGTAATCCCTGCCAGTTCAACTGGCGGGATCAAGTGATAGACAAGGGTTTTTTACAATTTACCAGGTAATCTGACCTCCTCACTCACTTGCCTTCAGGTGAGCTCCTTTTTATTGTGGTTTTGGTAATTGAAAGACAAGGTATTCGGGGCACCCACACACTGACACGATCAGTTTGCCCTCCATTTAAGATACCAGTGAACAACCATCCGTTGTCATACATCACCCGGCATGTAAAAAAGACACCAGTACTTACAGGAGTACTTTCAAAATAACCATCTATGAAAAAGTCACTATGTTTGTGCGAACTTTTCCCTTTTTCTGTCGTATCTGTGAGTTTTCAATGTTAATGTCATTTAGTAGACTAAATGTTTACATTAGCTGTGTTCTGGTATGAGCTAATAGGCTGTCAAATGCTCTCAAATCTAAAATATGACCTGATCTCTGTATCTGAAGACTTTGGGGCTGCTTATCAATCAATGAGCTGTACAATGGCCATGATTTGTCTCATTATGTAAGGTTTGTATTATTGATCTGACACATATCAGTTGTTGATACTTGACTTACATGTCTTCAGAAGACTTGTGGTGTAACTCAGACCATGTAGTTAAAGAGTCGCCTTGCTAAAGTTTTTGTTTTTTTGTAAAAAGGGTAGGCAAAATAAGCATGAGCTTCAGCCTACACCTTTTCGATTAGCTTTATGATGCTTTTTAAATTTACTATGTATCTGTTGTGGGTGGATTTTAAATGCTAATCGAATAAAATAATTGAATTGAATTGAATTGAATATAAACAGAAAACATTATTCTAAAATAATACACACAAGGTCACTACAAGCTGCTAGGAAAGATCTCAGTCTAAGTCACAGTTTGTGCTCACACAACATTATTTGGGATTAATTTATTGTTACAGCGTATTACCCAGCTCTTGCCTGGATCATTTTCTCAGCAGGGAGAAATGAACATGAAGGTCAGAGGGCAGTGTTTCACAGCTTTTGATTTGTGAGGGAAAAAGCTCCTCTGCAATGTTTCATTCTCAGACGTTTGCACTTGGGAGCTACATTTTTTAATGTTTATAAACCCAATTTTAAGGTTTTTAGTGAGACAAATCAAACAAAAAATAAGTTGTTCTCAACCCACACTCAGCTGCAGGATCTCATAAAGCCTTCTGGCAGTGGAACAAACTCAATAACTTTTGACAGAGAGTTTAAGAGACTTCGTTGACGACTGCTGTTACTTTCCTCCCGCTCTCTAAAGCTCCTCTGAGTCCCTACCCAGACTTGGAGCTGTGCTGGACTTGGTTTTTCTCACTGAGGTTTTTCAAATGCGTCGCACTCTGTCAGTGTGTGTGCTCACACACCCTCACTTCCAAAATGGAGAGCTGTGAAACTTAAGGACACACCTCGCCTCCCAGGGTGTTGACGTAAGAGGCAGAGAATTAAAAAATTCAGAATATACAGAATATATGTTACTCAACATTTGGGTTGTAAAGAGTTGGGAAAAATAAGAAAAGAGAAAGGTGAGCTTTACGCTTTTGACTTTTATCTGCTCCTTTGTTGCATAAAACCCTTGTGTCTCTCTGCTAACATCACAAATACACAAACACACACGCACACATGCACCAGGCAGATGTTGCCCTAACACATATGGTTTGTGTCACATCATCAGCAGACTCTCTCATGGAAAAACACACATGCAAGTTCACTAGAACTGAACTGCACCCCTCACTCTTTTCCTCCATCTGTTGATCTCTGCCTTCTTTTATCTCTCTCTCTCTCTCTCTCTTACACTCACACACTCTCACACACAAATACAGAGTGCATGTAGTAATGTGTACCAGGTGTGTGAGAAGCTGCAGGATGTCCACCAACAAACAGGTCTGATGCAGAACAAAGAAACCAAGTCACTGCTCCTCTTCCTCATTTGTTCTTCATTACACTCCGAGCTGGTGGAGTAAACCTTTTTTGCATTCTCCTCTTATGTTCAGTTTTTTACCACAGAGTCAAGTGGCTTATGGTCAATTTCTTAAAACTAGCAGATGTTGAAATAGCAGGACTTCTGTCAGTAAAATGATGTAATTGAATGAGATCAGTGTGGATCAGAGTTTGTCTGTAGCAACAGTCTGTTATTCATAGAAGCATTCAGCTGTACAGAAATAACAGCCAGTACTATCGTTTGATTTGACGTGAATTGACATCAGGAAATCAAACCGCTCAGAGCTTATTACTTGTGGATGCATACACAGAAATCTTGTTCTTTCTTGGTCCCCATTTGTCTAAATGAGTATCTGTGTAAAAAAGCAGTTGCAGAGAAAATTCTTCATTCTTAAATTTTTAAGAACCTGTATGAGTTGTTGTTGCACAATATCCCAAAAGTGCTCCTGAAATCAGAGGTTGTTTTGTTTTAGCTCACTAGAAAAAGCTGCTTTGACACCATAAATTCCCAGTTTGGGAGCAATAAAGTAATTCTGATTCTGATTCTTAGAGGTTCTTGAAAAAATCTGAGGGGAGTTGATATCTGTAGTCACTCTACTGCCTTTCTTGTTTCTTCAGGGTTTTTATTTTAACATGCTCTTCAAGTGACACCTGTGAAGTATTTCTAACCTCAAAATGCCAGCAGGTTATACAACAGACTAAATTTGATACTGATGAATAAATGTTTCACAAACGCATACAAGAACATCCAAGAAAAGATTGTAATTTTCTACCAGGGATGTTGTGAAGCAATTCACTAAAACTGAAATTGAAATTGCAGCCAGACTTCTTCTCTAAAAGTCAGAAGACACTATCTGAAAGGGTCCAAAGACAGTTTTTGCAGCATCCGTTTTCCAATACTGTCATTTCAAAAGAAGCTTCAAACTTAATCTGATGGCATTTATAAGTAAGTTTATAAGTAACACAACACAGCTGCATCATTTGAGCTAAATATTCTTAGTTTGAACCCTATTGGCCTTAAACAAAGATATTTTTTCACAATTACAATTTGGAAAACAAACAAAATACGTGCTCGCAAAGAAACAGCGCATTCAGCCAATAGTCAAATAGTTGATTGTAAAACAAGTCCATTACACGTTAAGGCAAGTAGCCGATCATAGTCTAGGATTTGGAGGTGTTAAATAACATTTCAGAATATTTGCTGAATTTATTGAATAGATAACTGCTGAGAGCTGTTTGTATTTATTAAGTTAGGGTGTTTCAGAACAGTTCCGCTCAATATAAAATGTAGATCTCAAGTGTTGTCCTCAGAAAACAGTGATCCTCACGAGGACACACAGAAGGGTCGGGGGCAGTACAAAGTTTGATGGAGGAGGTTGCCTCTCGTTTTATGTACAGTCTAAACCCTGGTTGATTTTGGCACCAAAACTGTAAGGCTTGAACTAAATATCCACTCCATGTGCTGCACATACTGTATGTGGTACTTTGGGTTGAAGATATAAAATAAACTCTGAAGAACTGATGACAAGCTAAAACATAAATTACCAAAATATTTGCTGAATTTATTGAATAGATAACTGCTGAGAGCTGTTTGTATTTATTAAGTTAGGGTGTTTCAGAACAGTTCTGCTCAATATAAAATGTAGATCTCAAGTGTTGTCCTCAGAAAACAGTGATCCTCACGAGGACACACAGAGGGGTCGGGGGCAGTACAAAGTTTGATGGAGGAGGTTGCCTCTCGTTTTATGTACAGTCTAAACCCTGGTTGATTTTGGCACCAAAACTGTAAGGCTTGAACTAAATATCCACTCCATGTGCTGCACATACTGTATGTGGTACTTTGGGTTGAAGATATAAAATAAACTCTGAAGAACTGATGACAAGCTAAAACATAAATTACCATAAATAGTTTTTCATGTTGTACCCACTGAACTGCTGACCATGTACGGAGAGGGAGCACATCTGGTCTTTCTTTTGTCTCTTTGCCTCTTTCTCCTTTGGCTCTGGACCTGTTTCACAATTTGTCTTTCATCTCTTCCCTCCTTTTCAACTGACACTCACTTCATCCCCCCTCCATCCTCTCTGGAACCACATGTCTCCTCCCCTCCCTCTCCCGTTTCCTCTCCTCCCTCTCGCTGAGTGTGGCTGTCATCCCTCTACCGTGGCAGGTGAGGCCATAAAACAGCAGGAAGGGGCCAGAGGTGCGTGTGCATGTGTGTGTGATTAATTATTATACAGATATCTGAGGAGCTGCTATGCAAACTGTGCACACATACCTGGTCATTAATCTCAGCTGTGTTGTTACAGTGTGTTGGAGTGTTAAACAGTAACGTCTCTGACCTTTGACCTCTGCTGTGTCTACTGTTCTCTCTCCCTTAAACACATAACTCATCATGTCGCCTTCAAGGCCAAAGTGTCTGTTCATCTCTCAGCTCCTCTTACACAAATACAGTGCTTCTCAATGATTTACTACATCCAAAGGATATTTGAGAGTGTAAGGTGCGTACCTCTTACATACCACGAGTGTTTTCAGCTTAAATCCATTCGCCTCAACCCTCCCGTCCCCCAATCTCTCACATTTCTGACCCTACTGTGTAAAACAATAAATACTCACATTAATCACATAAGTGAAACCTGTACGAAAACAATATAAGTAAGAGTTTTGCATATGTGGCCACAAGCATATTATATTAATTATAATTAGAGGTAATTGTGCAGGAATTTCACAATAAAACAGGTAAAATAGGAGATAAAACTTGATAATAGATGAAAAAATAAAGATTTATCAGTCACATATTTGAGCATCTGTTACTGCACCAAACATGTGGGCCAACCGTTGTCTCTACAAACTATCAGGGTTGAACTGAGTCTCTGTGATTGGTTTGTTACATCGTGATTGATTCAAAGTGGAAAGTAGGACGCGCATATTTAAAGGAGCATTCAGTATAAGGTTGTTGATGACATGAAAAAAAACATGTTATTTTTATCAAAACTGTAATCCATTCGTCACTCATTGTAGCTTTAAAGTGGATTTGGTAATGTGTTAACTGGTGGTCTGTGAGGGCATTTCTGTTTTTGTTACAACCTCTTCAGAGACAATTACAGGAAAAGGACTCGTACCTGTGACATTGTGATAACATGGTCAGAGTTCTTAACCCCTCTGTTCAACATTAGGACCACTTAGGATGAGGTATAAATAGCATAGCAGCTCTTTTTTTAAGGACTCTTACTTCCTATGTCTGTACATTACAAGTTTTTCTTGTGTCATTTGGATAAACCCAGCTGAACCTTGTGACAGAAACAGTGAAAGAGTGACCTTTGTTGTCTGGACAAGAATATTAAACTTTTTGAATGGGCCCTGTGTAGTTAGAATTAAAGAAATCGTAAGTTTTAGATTAAGGAAATGATCATTTTTGGTTCGAGTCAAAATAAATATGTTAGTTGTCTTACTCTAATGATGTACAGAAGACAACTTAATCCAGGATTGTTCACTGACATTTTGTGTTTTTCTGGGTGGTATCGCACGACAGAGATTAAAAGACAAACAAGTTAATGTTCAGTAAACATTAATTTAAAGCTCCTGTGAGTAATTTTTTGATGATTATGAAACCATCTGAAACTTAAACTCGTGCCTTTTTTATAATATATGAAAGCAAATAAGACCATTGGTGACAAGATTGTAGTTTTTATGTTGTAAAAATGTAGAGGGTGAGTGTCACAGACGCAAAAGTTTCTCACAGGAGCTTTAATTAACCTGAGATAACAGAGGTAGGTGAGAAGAACCGACACTTACTATAGAAAAACGTTACTGAAAATGAACACTTGCACAACCTATTGGGTACCAACAGTCTTAACAGAAAACATGTTTTCTGGTTCTGCTCTTATACTGCAGCCAGCCACCAGGGGGAGCTCTAAATGCTGTGGTTTCGCTCCTTCACTCTCTTCTTATTCAGTCTGTGGATTAATTATAAAGACGTTTTGGCCGCTCTGTCACTGCCTTTATTTCACCAATTAGATGGACATGTCAGGATATTAGATTTAAAGGCTGGAACTGTGTTTTTTATTGCCTTTAACCAGCAGGTTTGTACACCTTCACTTCACCGATTTTTTGTTGGTGTGGATGTTTTATCCTTTGAGAAGTCTGTGGAGAGCAGAAGAAAACTGACAGGGGATGTTGAAGTGAGGCAAAGAAAAAAGGTAAAAAAAGGAAGCACAGATAAAAGGTCAGGAAGGAAAAGAAGAGGAGTGAAAATGTGAAGACAGGAGACAAAAAGATCAGAGGATGATTGAAGGAGATGAGTGGTGGAGAGAGAGGAAGAGGACAGGAAAAATTAAACATGGCTGTAACTGATGAAAGTAGCAGTCAAAGAGGGGAAGAGGAGGCTGAGAGCGGGGCGATTGGACGGATGATGGAGTAGTGTAAATGTGTTGGATGGTTTGTGTGTGTTTCAGTGTGTGTGAGCGTGTGGAAGTGTTTCAGGGAGGATTTGACAACCTGAGCAGCACATGGTCAAGTGAAGAGACCCATGAGAGCTGCTTGAAAGAAACACAGCACACTTCAGGATCTGGTTACAGTACCCTGTGTGTGTATTTGAGTGTGTATGTGTGTGTGAGTGTGTACCCCTGTGTTATCTCTCCTCATGTGTTATCTCCGGCATCCTGGAGGAATGCATGAAAAACTTACAGTGCACAAAAGAGGAATAAAACATCAGTATAAAGTGATACCTTTAATAAAACCAATTTGTAACGGTTGGCTGAGGGAATTTGTTAAGTCTTTTTTTTCACAAGGAATAAAGGTTGTGGTCACCTTTGATTTATGACAGTTTTATAGGATCCAAATGTGACGAGTCCACATAAACTGGAGTGCCTATGGAGGGTCATTGCTTCCCATTATTGTAAAAGGAGTGTTACCAAAACTATATTTTATTTTACCTTTATTTTTTAAAATGCAAATTAGTTTTTTTTCAGCTATTGATTACTCTCCATGGCAACAACTACATGTTCGATCTTTGCATTGTCGAAAGAAAGTCTAAATGCTAAAACCAAAGCTTGATAGTTTAACCTATTCACAATCCTATAATTTAAAACAGTAGATTCCAGTCATTAACTCTATCACATGTCCTGTTCAGGGCTGCAAGGGTGAAAGAGCAATGAAAGAGAGGCAGGGTGCGCTCTGGAGAGGTTGCCAGTCTATCACAGTTCCTTTATTGTTTTAAGCTTGTATCCTAAAAATCATATCTACCAACTTGTTTAAAGAAAGGTTCCTTCTTTTCCTAAATGAAACAGAAATGATGCCTCATGCTGAGACTCCATAATATATCCCAGAAATTTAACAGAGAAGCAGATATTCATGTAGCGTCACTTGTTTTGTTTTGTTGATGCTGCATTAACCCAGTGACAGGTTGTTTTCTAGTAACAAATGTTTATGTGTATTGAAAGTTTAAAGGGTCTTACAGTCAGGGCTTGAGTGTGATGATAACCTTAAAAGTCCTCTCAGACATCCTCTGAAATGTTTATTGTCATCATTCTGCTAATGGACCTGTTTCAAACAGCTTCTGGGGAAGACGTTTTCATCCAACAGTAGTCATTTATTTGTGTAAAGATGAAGTTTTCATAGCTCTTTGTTGACTCTGTTTATTCTCCTGGAGTCATTGAGATGGAATAAATTGTAGATTTGATTGAAGCCAGGCACACAGGGGAGCTGAGGGAGGGACCCAGGCAGACAGAGGGAGAGAGAGGGAGGAGAGGGGAGGGGGCTGGGGTTGAAACCGCAGTTTTTATATGTTGTCTGGTTTTAATTTTGGAAGAGCCATCATTCACCAGTTCACTGAGGTGGCAAACCAGATGAGTGTGGGCTTTAGGGGTGTGTGTTTCTGTGTGTTCTCTACCTGCTGAAACACTTAGAGCTCTGTCCCTGGAAATACTAAAACTGATGCCATCTAGTCATGTTTTTACAGTTTTCCTTGTTTTTAGGGGATAATTAACTGATTTTCAACCTATTTTTAAAAACTTGACTCTCATCAGTAGCATAAAGATGACTGTAGTGGTTGTAATATGTTTCTCAGAATGAGCTTGGCCCGTATGTAACGTTTTCATGCAAGAAAGGGTATTTTTTTGTTGTTGTTTTTGTAGCTGGATATTTTAGCTTGTCATGAAACAGACTGATATCAAGACCAACAACTTATCATGATTTAGTAAAGCAAAGGAGGCCAAAAAAAAGGTGCCATCTGTGATCATGTCTTTGGGGTTATTTGCTATTTCTTAATCCGCTGGCAGGGACGTATTAGTCACTAATATTGACTGAATGTAACAGGAATTGTTGCTTTTTTTTACATAACTACATGGCCCAGATTTTCTGATGGGTGTTTAATAGAGCTTGTTGGAAAAAGGCGGCAAAGAAAAGGTTAGCTTTTGTCCACAGGGGGCGCCATAATGGACACAGGGCGCAAGTTCTGTAACGATTATTTTCAATTATAGTTATGAGAAATTAGAATATACAGCTGTAGCAGCAGTGAGGGGTCAAGCCTGTAGCACTGATTGTTCACAAAGATGGATGACCAAGATGTGCAATAACGCAGCAAAAACACCCCTGTGAAGGATACTTACATATTGTACATTTTGGAGCCAGTCTGTGCAGTATTAACATCCGAGCAAAAGTGTATCCTTATCACAAGGAAAGAAGACTTAAGGTTAGATTAAAATAAAAGAAGATTTGAAAAGAAAAAAAGTGGTTTATGAGATGTATTTTGTGCCCTCCTTAAGAAGAGTAAGTCTCCTGTTTCCCTCTGCAGACTGTAGTTCTATCACTACCTGACCAACACGAGACCATCCTCTCATCCTTGTATAACTTTGTTTAAATATTTATATCGACTTTTGCTCTTTTTGTCTCATCAAGAAAAGTTCATCCCAGTCCATCTGTCCTCGAATTCCCATGAACTTAATGACTGATGGCCCTCAAAGGCATTCACAGTTTATGTTTCTCCACTCACTCTATTGTGTATAATGCATTTAAAGTGTAAATCCCTAACTTTGTTGCACCTTCAGACATTTATATTTATTTTTTTTTTGTTTATGTGCAGTGCCTTCAACCATGCAAAGAACTATGGGAGTCAAGGAAGATGCATTCTCCAAAGTCCTGTGAGGTAAGACAGAAAGTGAGAGTAAAATCTGTGTATATGTGTGTGTGTGTGTGTATGTGTGTGTGTGTATGAGACGACAGCCTTAGTGGAGGTGTCGTCACTCCTGCAGCTGAAAGAATCTCTTGTTGGCACCGTGAGGATTATTTCTTTTAGCTGTGTACACCATGAACAGGCATTACTGTGTGTTTATGCAAGCTTTATGTGTGTATTATGAATAACATGTTTGAGCCCTTGGATGTATATAAAGTAAAAGTGTGTTATTTTGTGCGTGTGGCCTTAAATGATTATTTGTAAAACCAGTCCGGCTCTGCGGTTTCAGACAGATTAGTTTTTCATCACAATAGCTGAAGCATGTTACCGGCTGGATGGCTGACTGGCTGGCTGGTTAGAAACACAGGGTAATTCACAGCTATTAGCTAAGCTTGTGTTTACATTTTGCTGATCTGCAGCCATGTGCACAGCAACACACACTCATCTACACACACACACACATACAGCCCCCTTGGAGACCAAAGCTCATGTCCTGCCTGCAAAGAGCCAGTTGGAGTTTACCAAAGGAAACACTTTCCCCTGCACTGTGTGTTTTTTTGCCCTCATACGCGTGTTTAAACATTACATATTATTTCCGTTCTGTGTCAGCTGCAATAATAACAACCCCCCCTGTTCTGTCTCTCAGAAGCAGACGGAGTGTGTGACCAGCAGGGAGTTTCTGACCTCCCTGAGGTTGTCTCGTCAGGGTGACTGTCCTCCGCCTCAGCGAGCCACCGGCTTCGCTGCAGCCTGTGTGGAGAGCTGCTCATCAGACCAGCATTGTCCCTCCCCGAGGAAATGCTGCGCTAACGGCTGTGGACATACATGCCAAGCCCCAGCCAATCTATATAAAGGTAAAGGCAAGTCCCTGGCAACATGTTAGAGGCTGTTTGCAACATCTTGTGGGATTTAAGTCAGGATGCAGCTGCACAATAGATTGCGCTTAAATTTTTTTGTAACCACAACACCATAATTATCAAATGATTTAGTGTGTAAGACCGACTTTAAGTACCTTGTTGTCTTCCAAAAAAGTAGCATCATCCAATACACCAAAGTGACCTGTGTGCCAGTATGAAATTCAGAAAGATGTAGTATAATGTTTACGCAGAAGAGCGCACTCAAAGATCAGCTCAAGTATAGTTTGGGGAGCTGGCAGTGCAGTGGTAACAGATGATACTAGAAGAGCTTCACGTTTGAACAAAAACTGCACATTGCTGAACATAACAAAAGTCTTCATACTGGATGACAGTCTTGAATTTTTTTCCCTTTAGTCTCCAAAACAGTCTGCACCGGTTACTGACCCAATTATAAAACCAACCCTGTTTATAAGGTGACTCTCCTTTTCAAGACAAGTTTGCGGGAGAAGACTTCTCAAAGTCTTCTATCCTCTATGGACAATACTCTACATGGTACTCTATTTCTTGGCTGTTTTACAGTTGTGTAACGTCTGCTGTGTTACTTTCTTTAAAAAAGGCATCAGAACTTTCCCCCTTTTGTCCTACTTTTGTGCTACTTCGCTCCGTTCACCATGTCTCTCTATATTTCATCCTCGCAGTACCGTAGTGGTGAGTGACATGTGGTCTCCTGAGCGGTACACATGCTTTAGAGAGAATTGGCACCACAAACTGCCTTTGCATCTTATTTCTAAACCCTGTATATGAGACGATCAGAGATGTATTTTAAGAGGTGGAAAAAAACAAGAAAAAGTTTTATATTTGGGTCAATACAGTATATTCCAGATTATACAATATTTAACTTAGAAGATGAGTCTTAAGTCTATGATTGACGAGTGCCTGAGATATGATCTGATAAAATGCTGCTCTTTTTTTCTGCCAAATGACAACAAAGCAGTTTAGTGTAATAAAGATTCTTGAATTGAGGCCCACACAGCAGCTGATTTAAAGCTCGATCTTCAGTCTGTGCAGAACGAGAGGAGTGAAAACTGCAGATGTCTTTGTAGCCACAATTAGATGGGCATGATAGTTAAAAACTGATGGAAAAGGTTGTCTAAGAAATGTTTGCATAATTTCATAATGTTTTTTAGCATTTAAACCAATTTGCAAATCAAAAATCGTTGATCATGAATTTCTCAGTGAATTCTTGGAATAAGTGACAGATAAATAGAATTTGCTCGATTTCTTTAAAATGGTTATTAATTTGTCGAAAAGTAATAAAAGCAATAAATTATATTTAAATATAATGAAGATTGAGGTGTCCTGCTTTGTCACTGACATTTTTAAAATATCCAGCCTGTTCAATTGACAAAATTTTTCCCAAAAATTTTTTACTTCAGTAACAAGTTTTGCCGTTCGATGTTAGGAAAAGCTTTTAAAAAACCTTTGAGATTAACTTTCCTGATATATTTTCATTTCTATTTGCCCTTCCCACCTGTGTGTCCCCAGGTGTTCCTCTGAAGCCTCGCAGAGAGATGAGCTTTGTGGAGGACTCAGAGGGCCGGGTGAGGGTGGTGTGGGTGTCAAAGTTCAACGTCAGCGTGGAGCCTGTCGTTTACTTGCTCCAGTCCCGCTGGAACATCGGGATCCATCCCAGCGAAGACCATGCCTCCCCATGGAGCACTATTGCCATGGTAACCATGAAAACTTTGCCTTAACGGTTCAGAAAGTTTAAATATAGAGCCATAAACATCTTCACACTGACTTAAGGGTTTGATGTAGAAGTTTCCGTTTTTCTTTGTTTTATGATTTTGTGTTTTCACATTTAAAAAGGTCAAGTATGATCTTGTAAATGTCAGCCTCCCTGCATTCGAAGGTGATAATAGTTGTCTGGATGTTGACAATGGGAAGCTGGCGGCTGGAAGAAAAACATATTACAACATAGCACATCGCTGTTTCTGTGCAGCTAGCATTTTTCAGCGATTGAAGCTCTAAAAATGGTTCCTGTGCCTTTAAAAGTGGAAAAACGCCACAGAGTTTGCAACATATCTTTACCTCATAACTCTCAATTTGCCGTGAATGATGAAACTTCTCAGCTATGGAGATGGATGTTAGTCTCTGTTTCCACCTCATCCGTCTGCTGCCTTGCTGTCTAAACCTCTCCACCCCAGCAAGTCTCCCATTCTGCCAGGGTAAACTGTCTGTATGAGTGTGTGTGTAAGTGAGTAAGTGTGTGTATGTGTGTGAGCACTGTACGACTGTGTGTGTGTGAGCCTGTGTGAGGTTAGATAAATAAGCAGAGCTTAAAAAGGAACCACAGGCAGCCACAGTCGTTCCACCGGCTGAGTCTGAATGACTGAACGCTCATTATAGACTTAAATAGATGGCAGCTTGTGTCTGTGAGTGTGTGTCTCTCCGAGCGTGTGTGTGTCTGTGTGGATGAGTAGATTTTAAGCCGTGATTACATTTTCACTGTCAAGGAAACAAAACATGTGAATCCTCAGGAATTTGAACCGTAATTTTTGCAAATCATTTAATTTGACTATTATCAGATGAAATTCCAGTCCCACTCTGCTCATCTGAATTTCCATCATGTTAACGTCTGTAAGCTTAATGTCTGGAAGAACAAGAGGCTTTCTGTTATGTTTTGAAAGGTGATACAGTGAAAGTCCAAGTGTTCTCAAAATATGTTTGGAATGAATCAAGTGTTTAATCTCACAGTATGAACTATCACTGAAACAGGGATCTCTGTTTATGACATGAAATGACAAACAGAAAGTTAAATTTGAGACTGAGCAGCAGCCGTTTTGCCCAAAGACAGTGAACTCACTGAAACAGGTGCAATAGGTTTGTCCAAAGATAACAAAATTTCCCTCTTTCACTCCAGAGCCCTGATCAAACCCATTACATCCTATCTGCTTTGTCTGCTTTGTCTCAAAGACACTTCCAAGAGTTTTTCTGGTACAATTATGTTTTAACCAAGCTAACTTAATGAGATATTACAATCTAGCCTTGGAGGAAACAGTAAGCATATCTTCTGACTGTGTTCGACAAAAAGCCATCGAGCTCTGTTCTGCTTGTTTCAGTCTTGCCAATCAGATGTGAGCCGTAGCCAGAACAGATGGTTCATGGTCTCATTCCTATTTGTAGGTCACAAGGAGGCATCAACGTGAATTTTAGTCTATTTCACAACCAGCCAAAAACTTCTTACAGGCGCATTAAGTTAAACCACTGGAGATTTGCATAAGGAGATTATTTAGGGGTGTTACATAATTAAAAAAAAAACATCTGATTTTATTTTGCTAGATGAAAAACAAATTGAAAAGCATTGGATAAAAGTTACAGAAGACAAGAACGGTCATGAATTTTCCTTTTTTTTTTCTTTTTTTTTATCTCAACATAACAAAGATCATTTTGTCATGATAACAAGTTAATTAATAATGTGTTGCTGTTGTTGTCTGATTCATGTATGGCAGTTCAGTGTTCCTACACTGAAAGTGTAATGCGTTAAGTCGAGCATGCCATCACTGTTTTCATTGAAAATCCCGGCTTGCTGTCGACAATGGTGGCTGCAGCGTTACAGAAATATCCCATTTTAAAAGTTACTGTTTTAAGTCAGCACTATTTCCATCATCACGAGAAAATGATCTGTTGAGATTATGAAAAAAAAAATCATTATAACAAGTAAAGGAACTTTGTCTAATCGAGATAAGGAGAAAATAAGACGTTATTACGAGATAACAGTGCATAAAAAAAGAAAAATCCATGGCTGTTCTCGTCTTCCGTAAAAAGTCTTGCAAAAAAAGAGTCTTATTTCTGTTATTTTTGCGTGTGTTTGTGTTTTCAGACGCTCTCTGAACACATGGTTCTGTCAGATTTGAGGTCTCAGCGCTGGTACCAGTTCAGAGTAGCGGCCATCAACAGCCACGGCAGCAGAGGCTTCACCACGCCCAGCAGACACCACATCTCCAGTAAAGGTAGTCCAGTCTGAACACACACTGTTATTTTCTTTGCAGAATGTCCCAAAAGGAGAGATGATTCCTCTTGGATGTTTCTGTAACCTTTCGGTGTATTTTAATATCCTGTGAGGAGACACTGAACACAACACACAGCCCTGCTCTCCATTTGTGTCATTTTAGGAGAGGTATTACACCTCTCTGAGGAAACCTTTGAAACTTTACATTTACCTTCCCTGTTCTTTCTCTCTTTTCACTCAGAGTTGATGGATAAGGTACACGCAGCAGGGAAACTATCAGGCAGTCCATAAAACACAGACAGGAAACAGAAAATACACACAACTGAATGTGCGCTTTGTTTTCACACATACAGTACAGACACATACACAAAATCACAACGCACACGAGTCAGCTGGTGTAGAGCCAGGTTAAAATCCCCGGACAGTGAAAGAGGGTGAGAGTAAGAGTACGACACCTCCTATAGACACACAGAAACACACACTCAAGCACACACACTGTAGGGGTTCCTAGCTTTAATACTTAGCAGACTGAGGTCATATTGGTGTTGCGCCAGGATTGGCTGGTGATATGAATCCCCTGCAGGGATTGGCTCAAGCGTGTTTGCATGTGAATAATGACTTCAGGTTGGACTGAGCTTTGGAAAAGATTCTTTATCAATCGAAGACTTATGGAAGATTACGAGGAGGTGCCTGAGATATCATTTTCCACTGCCTTTAACGTAAAATGGTACACTTCTGCATGCCTCCAAAAATGGTAAAGAACTTGAGCTCAGGCAGACTGAAACTTTCCTTCAAACTCTTTGGGGTGCGCGAACTTTTAGGAGATTGTACTATTCTCCTTTTTCTTAAAGGGATATTCCGGCGTAAAATTAATTTAGGGTCAAACACACCGTTAGACACCCCCTCGAGAGAGATGAATGGTGCCGACCCCTTGCTTCTCTAGTTATACCAACTTTAGTAATGACCACGCGATAGCAATACACAGCGGTCTGAGGAGCCATAAACAAATGTCAACCAAAACGCCACTCTATAGCCCAAATAATGCTCAGAACAGCACCTAACTTCATCAACAGTACATATAGGGTCCCAGCAGCCACCAAACATCTTTTTAGCTTTGCCTGATTTCATACGCAAAGAGACTAAACACAACTCACCAACTCTCTTCCAGCAGCTGCTTGTTTGTAGCGAGACTTCGACCAGTCCATCATCAACTGAGGCGGGGGGACGCAGCTCAAGGAAGAACATTTATGATCATTACTTCACGGAAATGCAATCAGATCGAGACGCTAAGGCAGAAGAACTACCTCGTCTGCAGTGCAAAATGATTAATATGATAACAATTACTTCAAGGAAATGATAAAGAAATGATCATAAATGTTCTTCCTTGAGCTGCGTCACCCCGCCTCAATCTATGATGGACTGGTCAAGGTCTCGCTACAAACAAACAGCTGCTGGAAGAGAGTGGGTGAGTTGTGTTTAGTCTTTTTGCGTATGAAATCAGGCAAAGCTATAAAGATGTTTGGTGGCTAGTTCTATGGTTGGGACCCTATATGTACCGTTGATGAAGTTAGGTGCTGTTCTGAGCATTATTTGTGGCTATAGAGTGGTGTTTTGGTTGAGGTTTGTGTATGGCTCCTTAGACCGCTGTGTAGACCGGCAGCATTCGTCTCTTGAGGGGGTGTCTAACTCGGTGTTACGGTGTGTTTGACCCTAAATTAATTTTACGCCGGAATATCCCTTTGAAAAGTGAAGATGAAAAGATAGATACTTTTTATTGTTTTAGTTTGTTCTCTACATATTATGTGCACAAGAATGTAGAAGCTGGTGTTATCTGTTATATTGCCTTGTTGTTGAAAAACTGAAAAACCACAAATGAGAGGAAACAATTAAGTTAATTTCAACCAAGTAAAAGGCTAAATAAGAAAAACATCCTTGCAGCAAACATGTTCAAAGTTAACAACAACAATGGACAGCAAAAGGACAACACTTCTTAAAAACTGTCCATGTTATATTGTTGATGCTCTTGTACAGTACGTTCAGGAAGTGAGCATTTTCGTTGATTTAATGATTAAAAGTCATCACCCTCACTTGTCAGCACCAGAATTACCAGCCTGTGAATCAAACTACTCCAGCATTTCAGGTCAACATTGATAAAGCTTATCATATGTTATTGTCTTGCTTACAGTGCAGCCACACATCACTAACTGTACTTTAGCTTGGTTAATGGCTGCTGTCATAACTCTACAATGCTCTACTGTTGAGATGTAAAAACAAGCTCAGATACAAACAGCCTTAAAATGGAGATAAAGTTGTGTAGTTAGAATGAGTAAGAACAGGCATGTGTGTAAATCTGCAGGGTGGACTGAAGGCTGGTGTTGCTTTGATAGATTGATATGATATGTTTGATCGACACAGTGTGAGTGCAGCCTACTTGTATGTATTTAAGAGGCCAGGGTCAAAGGTTAAAGACACACACTTTAGCATTATAAATACCATCTGATCCAAGTCAGGGGCTTGTGTTTCCAGTTCATTAGTGTGATTAGTCAGGGGCTGGAGGTCATGGGTCACAAATCAGGAAACTGGCAGATCTCAGGATGGTTGAAGTTCCTTCACTGTGACCCGATGCGAACCAAAGAGAATCTGGATTTGAGAAACTGCTTTTTTTCTGTCCATTCAGATGTCAAGGTTTCACTGAACCTGCCAGCTGTGATTAGAAGGGAACATCTAGATCAAAAAACTCATCTTGATGTCTTTATCTTCTGCAACAATGGGCTGAAATCAGCTGATTGAGGGAGCCACACAGAGTGAAAAACGCCTCGGAGAAAAACACATGTTTTGGTTCTGATGTGGAAATCACTGCTGGCAGAGAGAGACCTCCTGCTTCCTAAGAGAAAAACACACTCACACACACATATGCTCACACAAACAGACCAGGTCCTGCAGTCCTAATATGCTGCCCTCACTTTGATCTCTGCATTAGGGTCAGCCATGCACAGTTCTGGGTCTGTGGGAGGCCTACCATGGGGAATGTAGTTCTAATCAGCAACATTTTGTAGTTTTAATGAAAACAGGATTGGAGTTCGTGGTTCTAATGAGATGCAGAGCCATGTGTCGAAAGAACAGCGAACTGGAGATATAATCTTGAGACAAACAGCTGCTCAGTGGTGATCACTTCAGATCTGTGTTGTGGTAGCGAGTGAAAATGGAGGCCTCAAGCTTCACCAGGACTTCTCACTGTTAACTGACTATGTAGATTTCAACATAACCCAGAGGCCTGCCTATTTTTGCTCCATAGAGCCTCAAAAAATGAAGGTCTTAATCTTTAATGAAACCCAGGGATGTTTTATCATCTTCATCTTTGAATTTGAAGCCAATCTCCACCATTTCTCTTTCTCTGTCCAGACCCCTCACCTCCAGAACCTCCGATAAATATCAGAGTGAGCAACCAGACTCAACACTGGACAGCTTTACGTCAAGGGACTCAGCTCACAGAGAGGTAATAGATTAAAAAAAAAGTTGAATAAATCGCTGAATTTCTTTGCTATTCTCCTCGCTGGGTAATTTCCATGGCCTTAGCGGGATGTCGTTGTATGCAATCAGTCATAAAACGTGGTCATGTGGAGAGTCGTCGCCTGTCTGATGAAAATTACAGCTCATCTTTATTCAATCACATCTTACAGCTTCTTTTCTATTTGTGTACGGTAATGCTTAACAAGGGCGTAGAAAGTTCAGTACATGTCTTGGATCAACTCTCGTGTTTGGATAAATCATCTAATAACAGAGATGAGGATTTAAACAGTAGCTTCTGCTCAGCATGATGAGAAATAGTCACGGGCTATACATGGACAAACTGAAGGATAGCGAGTTTTGACATGTGAGTATATCATCGTTTTAACCGCCACTAAGTTCAGCTCGTTCAAAAACATTTACGTCTTAACTCAATATATGAGGAAGTACTTGTTCTTTCTACTGCCCATTACCCTTAATTTGTTTACATCCTTGTTGTGATGTCATTTGACTGGTTGATCTCTCCGCTCAGGTCGAGAGGAAGTGGGGTCGCAGTGGCCGTCTTAATAAGCTGGGACTCCCCCAGAGAAGGAGACCTGCCGGTCCACAACTACAGAGTCACCTGGATGCCACGACACACGCAGACGACGCACAGACACACGCACAGGCTGAACGCAGACGCACATACAGTTCACAATAACATGCACACGCGCCTGATACAGTCGCACACAGCAGAGCAGGATAAAAAGGAGAGCAACACCAGAGTCACTCAGGGGGTGAGGAGACATTTCTTTGACTTTGTTTCACCAAAAAAGACATTTCTGATTAACCCCCTTTTTTTTGTTTTTTTACACATTATCTCCCCTCAACATTTTTCTCTTACTGAAAGTTTTGCAGCGGATCACGACACGACTTCAGGCTGAGATAAGAACTGAGCAAAAATCCTCCACTTTTAGACCCTCCTATAGGACTGGAGCTAAAGATTTTATACACCACAACAGAATCGAATGCTGCACCTGAGAGATTTTACTACATCTGTAAAACCGTTCACCACTCACACGTGCTCATTCCTTGCGGTGTCCTGGTTCGGATTATTTCTGTGGTTTTACAGACCGCCGCAGAGCTCAAACTGAACAGGTTCTGTAAACAGCTTCTGTTTGTGAGGAAAAACCAAAGAAACTCATTTTAAATGATCGTACAAACCAAGGAATCAAAAGTCAATTTGGATTTGAACTCTTTTGAACCCTTACCCATAAGACTTAAAGGTTTTGTCACTCATAGGATTAGATAAACTTCAGTAAAGAAAGAAACAGGCGCTTGCATCTCCCATATTCAGACTTTCTTGCCCCTTAAAGTTTTGAATATATTTCAGGATTTCTTGATGTGGTTTTGTAATCTCACGCGCTGATTTATCTTAGCATTTGCAAACCCTCAGATCTGGTTTTGACGCACTCACCCTAAAAATCACTGTACGGCACGCGCTCCCTTTACATGTGTATATTCATGCATGTGTTCCTCATGGATTCCCAGACAGACATACCATTATCTTCATGGGACATAACTTTGTTAGAGTGCTGTGACAACATGCAGGCTTTACAGCGGTAAAATAACAGGACAACTTAGCCGTGTAGATTGACTGACAACAGAGAGAGAAAAGTGGTTTTCCTGCGTTTGGATAATGTGTTTGACTCGAGCTTAAACTGACTAGATGTCAGTCACTACAGTAGGAAGATATAAGTAAAGAGCATTCCAGTCATAATAGAAGTAAAGCATAAAAAGTGTGCAATGGCAGAGTTCATGAGAAGTTATTTTATAAAGTAATAAAGCGAAGTTTAAGATGTAACTGTGAAGAAACACACAAAGATCTCATGCTTTATTTTTGAAATTATATTTAATGCTGCAAAAACAGTTCAAGTTGATATTTCTATGATTGCAGGTTTGATGGTGATGTTATTTACAATGCAAATAAGTCCAGTCAGCAGTGCCAAAATACCTGTAATCACAGCAAACATTGCAGATATTACAGTTTAGACACAGCAGTCATGATCGCCTGTAATTTTTTCTTCAGGTGTCTTTGAAGGGGATCCTTCAGCTTTAGATCCACTTAAACGTTCGTCTCTAAAGTGGGCATTCACTTCAAAAGCAGAGACAAAGCAATTAAAAACACGAACATCAAGAGTTTAGAAGCTTTAATGCCGGCACGCTCATATGGACTCGGCTATCCTGAGTGAAGCAGTGATGGCGATCCCAGACTGAGCCTGGCGGAGCCATTTATCTGTAGTCTGCTCCTCTGTTCTGCTCGGTTTGGAGGCCTGGAATTTAAATGAGGCCCCCTAACTAGTGTTACCGACTTACAGCTGTATCTAAACACGCTCAAAGATGGCCGCATCACATCAGGTAGGCAGGGGCGACAAAAGCCTGCCTGTGCTCTGTAGAATAGATTTCATATCATGTACAGCACTTACATTTTATTGCTCTTCATTAGCACAAGATAATACATTCCCTGAATGTGTATTAAAGTAATATCCTGTGTATTAGAAATGTATGAAGCCTAGAGGGATGAGGTATAAAATCCGGAGTGGGAAAGTGATATTGGAGGAAGTATTCAAACATGGAAAAACCTCTGCTGAATCTGTGCTTTTAAATTTACATCAGCCTCTTATATATAATGTCCACTGACATTATGCACCAAAATAGGATTCCAGGCTTCCCCTGCTGTCTCTGTTTCATAAATACACACACTTACACACTACACACACACATATACATTTATAGCCATACAAGCCATATGTTTTGTCTATCTCGTGCATAATGGAAATATCTTAACTCCTGTTCAGGGACTTTGTCTGCGAGTCACTAAAACTGCTTTTAACCTGCATTTGTCTCACTCTGTCTTCAATGTACACACAAAAAGCCACACACACACACACACACATGCGTGTATACAGAGAGTTATCATCCAAGCATCTCTTTGTTGTGACTAGCTCGAACCCGGCAGACAGACAGAGTTAATTGACTAAGAGGATGTTGATGAGCTGTCAGTCAAACAGCAGGCTAATGCAGAACAGCTCTGGCCTGTCAGTCACAGAGCAGGGCGCTCACGTCGCTGCGGTTTATAATGATGAGGGGCTGCGATGACAGTGAGGATGATGAAAACGGTGGCAAGGATTTTTCTGTCTTTTGTGGTGACTTTTTTTAACATCATTCCTGGAGGACGTCTGTCATATTTCAGCTGGTTTATGTGAATTAAAAACGACTGAGATGAAATTTCTCATGTTTCCTTTTATTCGTGTCTTACAGGCCCAGTGTGAGATGTGGCTGCAGGGTCTGCTGCCTTCCACTTCCTACATCCTGTCTGTGCAGACGGTGGCCTACTGGGGTCAGAAGAGGCTGAAAAGTCCCAGAGCACAAATTATCTTCACCACAATAACTCATGCAGGTAAACAGACAAAGTATCTTCCCGGTGGGGTTGGATGGTTAAGACTCACCACTAACAATTGACTGATATGCCGAAGTGTCATAGGGCAAAATACAGAATCCCATAATGCTCCTGTTTGATCAGATTCAGATTCAGACAACTTTATTTATACCCTAAGGGCAATTCCATTCACAGTTACCCTTCCGTTTGATCCATCCAAACACACAGATCAGCAGACAAACAAACCAGACAAGTGCAAGACATTAATAGATGCCAGTAGACAAACACATTCCCTTGTCGGTACTCACAGATCAGCAGGATCAGCAATAAATAGCTAAATAAGCACAATAAGCAGTCAAGTTCCACAGAGCAATGGTTAAAATACAATAAGATCCACAAGTATGAGACACAAGATAAGAAATAAAACACTCCTGAGGCTCCAGTTCCGCTCAGGCCACATATGACCATCAGCCTACTTCCTGGCATTTAAAAGCCTGATGGCTGAGGGGATGAAAGAGTTTGAGTATCTGTTCGTTTTCCCTGGGGGTGCATAGTAGCGCTACCCAGAAGGCATAAGAAGAAAGCCATCAGCCATAGATGTATGTGAATGTGAGTGTGTGAATGTGATGTGTAATGTTTAAGGGTTAGGGTGACTTTACACATGCTCCATGAACAGAGTATAAAGTTACTTTGGGGTAAATAGCTTATAGGAAGGACATCGAACTTGGGTAGATTTTGTTCTCTCGTTCACGGGGGAGTAAAAAGTAGAGAGTCTAAAAATAAACAGCTCAGCAGAGAAGGGATTCTCTGTTAAGCAGTGTAAACTATAGCTGTAATGTTTGTGTTGCAGTGATTCAGCCTTAACGACACCTAAGGACTTCCCCAAGCAGCCCTTCTCCAAATAGAGATTCACCGAAGTTCACATTTCTAAACATTTCATTACCCTGTCAGGCCATCCATAAATACTCTAAATACAGTCCACAGCACCTTCTTTTTCACAGTCATACAAATGGTTTTTCCTCTTTTTTTTTTAATGCAAAGCTGTTGGATTTGCTGACTGTCAGCAAATTTAGTCTCCCAACAGCTGCACTGTTAAAACTCACTCATACAGCGGAGAGTGACGATGGTAATGGTTGTCCAGGCAACAGAGGTATTTATGGGCGACCTGTTGGTCAGCCCAGCAGAGGATTACAGCCAGCTGTGGCTCAATTATCACACGACATACCAATAGTTTTATATGGAACATGTTGCCACCTGTAATTTAGCTGTATTAATATTTGAAACAGTCCATGCATCGGCCTGGTTTCTCTCAAAGCTTGTGAAGGTCAGCCAGGCCAGATAAAGCCAATTAATTCTTCAGAGCGAATGAATTAAAGAGAAAGCTAGCTGACGGCTGCAACCAAGTCAGCAGTTTACAATATTCCTGGCACAAAATCATACATGTGTTAATAACATCCTGCCATTCATACGTGTATGCAAACTCAGGTGCTGGTTTATTAGTTTTACCTAGAAGAAATAAGGCACCTTTAAAAAGTGGTCCTGCAATAAATCCTCCCTGCATGAGTATAATAATGTCTACATTATTCAAAGAGCGTAAGAGAGATGTTAATTAGTGTATACAAACAGATTTGGGGGCTTCATTTCGCTTACAGGTGTTTCTGTAGATGGTAAATATGAAATAACACCTGGCAGTACGACGCTGCATAATGAGAAAGCACAAGAAACCGCTGCCTCTGAAGTAAACATAGGTTTGCTTACCTTCATGAAAGAGGATTCATTATAATACCGTTTTAGTCAGGTGAACTGTATTAAGTGGCTGCCATGTATGTGCGATGTGCTTAACTTGTGTAATCCTATCAGTTTAATGTATTACAGTCATTAGTTGTATTACTGAAGCTTAATGGAGAGCAACAAAAAACTGGAGTGGTTCAGAACCTCCTGCTTTAAAACTCATGTAAAAACATACCTGTTATGACCACGTTCATTTCTCTTAATGCCATAATGAAAATGTGCAGCAAACACAGACGTTTTTCAGACTTCTTTTCTTCTTCACCCTAGGCGAAGACTTCTCCAACGAGCTCCCTTCCTCTTCGTCCTCATCATCCCTCCCCTCCTCTCCTTCTCTCTCATCCTCCTCCTCCTCCTCCTCCGCATCCCCTTCTTCCTCTGACATCCCTGACTCACCCTCTCTGTCTCACCCTGATTCCCCCCTGAACCCTTCCACCTCCGGGAGTCTGCGCCTGGAGGTCGCTGCCCCTCACTACCACGATGATCAGCTGCAGGTGAAGGTGTTCTGGAAGTTGCCTTTTCATGGTGAGTAATTGAAAACACAAAACTACTCAACAGTAAGCCCCAAAAATACATGTGTGTGTATGGGGTTCTAGTCCAAACTGTGGCCCCTTTTTTCATATGTCGCCCCCTACCCTCTGTGTTCGCCAGCTGCTCTATCCACTGCTCCATCCTCCCTGAACAAAAGCCTAAAAGATCAAAATTACAGCGTAAAAAAAGAAGCACCAGAAAACCTTTTTGGTCTGACTTGGCCACTTTTTGTTTACATACCAAAGAATTTCAAAATGCAGGAAAATGTTTTAATCCAACCTAATCCAGCCAAAAAATATCTTCCAAAGAGTCCACTGAGTTTCAAAAGAGAGAACTGGACGTTCACACTGCTCTCTCATTTCCATGTTTTTAGAATTGTTTTTTCAGCATTTTGACCAGAAAGAAAATCTTGGTAGAGTGGTGCGTTTATTTTTGCTTTGACTTGAGTTTGGAAGAAAGTGAGCGCAGTTTACTGTCTTTTCTAATTAAAGATAATTAAATCATTGGTTCACCAGCTGCAGTTATGCAAGAAAAAAAGTGACTGTACAAAACATCCCTCTGGTCATCATTTTTTCTGATAGCGTTCGTTCAGTCTTTGACTCTTCTGTTTTGTTTGTTGTTTTATTGTACAGGCAGACAGAGACACCCCGGTCCGTACATTTTGCAGTGGCATCCTCATACCTGCAGCACCAACACTACAAGCACAGAGAGAACAACAACTGTGCAGGTACAAATACCCAGACTGGGTCCCTTTGTGTCTTTTAAAAGCGGTTTCAATGTTTTTATACCAGCTTTAATGTTTTTTTTGTGTTTTAAAGATCAGATTCTCTGTGTTGAACTTTATCTGACTAACATCACTTTATCTGTAAAGTGACCTTAAGTGCTGAGAAAACCATAAATAAAAATTTATTATCATTATTAACCACAACTCTGCCAAATCATTTACTGAAACTTTAACATCTCTGCACCTGTGTGTCTGTTGCGTACACAGACATATAAGATATTTTGACCGACATGGGAAAGTGAGGTGCAGACTCAGCTAAGCGATCGCTGCTAACCATTAAATGTGAGTTTAAATAAGCAGAACTAAATCTGCTTTAAATACAAAAACACTAGAAAAACAAAAGAATGGAGTGAACTGTTTCTGTGCACTTGATATTTTCTCAGAGCACTTTACATAGCAGGAATCTGACTCATCAACATTACATCTTCACTCACTTTTATCCCTGTGCTTACCTCTCAGCTGGAATGATCACACACTCGGCGGGTTGTTAATGTGAAAGTTCTGGGTGTAATTTGTGAGGTTCACAGACATTTCTGAGTTTAGTCTCTTGTTTGCCGTTCTTCTCTGTCTAAATCCTCAAGCTGTGCTGTTGGTTTTAAGACAGAGCTAACCACCTGCTTAATGAGACAGGCTCTGAAACAAAAACAAAATAGGAATAAGCCTTTTTAACACTCCACCTCCTCTCTCTCTCACCAGGGCACCCATCACATCATCACAGGCCTGCTTTTTGCCTGCAAGTACCGCATCGCCGTAGCAATGAAGTCAGACCCTGGGTCAGAGGCGGTTGCCTGGGTAACGACCCCTACTTGCTCCTCCATCAGGGCCAGAGGAGGCAGAGCTTTGCCTTGCAATTCTGACAGTAAAAGTAAGTGACACAAACTACGCCTTCATGATATGGAGAAAATGTGCAGTGTGTGATCGCATTGTTCAACATGGCAACAATTACATAAAGAAAGAAATCCAAAATAAGGTTTTCTTACATCACTAAATTGGCACCAGACACACACACCTCCATAAATCCTGAATCCCCATGATGTCTTCTCTTGAAAAATGATTTCCCTTTGTTTCCATCTTCGTTTGGGAACATTCAGACCCAAACACACAGGATAAACAATGAGTGATCACTTGCTTGTTCATGGAAATGTTATTAATTACCACTCAGTTCCACTCATCCTGCCAAATGTCTTTTCCCAAATAATTTCCATCAGTTATGAAAAAGTTAATCATAATAAGTTGTCATAAAAATCTACAGGGGGATAACATGAAAAAGTGTTTGGTCAGAAGTGAGTGAAATGTTTGGCCTTCTTGGTGTCAGGGCGCCCCCCCTCAGGCAGAAAAGTGGTACTGCGTCCAGAACGACTCACTGCAGACTTCCAACAAGTCAATGGCACCCTGCTCATGACTCTTCGCTGGAGGATGTCCCAGAACCCACTGGACCAGGCAGCTGTGGAGGGTTTCCAATTTACCTGGACGTTGCAATCAGAGGTTACCACGGCAACAGAAAAACAGGAAGACGTGCTTATCTCCCAGACGCAGACAATTGCACCGGTGAGAAACAATGAGTGGTTTACAGTTACAGCACTGAACTGTTCCAGCGAAATACTTGAGAAATATGAGGAGGATATAGAGGGTGTGTGTGTGTGTGTGTGTGTGTGTGTGTGTGTGTGTGTGTTTGCATTTTCAATAGGGATGATGAGTCAGTAAGTCTTTTTAGGACAAGTTCCCTTTTTCTTTTTTCAACTCATACAAAACTCTTACAAACATATACGAAGGATCAAGCTGAAAAAACGTTGAAATGTTTTGCTGAGACAATAGACCTTGTAATAGTTTATATTAGTTAAGAGGAAAATGCTGAAGTGGGAAGGAAGCGAGGTCCAGAGATACTTTGTTTTTCAGGAATTACATCGAATTACACTTGGACTGAAAGTTGCAATAGGCCCACAGGTTACACAAGAGTTGTATCTTCAAATTATGGATGATTGCTCTCTTCAGCTCAGCCTGTCTAAGCCTGAAGTGTTTACAAACTACAGCTCATAGTCCACTCTATTTAGGGGACTATAACATAAAATTATAGGTTGCTGTATCAGCATCTGCATGTTACAGGGTATATTAAGTCTAGTAAAAAACAAAGGTATAAATATATAACCACTGATTCGATTTGATTCTAGTTATTTTGAATTTGAAAGAGAAAGTAATTAAAAACAAAATAACGAAAATAAAAAAATATATATACAGCATATACATTCAAAAAGGAGTGGGAAGAAGTAATACCTCTTCTCCTTAAATAACTTGTAACAATCTTTGGCCTTACTGGCCTGTCTAGACACTCATGCTGTAGTCACCACTAGATTAATTATACACTTATGGAGACTCTCTATCCATACACATATATACATACAAATACATAAATTTATGCACAACACAGTAAACCCCTTAACACAAAGTGCTACCAACAACTCCCTCATCCCTGTTGCTCTTGAAAATAGTGTCTTTATACTTCATTTTAAACTGCTGCAAGTTTGGACAATGCCTTAACTCTGTTGTGAACTTGTTCCAAATTCTCTCCCCGCTGACTGAAACACAAAAACTTTTCCTGTTTGTACGAAATATTTTTAAATTATAGTTACTCTCTCCCCTTAAATTGTAGATCCCCTCATGAATACTGAATAATTCCTGGATATCTCTTGGTAATAGATTATTTTTGGCTTTGAACATTATTTGAGCTGTTTGATAGTCCACAATGTCTGTAAATTTTAGCAGTTTGGATTGTAGGAGTAATAAATTTGTTTGTTCTTGAGAGACGGCGTTGTGAATTTTCCGTCTTGCTCTTTTTTGGACGATGGTTAGTGGCTGTAGTGATGTTTTATAATTGTTGCCCCAAACCTCTGCACAGTAATTAAAGTATGGTGAGACAAGAGAACAGTACAGAGTGCACATTGAATTCTTTCGTTTTCAATAAATGGTTTGTGTTCCTCATTCATGCTGTCAAAATGCGTATCTGATAGTGTATCTGTGGACTCGCTCTGCTTCCCCCTCCACAGTCTCAGCGGATGGTGACAGTTCCTGCTCTTCAGCCTGACAGTGTTTACCAGCTGCAGCTTCAGGTTTTAACTGCAGGGGGCAACAGGGGCGCTTCGGTCTCCAAGACTATCCACACTCCAGCAATCAATGCTACACTTTAACAGGTAATACTGGCGTCTTTGTGATGCACTGCATTTTTGTGTCGCTTAATGAAACTAACACACAGTCTTATATTGCTCATTTCTTCTAGGCCTCGTCCTCACAGTCGTCCCCATCCACTGCACCACGTCCATCTGATTCAGCCACTTCTGCTCAGTGTCATCACAGTACAAGTGCAAAAAATAAGACTAAATAAAGACATTTTCTTTCACTGACTTCAGGCACTATCTCATATGTAAAATAGTTCCCACTCTAAAGTGTTCCCTGTAACTTCATCACTTTTTAAACAAGAAGTTATGATCATGCTGTAACAGGAAACAGCAGTGATCATTTATATTTTCAGTCATTTATCTGCCATCTGATCCAAAGCTAACAACATGAGCACAACTTGTGTTTTTTCTAAGAACCTTTAAAAGGAGAGGACTGCATTCCCACATGGAGCCAGTTTCACAAAATTATCTCTGAAAGTCTTGGCAGTACAAGGAGCACCTTGGAGCTGTGTTTATAACTATTTTTTAAAAGTCAATCTCCAGAATTTTTTAAATAACTTTTGGATCAAGAATTTGTGCAACAACAGAGCATTACTGCAAAACACGCATGTACCTCTTTGAACAGCTGTACTCTGTTCATATTTGGTGTAAAGATGAGACAAATCAGGTCCTTGTCTAATCACTTGGATCCTAAGAGGTAAGCAATAAATGTAAAGAGGCTTTAACACACCTGTTTTTGCATTGTGGAGGTTTAGTATACTGTAGCACTGACCTTATATACAAATAGAAATGAAAAGCTTTGTTCACTTTTGTGTTGTCCTTGAACCTGATGGGTCTGAGTCGGTGTACTGGAGCCTTGAAGAAAGTTCTGATGTGTTTTGACATGTTGTTCATATGTGATAAAAAAACGAAGACAATGTTTATAAATTACCCTGTTTATACATCTTGTGTCACATTAATTTACATGAGGTACTCCCACTATACTTAAATGTTTGTGACATTTTTCTACAGTTTACAGAGTCTAGCTTTAGCTATGGTAGATGTCATTGTATTATAAAAGTCACAGCATTAGCCTGATTTTAAAAGGTTTGAACCCCTTGTGTGAAGTGACCAGAAATAACCATTGTACTATCCAATATGTAACTTTTTAATATTATAATGTTGATAATTTTGTACGTAATTCTTTTCTCTTTTTGACTGATAGTTTTATTTATTGCTTTTCTTAGTTTTTTTTGTTTGTTTGTTTTATAAATAAAGATCACCATGATACAGTGTGTGTTGTGTTCAGTAATTTGGTAGAGGAAAAAATTAATAGCCATAGAGTTTTATTTAGGCCTGTATTTCATCAAAAATTGACATAATAAGAATGAATAAAATTAAATACACAATAATTATAAAAATGAGGTGTTCAAAAATGACAGCTTATTCCATTAAAATCAGACCTGAAGCATGATGAGTTGGTGTCAAAATAAGGCTGGAAGGCTTCTTTTTTTCTTCTTTTAATTTTATCAAAAGATTATTCAAGAAAACAATTGAGTTATAACCACGACAAAGAATAAAAATCTTGTTAAACCCACAAAGACATAAATTAATTCACGAGCGGACAAAAGTCTCAACTCATTTATGGTATAATTTAAGAGGAAAGACTTCTGGTTTGAGCAGGGTTCGGGTCTCTTTTAGTAATTGGATATACCATTCGGAAACGGATATCATAAACTCAAAAATGACTTGATTTAATTTTTGTTTTAAAATAGAAAAACCAAACTTGAAATACAGCTTTTTGTTGTCTGGAACAAGTAAGGAAAAGTCACATCATGGTTTGATTTTCAATTTTCATTTCTTAAAAGAAAATAGAATATCGCAGCCTCTACCAGGTGTATGAAAATAGCCCCTTTTTTGTTCGATTTGTACATTTAAAGAGAAGTATTTTTTTTATTTTGGTTCAACAATGGACTGTAGTAGACAGAGGAGAACCTATTGTTGCTGTAACGTGGAAATATCTATCTATCTATCTATCTATCTATCTATCTATCTATCTATCTATCTATCTATCTATCTATCTAATCAAATAAACTGTCGTTGATCTATTTTTAATATGTGTTTTCAAACGTTATATCCAATTACCAAAAGAGACACTGACCGTGCAAACTGTAAAACTTATATTTGTTTATAGTTTACAGTGACTTCGGTGAATTTGAAGGTTACTTCGGGGGAGAATCCGGACGCAGCCGAAGATGACCCGAGACTGACGCGGTGACGCCATCAATGAGCGCCATCAGCCCGGATTGTTGTTTCTTCAAATCGTGGTTAGACGAAACTCAGTTTGTTATTTCATTGACAAGGTACAGTAAACGATGTTTCCTTTCGTCTTTCGTCGGGATTTTTTAAGTTATTCTCCGTGTGACTATAAATGACAAAGTGCAGCCCGTTTTTCGTCCTTAAACGGCTCGAACTTCCTCCTGAAAATGGAGGAAATGTGTGCTGTCGTTGCTTTGTGTTTTCGACTGTTTGCAGCGAGCTAACCGAGCTAGCTTCAGTGAAATAACTTATTCATGCAAAACCTTTAAAATTTAACCATCTTACACGGTTTATTACATCTCACTGTGAACAAATCTTACATTAGTTCTTCCGTCGGTTGTGTGTATCGTCCTTTTGTTTGGCGACGAGCGTCAGGTTATCTTATCTAACGTGTTCTGCATGAAACTTCTGCAACTTATTCAATATAAGGGAATCGAGAAGACGCAGATGAAGGTGCTATTAGTGTGCAATGCATCCAAAAACATTACTCTGCATGCATTTGTTATTTGCAGTTTAATTTGTGTTAAAAGTTGCAGCTACGGTGCTAATGTCAGCTAACTTGGATTTGTCTCCTTCAAGATAATGCACCTCTACAAAGCACTGAGTTCTGTTTACATGTAAATAAGTGATTAAATACCAACTAAAACTAATGCAGAAGGGATTTCTATCATGCAATCAACAAGTTAATTATTTCTTTGGTCTCATCATGTCATTAAACTGAGATCGACCTTAAGATTACAGATCCAGAGCAGATGATCATTTCTGTTGTGTGTCCTCTCCTTGGTCAATGTGTGTATCCTTTTAGCAGAATGAGGGTAAATCTAAGATGACATAGACAATGTCTGAGTGATTTTACTGGATCATACGCCCAAGAGAAGATCTGCAACTGAATGAAAGGACTAACCATAGAAAGACTGATCAGGAGATACTTTACCATGATCTAGATATGAAGGTCTTTACTCAACTGTTGGTCTAACCGAGTCTGATATTTGGTTATAAAATGGTCCAACTACAAACCAAATGTTTTAGCTTTTATTTAAATAACAATTGCTTTTTTAGATTCAATACCATCAAGATGTTTCGAAACAGGAAAGGGGCAGCAAAACATGAAAACAGTTTTGAAATGTTAACCCTCCTCCTGTGTTAGGGTCTGCACGACCCGTTTTTGTTTTTAAATGCTTAAAAGAACCACTTAAATTAGCTTTTTTTTTTTACTTTGTCAGGAACCTCGATTTCAACAAAATAAAAATAAAAAAATTCAATTGACTAAATTATAAAATGCTTTTATTAAAATTATGGCACATGTCGTGTTATGAATAGAGCAAAACTAAAATCATATGTACACTGTCAGGCACCACACTGACAGTCAGATCCTCTTCCAATCATGTGAGATTTAGGAAATTCTTATTTTGCCTGTTTTTTTCCTGAAAAAAAAAACAACATCAGACATGTCTGGACATATGAAATCAGTTCAGTATAGATGTCTGTATGAGGGGTATACTGACAGAGAAAGGCTCAGAAACCCACAACAAAAAATATTATTAGCAATATTTTCTGGATAATGAAACCTAACATGGTAACCTAGAGATGAGAACCAACTGAGATGATAGAGACTTGTCTTTAGTGTAATTTACAGCTGATTAAAGACACGGGTCAAAACCAACTCGTTAACGTAGCGGGCGCATAGTAAAAGCTAACACAGGAGGAAGGTTAAATTAAAGAAACTCCTCATGCAACAATACTGTGTACCTGTGATTTTCTGGTCCTCAGGCTGCACTGTATTGAAACAAGTGTATCTCTGTAATGGAACAGCTGCACAGGCTCAAAATGATAAAAACACTGAACAAAATAATACATATGTACACCAAACAACTGTACATGTCAAAGATAAATTTACACGACATATGTATGTCAAAAATAAACAGTTTGAGAAGGAACAGAAAGAAGCAAAAAGCTAATTGAGTCCTGCCCCTTCCTTGCAAATTAATGATGAAAAAAAATCCAATCGTATAAATCACAACGATCTGTATAAATACCTACATATTATACACAAAGATATCTGCTCAACACTACATAGGTTACTTATTATAATGATTTGCATATTATAATAATAATCAGTGTTATAATATTCAGAATTAATATTACTTCTATGCAATCAAGTATATTTAGTATAAACCATATTTTTGTTAGTTTACTAATATGAATCTTTTAATACTTCTCTATAGTTTATGATATTGGACATATTTAAAGTGACATCCAGGCTGTTCCAGAGTTTAACATCACAAACAGAAATGCACAGACTTTTCAGAGTTGTGTAGACAATCAGACAAATAGATTTATGTTCACCCCTTAGATTACAGCCCCCCTCTCTGGTTTTGTAGGTTACCAGGTAACTTACTTTGTGTTCCTTTGTACAGCACTTGGGCCGTTTTAAAATTGACTATGTCATTAAATTTTGACAATTTTGATTGTCTGTAAACGCAATGCTGGAACCTTAAATTGGGGTTAAAATGAGGCGACCAGTTAATCAGGCTGACTTGACATTGACCAAACTTGGCTCTCATAGAAATCATGGATGCCAAGTTCTCTGTTCTGAAGAGTGGAGGGACCACTTACTTTGTTATCAGCGCACACTTACAAAGGCTGACTCATGATGGTATGAGGATGCAGAAGTGCTCATGGTTTGGCTTAAACATCTTTTGAGGCTCCGTTTATGCCTAACAATATAAACAGGTTTTGGAGAAGCTTATACTTCCATCCTGACAACAGCTTTATCAGGGCGGACCTTGTATATTTCAGCAAGACAATGACGAACCACATTCTGGGAATATTAGAACAGCATGTCTCTGTTATTGGAGAGTCTGGGTGCTCAACGGGCCTGCCTGAAGTCCTGATTGTGACCCACTGAAACTATTTGGCACATCATGAAACAAAAAACCAAACTAAGGAGACTCTGAACTGTTGAGTCACTGAAATCCTCTGTCAGGCAAAATGGCGAAATATTTCCCTGAAAAACTCAAGACAGTGGCCTCCTTGATTTAGATGTTAAATGTTTAGAGTGCTAGAAAGAGAAGAGGTGATGCAGTATAAAGTAAACATGAACCATGTCCCCACAAAACTTAATTTTCAGTTTCAACATTTGACATTTTGTCTTTGCACTTTTTAAAATCTAAAGCTCCTGTGAAGCTTTCTCAAATGATCATAAAATAGCCTGAAACGAGCCGTTTTACCTTGTAGTATGTAATGCATGAAATTGGTGTGAAGTGGTGGGTGTCAGCAGAGGCCGTACAGTTTCCACATTTAATATTCACAAAAAATGATACATGTGACTGACTGTGAAGGAGCTGAAGTACAAAATATGAGGAAAAACTATTCTATCAACAGCTCCAGAGAAACCTGGTTCATGCAGTTTTTAATTGATTATCAGAAGAAGATGGCGTCCTTGAAATGGACTTTGTCCGCTCTGCTACTTGCAGTTTGATAAAGTTTAGGGTTTATTTCCATAAAAAAAAAAATTAACATTAAAGCGTCAAAAACCTGAGTGTTTGTTTAAATATGTTGATTATGTTTTGAAATGCTTTTCCTTATTTGAAGTGAAATATTCTTCGAAGGAGTGTCCTGCCAAAGAAAGGCAGAAGCCCTTTTTACAAAGTGAAGGCACAGACTCAAACTTTACAGTCAGAGGAGTTTCCTCTTCATTGTCTCCTCTTTTTTTCACTCTTTTTCTTTTGTTTTTCCTTCATGCTTCTAAAAATAGTTTTGTTTATATCCTGCACAGAGCCCGACCTTCACCTCAAAACCTGCCATGTTTCGGTCTGCTGATGTCGTAATTGCTGCTACGGTGGGGAAAGCATGAGAAGGACTTCAGCGAAAGTGTGTCTTTGAAGAACACGAGGAAATTGACAAGAGAAATAAAAGCTGGAAAAAGAAAGCTGAGCTCAGAGGACCACAGACAGGCGTGAGGAGTGAAGGCGTTGGGGATGGGGTTGAAGAGCCAAAGGAGGGCGTCATGGTTCACAGCGGCTCTGCATCCCCAATGAAAACAACACCATCGGCATCGCCTCATTTGACCGTCTCGGCCACAGCACCTACTTTAGCTCCTCTCGTGCCCCCCTCTACAGATCAGGACCTCGCCCCCACCCCTGCCAAACTCCTCGCAACTGATCTTACTTCCAGCTCTGATCCAACCCAGCCCTCCACTCCAACTCCTGCTGATGCTGAGCCTCCCGTTGTGACCCCTGCGAAAGCGCCCACTTCTAACTCCAGCCAGGCTTCAGCCAGGACCTCAACACCGTCTCAGACCCCTGTTCAAGCGCAAGTCAACGGCCGCACGTCAGGCAGGAAGAGGACTCCTAAAGCCTGTGACTGCTGTGGCCCCAACGGCAAAAGACATGATGTCAGTATATCAGACAGAGGCAGAGGGAGGGGGAGAGCGAGGGGAAGAGGAGCAGGAGTCGAGGGGTTGGATACCCCGAAACGAAAAGTGGTTGGCCTGCTGACAAAAAGCTGGAGTTTGGATTTGACCAAGGAGGAAGTGGAGGAAGCAGAGGATGACGTTGACAACTATGAGGTGGTACAAAAAACTCCAGTAGAGGCTGATGGTCGGGTAAAAACACCTGCTACCCTCCCTGACACAGTTTCCCAGCAGGATGGACCAACAAAGATCAATTCTGCTCAAGTCAAAGAGGACGTGCAGAAAAAGGAGGAGTTCTCAGAAGAGGGGTCACGGGGTGACGGCACAGGAGGGAAAGAAGGGGGTGATAGCAGAGATGTGGAGGTGAGACACTCAGGATTGGCAACAGCAGTTCGAGGTAGAGGAAGGGGAAGAAGGGGAGGCATGTCTGCATCAAAAGTGGAAGCAGGTTTAAGTGGCGTTTCAACCACCCCTTATAGGTCGTTCGCCATACCTCGATCCATGCTGATGCCTTGGAAGGTGAAAGATGTCTGTGTGAAGGAGCCCGACCATAAAACCGTGAAATCTTCACTCGGAAATGGAGACACTGTTAACCTTTCTGACTCTGAGCCTGAAGAGGAAGCGAAGGACGGCGTCATCACTGTGAGAGAAATGGAAAATGGAGTTCTGTCGGTCTCACAGAGGCCAGAGTCTCCTCTGGACCTGGACTCCGAGATGCAGGAGGACCAGACCGCTAACAAAACAGACTCAGAATCTGTAGCATTAACTCTATCCAACGGAGATGTCACTACGCCGACGAATGAGGACCACGATCCCACGTTAATGGACGTGGTAACTTCTTCACATCCAGTCAAAGCTGTTCGTCTGTGCCAGGATCCTATCACACTAGACAACACTCAGCATCGCTGGGCTTTAAGAGACCACTGGCGGTACTGTCAGCCCGGAACCTGGGAGAGGGAGGCGATAGAAGAAGAGTCCAGACCAGAGGGGGAAGGAAAGACACAGGATGAAGAAAACCGAGAGCAGCTTACTCATCTGGTCCACGGTAAGTCTTCTCTAGAGACTCGCTCAGTTTTTCAATGAAATATAGTAAATGATTCATCAACTTCAGAGCCGAGGGTATCTTTGCATGTCATGTGACATCCATAACACGTGTTAAATGTTTATCTCTGAACGCACAGCAGAGGCATTCAGTTTGGAGAGTTCAGTGGCCTCAGAGTCAGTGTTGGGACCGTGGGAATAAAAAACACTAACAGAACTGGACACATCTCCCCAAAACAACCTGTTTTTATTGTTGAGCTCAAGGTGTCACGATGAGGGGATTTCTTCTTTCATGTTTCAGAGTTTCTAGAAAGCTTCTACATCAAGTACGGCGGTTTCATTCCTCTCACTGAGACTGATGTCCTGGAGCACCTGAAGGAGAGCGGCAACTCTGACCTCAGCAACAGGTGGGTGTCAAACACACACACACACAGATCTACACCGTAGACTGTATATACTATGGACAACTTGGTTCCGCCTACCGCCTGTGAACGGATTTGAAGCCAAAAAGCTCTCAGTATTTCCGGGATTTTTCTTCATTTCCTGAAACCAGTGCTGCCCAGTAGTGTTCTACGCATTCAGCGGGAGAGTCGCCGAGAGTTGCTGTGATGACACTCGGCTCAAACAGCGTATCCCCCGGGTGAGCTACACAATTGTGCTACGCCCATAGGCTGTATCAGGTGTCAATCATAGGAAACTTGAACCCCCTAATAACTTTTAAAAACGGAGCTGTACAGAAAAAAAGAGGACAAACCTGTCTTACAGTAACTACATGTCAACACCGCAAGCAGCGGGGAAACAATTTATGTACTGTGTGATAAATTTCTTAAGTTTGTCCACAGCCCCATAAACTTTGCTGGCGGAGGCGGGATTTATGATCTATACTGCAGCCTGTCACCAGAGGGTGCTGTTCTTAGAGTGGCTTCACCCAGCAAGGAGGCAGACGCTGTCCATTCTGTATACAGTCTATGATCTACACTGTGTTTTAACAGTTAAATATTATACTGTTTTAAAAAATTAAGTACGTTAAAGCAGAAAGTGACCAGAATCTCAAAATCATACACCATAATATTTAGATTTTGCTGAAACTTGACGTATCTGTTGAGCTTACTTTGTCACAGTAAATAAGAAAACTCTTCTGTATTCCATTTTTGTTGAATAAGTAATAAGTATTCAGACATAATGACACAGATGTAAGAAAACATCGAAGGTCGGCCAGAAGACTGTACTCAGAGAAACTGGTTCAGGAACCCTTCAGCAGCTTCCCTCTCCTTTTTCCTGGAAAGTTATTTTTAATCTCTGACCTTGTAGCGTCTCCGTCCTTATCTGAGTCCATCATATTCTTTTTCATTTCTTTGAAGATATGAGAAACCCCTTCAGGGCTTTGCATAAGGTTTCTTCTCTTGATGTGTTTTCTCTTTTAGGGAACTGGACATCAAAGGGGAGATGAGTCGATACCGGGCAGCGTTGGCCTCCGCTCCCGTCGCGGGCTTCATGGTGACGTATAACAAACACACCCTGAGCCTGGAGGACCTGGGCACGCTGGAGGAACAGAACTGGCTAAATGACCAGGTGAGGAGGGATGGAGGAGGTCACCGCTACAGAAATGCACCGTCATTTTTGACCTTAATCTTTCTTCCGAGTTATAAAACCTCTCAACAGAAACTGCCAACTCACTGACCCCAATTATTATCTAACAGGGGTTTTGTGTTTGTTTTAATTTCCTGAATGAGAGTATGTCTGTGTGTCTGCATAGATAGACAAGTATATATGCTTGTTGTAGTGTTGTATGTTCTTGTATATGTTTAAAAGAAGACCAGAAAGGTCATCTGAGCAAGGCCCTAAGAAGTTGACTGAAGAAATCAAAAAGCATCTTTGTGTGAGAAAGTCTGTAACTCTCCTTCTTTGCTGTTCAGATAATCAACATGTACGGAGAACTCATCATGGAGGCGACACAGCACAAGGTAAGAGAGTCTTTCTTGGACTTACTTGGAAATATTGTCATTTTGGTTTTATCACAATGTTCACAGAGTAATCTTTCTTCCTTTCTTTCTTTCTCAGGTTCATTTTTTCAACAGCTTTTTCCACAAGCAGCTGGTTGCCAAGGGTTATGAAGGAGTGAAGAGGTGGACTAAAAAAGTAAGAGGAAAGACACAGCTGTTCAAAATGATCTAAAAAAAATTTGCAGTTCTACTTTTACCTGAAAGTTATCGGAACTGAAAATAACCGAGAGTTTTTTCCCCTTAATGTTTTTCATCGTTTACTGATCATTTCCTGATAATCTGACCTTTAATGGGATCGTTTCAGGTTGACCTGTTCTCCAAGTGGCTGTTGCTAATTCCCATCCATTTAGAAATCCACTGGTCGCTCATCACGGTTACCATGGCAACCAAAACCATCAGCTACTACGACAGCCAAGGCATCGTCTTCAGGCATACCACGGATGTGAGTGTCTCCGTACACATGGACATTTCTGCATAGTTAAAGTTTGAGATGCTGAAACGTTTTTCAACTTTGTGAAACAATCGAGTACCAATGACATTTTATATCATGAGTAGGTTACAGCATACTTGAATATTAGATTTGTAGATTAATGCTTGAAGCTATATCTGTAACTATGCTCCTAAAGGTCCAGGTGGAAGTGAGAAGACTGACACAACAGAAGCACACAAACCATCGTCATATGAGAAATCCAACGCTATGACTCTCCAAGAGTTGTCCTTTAGGTCGTTATCTTTGTAATGTTTGTGTCTTTTATTAAAAATCACTCTGTCCTCCGACATGTAAACAATCAGTCGGTCAGCCATGTTGGATAAACCGGTGAATCAGTAACAACACGCAATCTGATTGGTCAGAAGTGGACACACAGTATGCGAAACTTTGAAAAATCGACAGTGATACGAAAAAATAAATGCCGCAATATCGCAGGAAGGGAAAAGTGTCGCTGATGTGAACACTTGTATTGACAGGATACGGTTTTGAAAAAAAATGTTGACGTCCGAAATAATCGCACAACAAAAACAGTCCTGGTGTGAAAGGACCTTAAGAGTTTTTATTTCCGCATTAAAATTGTTCTGATCTTAGACCTACAGTTATGATTTAAAATTAAGACTTCTTAAATTTTCAGATCCAGTGAGTGACTTTTGGTTTGAGTCATTTTTGGCGCACCCTGCTGGTGAAGCAGCACCTACTGTTTCTTGGCTTATTTACAAAAATCTCATTTATTTCTCAAAAAAGTCACAAAAAAGCAAATCAAACGTTTCACATACGAAGAATCTTTGATGTGGAAAATGAAAGAAAGGGGACAGTTTTGCAGGGTGGAGATAATCACCTCACCTGACACATACACCTTCCTCCCTCAGGTTGCATTATCAGACATTGAAAGAAACTACAAAGAAATGATCGAGCTTTATACTCATGGTCTATTTTTGCTTTTGAAGGCCGTCAAGAGGCCTCTGTATTATTTCCAGCCTGTTTTATAACCAGCTAAAAACCTCTCAGTGGAGCTTTAACGTCACTGGAGAGTGTCTATTTCTCTGCTTCTTGCCCTCCACTGTCCTTCCTTGAAACTATTCTTTTCCTGGCACCACTGTTAGCTTGGCCTAACTCTGTCCTGTGTGTGTGTTTTTGGCTCCCTGTCAGAACATCTTAAAGTACCTTCTGTCTGAAGCCAAAGAGAAGAAACAGACAGCGTTCCAGAAAGGCTGGAAGATCACCATCATCAAGGTAACTCTGAACCCTGAACCCTGACTGTGAGGACTATTTGAATGTGCTCTCACAGTGAATTTTGAGTCTGTTTTATACAATAATCATCACAAAGACTAAATATTAGATATGTCAAATACTAAAACACAAACTGTTCAGATGTCTCTTATCTCTGTGACTTACTTTGCCTGACTTGACTCTCTCTAGGGGATCCCTCAGCAGAAAAACGACAGTGACTGTGGAGTTTTCGTCCTTGAGGTGAGACTTTATTCTTTCCTTTCATTTCAGCTGCCTTCATCTCCTCTTCTTTATTTCCTCTCCTCACCTCAGGGCTCAGTTTGCCGCCCTCTCTTAGCTTTAACTTCTTCCTAACACGCACGATCTTACATCGATCTGTGTCAACATTGTCTTTGCTTTTCTTACACAAACTGGACACCACAAGGGGGTAGAAGAAAACATTGTAATTGCAAATGAGCTGTGGTCGAGTTGCGGATGATTTTTCCTCACTGCCTGTTTTTTTTCTGTCTGCCAGTACTGCCGCTGTCTCTCTGTAAAGCAGCCTCTGCAGTTCAGTCAGGAGGACATGCCTCGGATACGCAAGAGAATCTACAAGGAGCTGTGCAACTGCCACCTCAACAAGTAAACGACTGAACAGACGCCGCCTGACATTCGTAACAGTCTGCTAAAGTGCGTAAGAGGACCTGTTTCAATGTCAGCCTGTTACATAAGCTAACACGACCTCGCCGTTTGTCAGCCACAGAGCTCTGACTGCTCATTTTACCTGTTTGACTGACAGTAGAGGGGCGGGACTTCAGGACTTAAGGAGTTGAATCACAGCCTGTAGCAAAGTAGATTTTTACTCGCAAAGAACTACTGACGTGGCCCCCTACTGACCCGAAAAAGTGCCGGACCCCCAAACCCATCAGGATGTCTTTGCGGTCTACATTCACACAGCTGTGATGTGTTTGCGTCCACATTCAAACAGCCACCTGTAGTTAAGGTGTCGGTAGATCTCTGACTTTGACTTAAGGACACAGGCGTCGGACCAGCCTGGACCAATGGGGCGGAGCTTCCATCCCAGTTAGAGTGGCCTTACCTCTTGGATGGCCATTTTAACCCTTAATGACATTTTTATCTGTTTGTTTTATGCTGGACTCTTCAGCAGTATCAAGCTTACTGTTATTGCCTGTTTTCTAACGTGAATAAAGATAGTATGTGCAAATCAGTGGACCAGACGTTCACTTAAAACTTGAAGGTTTCTTTCTCTCTCTCTTGGACTTCAGATCTTGTAACAGTGAGAGGCCGATCTATTGAGGAGATATCAACTTGAATGTATTGATCACGTATTCTTCCTGGCTGCCTCAGAAGGTTGGAGTATCAGCACCAAACAGGCTCATGGCACACTCAGGCTGTGGCTTGAAACAGGGATTTAATTTAAAAGTTGGGTTTTGTTTCAAATGTGAGGTTTTCCACACCTTACTCTACATGATTTCCAGTTTTTTTTTCCGCCACATTTTTTCCTGATTTTTGTTGTTTTGCTGTGATCACACCCACCATGGTTTTGCACAAGTGTTTTCTCCAGCCGTCTGGTACAGTTTTTGAATATCAATTCATCAGTTTCAGTTGTGTCTCATGCTGGTTTGTAAATTTCACATGGAGCTGCTGATGTGAGGACCACCGATTTTTGATTTTAACCGAGCATTAACTCTTTGGTAATATTTCAGGGCCGTCGTCTTCACATGGATGCTTTATCAGGGTTGCAGAGCATCATTGTTACAGACTGGCCGCCTCTTTACAGTGAAACAAGTGGACCTCAGCTGTTTGATTTCATCCTCTGTCCAACAGGATTTCGTTATTATATTCACATCTATATATATATTTGCAGATTGTATTGTAATTTTACTGGTCTACTACTGTACACGCTTGCTTTGGCTGAAAACCACAAAGGTTTCTGGACTGTTTATATTGTTCTTATTAAAGGCTGATACTGCTGGGAAATTTTGAAGCTGTTATTAGTTTTGAATAAGTGTGCGCAGGTGAGATTCACAAGGTCAGGAAAATGCTTTTAGAGCAAGGACGTAAAAGGAGAACGTTTTCTTAACGCTGCAGGATTAATTAAAAACACTCGTCTAACCATGTCCAATTTAAACACGGTGCCTGTTTTCTCAGTTTCTGCTCTGAGATGTCTTCTATGAATAAAAATGAACAGATCCTTTCCTGAAAGTCAATGAATCAACTCGTATCTAAGGTCAGTATCGCAAAGAAAAATGTGCTGCCAAGTCCTGCTTCATGTTTCAGTTTTTCATAGCAGCGACCTTCAAGAGAAGTCTGTCCTTTCAGCACTGATTTCAAAGATAATCTCCATCCTATTTTATATCTTTCCTCAGCATCTAAGTCTTATCTAAATCATGTGATGAGTTTATTTTTTATCTTTGCTCCTGAAGTAAAAAAAAGTCAGTGAAGGTGGTCACACTCGTTCAACAGAGTGATGAAAATCTAATCTGATTCCCTAAATGACTGTTTCTGTTTTTTTTGCACTTGTCCAAAGTTAAAGGGATATTCCGGCCAAGTTAGGTGCTGTTCTGAGCATTATTTGTTGCTATAGAGTAGCATTTTGATCAAGGATTGTTTATGGCTCCTTAGACCACTGTGTATTGCTATCCTGCTGTCATTACTAAAGTTGGTATAACTAGAGAAGCAAGCGGTCGGCAACATTCATCTATCGAGGTGTTGTCTAACTTGGTGTTACGGTGTGTTTGACCCTAAATTAATTTTACGCTGGAATATCCCTTTAAATCTCGTTGCTGATGGTCTGGTTTGCTTTTGTAGCTCATACAGAGGCATTAATATCAATATCACTCTGTTTTATAACCAGATAAAACTCCTTACTGCAGCTTTAACCGAAGTTAACTCAAGACTTTTTACATAGATAGTAGATCTAGACGATGCTTTTGTGTACTACAGTTGACAGACCCCTAACAGGTTCACCATGAGCAAATGCTTGACAATATTTGTCACCAGTAGCAGCTAGAAATATCCTTGAGCAGGTAGAAACCTTTGAGCAGAACCAGACAAGCAGGGAGAGGCAGAAAAAGCAAAAACAATAAGTGACATAACAGACTAAAAAAAATCCAACAGTGGTTGTCATAATATCTGCAATAAGAGCATTTTTTTATGATAAAGTAAGAATAATTAAAATTTTAAATTGTAGCAGGTGAAGTCTCCAGGTCTATTATTGACATTTACACCTGTAATAATTTATTTTGGTGAAGATGGATAATAATGGATAATATTGTTTTTTATTGATTTTAACTACCTTAAACAAACACATGCATGTGCACAAATGCAGAACTAGACACACAAACATCTCTCAGGTACATATAGGTAATAATGGACATAAAATGATGATGATGATAAAAACAATGATTTTAAGATTGATATCTTAGAAATCGATGGTCTTCATCTGCACTTCCTCTAAATACCAGAAGGGGGAGCTCTTTATCAGCGGTTTGTATCTTACTGTGGTTGTCATAGTTGTTCTCCTCCATCCATCCAGACTACAGGGTCACAACCATGTCTGTGTTCTTGGACCTGGATTATGGTTCAGTGTTGCCTTTAAGGGCCCTTCAGCGGTGACACCCCCTGATATGTGTGCTTGACCCTGACCCGTGTCAGCTCGGTGAGGGATGATCCTGTAATCTTTACACCGGTCTCATTACCATATGGCTACAGACCTTAATGTCACAATTAGCATTACAGGGGCCTGTAAATGAGTTGACCTTTAAAAGAGCTGCTGCTTTATGCTAATAGTGTGCATTTTATAAATGTAGGTACTGATTTGAGCTTAAAGTTCAGGCTTTCTCAGCCTTGTACAGTTGAATTAAAGGACACAGATTTGCTCTGTTACAACTGAGCTAAGAACATCCATCCTTCTTGATTTTTATGGGCATTTATTTTATTTACAGGACTCTCGTTTTTAGATGGTAGCTCCAAAATAATGTAAAGGAAAAGAAAACGAAACTGAAAGAGTTTTATGGGCAAGGATAATATTTATTTTCATCACTAGGTCAAAATTTTAAATTACAACATTGAGAAAAAAGTTGGGGAAAAAAAAGTTTTTATCAAACTGAAAAACAGGGGGGGCTTGCCCACTTTTTTAACACATTCATACAGAGGATGTCATGATATGTTCTGTTTGAGTTAGTTTTTCCCTGGTTTTGTGTTTCCCTGGAGTGTATTTTCTTTGTGATTTTCTCTAGTGTTTCTATTCCCTATTGTTCCTGGTCCCCTGTGGTCCTGTCTTGTGAGTTTTCAGTTTGTCTGACCCCGCTTCCCTCATGTTCTCAGTCTCTTATTGCAAATATCAGTTTCAGAGTTTAGTGTTTTATTTTGTAGTAGCTTATTCCCTGTGTTTCTAGTCTTGTTTTACCTCCTCAGTTTTCCCTCGTTAGTTAGTAATTGTCTGCACCTGTGTCTCAGTGTCTCACCTGCCTCTCGTTGCTCGTTTTCCTGTGTGTATATATCGTTTCTGTCTTCCCCTGTTTCCTTGCTGGTTCATTGTATGCCGATGCCTCTGTGTGTCTCCAGTATCTTCTTGAGGTTTTTTCCCCCAGTGCCCTCTGTTGGTTTTTGCCCTTTTGGATTTTTAGTTGGACAATACTGAAGTAAGTATTTGTTGTTTTTTATTTCGTTATTTTTTAAATAAATCATTTTTGGTTCTGCACTTGGGTCCTTCCCCTTTTTGTTTTGTCCGGTTTCATGACAGAGGAGAGGCTATTTTATCTGAAATCCTCTGATCAAGTCTTGTTGTTTGTTCCTCAGACCAAACCCAACTGAGGTTCTCGCTGCTATACTTCAAAACTGTCTCCTTCTGGAACTGAGAACCGTGAGTACAGTATTTAACTGTCTGTATGTAAATTTGTTGCAGTCATGGCAGATGACTGTCTTACATGAATCTGGTTCTGCTCAAAGTTTCTGCCTGTATTTCATCTGAACTCCTCTGATCAAGGCTTGTTGTTTGTTCCTCAGACCAAACCCAACTGAGGTTCTCGCCGCTATACTTCAAAAATGTCTCCCTCTGGAACTGAGAACCGTGAGTGCATTATTTTCTGTCTGTATGTAAATTTGTTGCAGTCGTGGCAGATGGCTATCTTACATGAAACTTGTTCTGCTCAAAGTTTCTGCCTGTTTAAAGAAGTTTTTCCTCGCCACTGTACCTCACAAAGCACTACACTCATGTGGATAAAGATGGGATAGGATTGATTTTTATCCCATCTTAAACTTTTTCTACTCATCCCTGGGTCTAATACCTCTAAATAGCTTTAAATTGCACAAAATATGACAAAATACTGTATAGACACTGAGATAATGTGCCAATAGTTGGTAGTATTTCCCTCTTTACCAAACTAAGCTGTAAAGAAAGCCTCTTACAGTGAGGGTGTTGACCTCTTGCTGAGTTAAGGGGGTTTCTGTCTACTTCTCCCATCAAATCTAATTCAGCCGAACACACAGGCAGGTTAAGTGCCGCTAAGTGCAGCTGTATCTCTCTAATGTGGGGAACTCTAACAGGATAGGCTGATAAGAGGCAGGAGAAACCTGCTCTCCCTGTGTGAGAGCGAGTCGGCTAAATGTTGGCAGGAGAAGTCTGATCTCATCTCCCTGTTGGACTTCTCTCTGTCTTTTGTTTCAGTCCAGTTGCCTCTTTCAAAGAAAAACTCTCCCACTGCTATCTGATGCCGATCTGTCTGCAGCCCCAAGTTCAACTTCAGCTTTATTGTCCCGAGGGAAATTTGGTTTCCAGCCAGAGCTAAAAATACACATAAAATAAAGTCCCATCAAACCAAAAATGCTTTAAACTTTGCATTAAACAAACAACAAACCAGAGCATGACTCAAATATTTAGTAGATCAAGACCAAAATAAGGGAAAAGATACCTGTAGAAGTACTCTGACACCAACGCCGCTCTGCCTGTGAGAAGGAAAAACTAAGACTTGATGATTAAGAAAAGCAAAGACTAAAAACTTGTATTTTTAATCCCTTAATTTTTGTTTTAAGTGAGCAATTTTCAACCATCAAATGTTCATCTTCTTTGTATTATTACTGGAAAGGGACTCTTCTAATAACCCAAAGTTTTCCTGAAGTTTTAAAAGAAGTTAGAAACAGTCAAAGTGCCTCAGTATGAAGCGCCAACTGCCAAAAGCTTGCTCACATTACTTTAAATCATTGAGTCTGTTGGCAGAGACTCTGACGTGTCATTAAGTGTTTTTTTAAGCACCAGGAATCTATAAAAATTCTACTTTCTACTTTATCTGCCGCATAAAGAAAAGGGCTTTGTTGCTCAACATACAGTAGACACACGACTCAATGAGGATGGAGGGAACGAGGAGAAGAAACTCACAGATATTTGAGTGTTTGTCCTGCCCAAGATAGCCAAGAGCAACCTTATATACAAACATAAAAATTTGTTCATGTTGACACCAAACTTCTATAGAATATATCATAACATGCAACATGTTCACACAGCAAACAATGAGGAGTGATGGCTTTAAAATTAGTCATGAACCTTAGTGCTTCATGATACTCAGGGTCCAGGACATGCAGACGCAGAGAAGAGGTGTGCATGGACGGCACATCACCATAATCCAGCACTGATGTAAGGGGAGCAAAGACTAGTCTCCTTTTGGGCTCGTAAGAGAGGCAGGATTTGACCCTGACAGAAAAAAAAACAGTTTTAGTTTTAGTTGTCTCACCAGTGTCTGAATATAAAAAAAGAGATTCATCGAGTAAAATACAAAGATACCTGTACTGATGAATAAACTCAACCTCTGTGCCCTGCAAAGTGAAGGTTTAAGGCCTTTTTTAGGACTTGGATTTTACTTTTGAAAACAAAACAACTTTTTGTTTTATCTGCATTCAAGATAAGATTTAAATCATCAACATTTTTTGATCATGGTTCAGAGCGAGCTGTAAGTTGGATTTATCTTGGTCTGGTTTAGGCGCAGAGAAGTACATCATTGTGTCATAAAAATGAAAGTTTTCCTATGTCTTCACCCGGGAAAACTTTTACAGATAATGAGGGAACACAAGATAGCCTGGTTGGATATCTGTGTACAATTAAACAACCTTTTAGTATCTGAAAACAAGAGACAAACAAAATTCTGAGAGTGTTCAGAATAATATCATGAGAATTCTTATCCTCACAGTCCTTATCATCTAAAAACCAGAACAGCACTGACCTGAAACCTCAGGGGAAAATATACACGACAGCATAAATCAATCTATATGTGTGTCTTGTTGTATTGCTTCTCCCACAGGCGACTTTAAACCAACAATTTAAGTCTGAAACAGACTGATGCCCTCCTGTACTGCTCCCCAGATAGGTCAGAGATATTTTAACTGAGCTGTACTGAAGTCCTACGGGCTCTTCAGAGACAGATGAGACACTTCAGCCTGTGGCCTTCATCAGAGTACTGAGCTGGAAACATTTCACAGGTCACTCTGAAATGAAAGAAAGTGGAATCCTTGAAAAAAGAAGCAGCAAATGTTGGTTTTTATCAGCAACAAAAATGCCTTAAATTTTGATTTTTATCTTTCGTAAGGAACTACAAAATCTCCAGAATAAAAATGAAACTTTGGTCAAAAACATAATACCTCCGCCCGTTTTCAAGGCCATCAGTACAGAAGCTGTTAAACTCCACACTTGTGTTGCCAAGGCTGTGGTTGAAAATGATCAGAGTCAGTTGGTGATGAGTAAAGTCACTTGTTGTATCTTTGGTCCAGCAGATATTTATTGTGACAAACAGCTCAGACGGAGTTTCTAAGAATGCACCGCTTGGTTTCTCAACAAAAAGGTGCCAAAAAAGTAGAACAGCATGGATCGATAACTTTGATACCTTTGCTAAATTACACCTTATTCACACTGAACGTTCACAGATCAGAGATACAACAGGGAAAAAAGAGAAATAACTCATCCTGCTCTCAAGTAATCAAGCCTTACAATACTGAGGGTAAGACTGTTGGTGTTAAAGCAACCTTGATACGAGTGACTTTCATCTAAATGATGATGTGGTTGTCGTAGTAACAGCCTGAAAATCCCCATGTCTTTTGGTCACTTAGCCAATCATAACAAATGAATGTTTCTCTCCAGCTTTGAGATTTCCTTAATTAGTCAAAATATTGAAGTATATATGACAAATAACCTGAAATAAAATAATAACACCTGATAACAATGGATGAGTTTCTCACCCAGGATATGGTCGACTGGACCACAAATGCCGCTTTAGAGGTAAGAGGTCTTTATTTCTTGGAACGGAAATGAGATGTCTTCAAAAGTTTGCAGCTAACGAACAAAAGCCAAAGCTTTGTGAAGTTATTCAGCCTGATTCAGAGCTTTCAATGAAACTGCAGCAGACCTTGAAGGATCACAAAAAAAGTGGGAGCTCTTACTCTTAGATAAAACCTTTTCAGTTTTAGAGTAAAACCATCCAGCGAGATAAGTAGTTTTTTTTTTTTTATCCCTGTTATCACCTTTTGTTGAGAATTTCATTCACTTTGAGATCCTGACGCATGAATTTAGACTGAAACCTGTTACCTAAAAGTCGGTTTCACCACGTCTCACTGTCATTCATGCGTAAACACGGTTTTCTCGTTGGGTCGAGATATAGCAGATTCACAGGTGGTGGCCAGTTGGTGTTGTTAGACGATAAATCTTAAATTTTAGTGGATGAGTCTTCAAAGAAGATCTATTTAGACTTAGCGCTTTCACTTTTTAAAAACCCATTTAAGACCCATTAGTCCTCTGAGCTCAAACAGAGGGTCGCCCACTTCTCTTATTTATCACTCAGACTCAAGATCGATTTCTTGATTTCATTAGTTTCAATGAAACTTCATTAAAGTAGGGCAGGAGGGATTGGCAGAAGGAGAAGGATTAATTTTGGAGATTGAGTGGGAGGTCAGAAAAGGGAGGATAAGCTCAGAGTGGGGCAAAGAAGAAGAGTTCGGATCTTAAAAGGTTATTAAGATGGATAGGGTTAGTACTGAAGGAGCCAGATTAAGGGATGAGAGGAGGAGTTGGATGGTTTGGATGAAGTGCAGAGGTGGGTGCTGCCAGAAGTTTGAGGTAATCAGATATAAGAAAGAAAGAAAGCTTAATGTGGCATAAAGGATTTAATAAAGACAAGTCTGACTGATGTATTTGGATAAATACTTTTATTTCATCAATGTTTAATCCAAAAATCAAAACAGTGGGATAACAGTTGTCTGATCATAAAAATCTCCATGCAAACAAAACCTTTAAGTCTGTTGAATTAAATGTTCATTTTGTACAGAGGATCATTTGTGACCAACATTCGAGGGGCCGAGACTTTGAGTCAAGTCAGTTTTTAAACAGTTTTAATCACTGTGGCATTTACCAAGTTCAAACTAGTTTTACGGTGTTAGATTAAATAGTAGCCACCTGCCCACACAGTCGATTCTCATTGCTTTCCGTGACTATGGCACCAGCTTAATACAGACAATTACCGAGGGTCAGCATTCGGGGAAAAGAAATGAAGCCAACAGGAAAGTGACAAAGAGGAAACCTCCTGAAATGTCAACCGGAGACGAGCTTCATTAGTGAGTCAATACTCGTAGACCTGGATGTGGATCGCTTAGTGTTGCAGCAGAATTAAAGATGTTGAGAAGTCCAACTGAATGTTCACATGATTTTAAACGTCCAGTTTCAAGGCAATAAAACATTTTTTTTTAAAGCATGTAAAAATACAAACTGATGGAAGAGGTATTGATGTAGAGAGCACACCAGTTTTAGGAAAATTAGACGGATCACTCCGCTGTTGAACAAGCTCCACACATATTCAGGCTGGAATACACACTCACACACAAACAAACAAACAGGATCCTATAGATACAGACCTATGGAGAGAAGTCAGAGTGAGAGGGTCAGCTAATGGATCAGCCAGAGCATCTGGGAGTTATGTGCCTTGCTCAAGGGCATCTCAGCTGTGCCCAGGGAGTGTTCTGGTGTCTCTCCAACTATCAGCCCATTTTCAGTCATACATGGACTTGAACTCCCTGGTTCCCAAGACGAGTCATTAAAAATCGAGATACAACTGCCACCTGATCTATGGTAAACATCTGTGTGTGCAGCTAAATCTACAATGCAAATATTACATCAACCAGTATGTCGACTGCTTATTTGAAGCCTTGCAGAATAAGAAAATCATTACAAGACCATAGCTCACAAGTCTGTATAAAACATAATCCTTTTTTTGAATAACTTCCCTTAAGCTCTCCAGAGAGAGACAAAGAGAGTCTTCTTCACACCAAAGACTGTTCAAGTTTCAAATTAAGCCTAAAACTTGGGATTTTCCGCCAAGTTCATGAGCAGTTTTGTCCTCTTATCTCGGGCACTGAGGGCACAGAATTAAGAAGAATTGTTTTAATGGCTTGACTACACACAGAGGGTTTGATAACGGTAAGCAAAACCTCCTCTCACAATAGAGTAACATGAGCTTTTTGGAGAATTTGGAGTTAATCGTTTGACTTCATGTAAAAGACACTATAAATGAGTCACTTTTGTTAAAAGAAACAGTTAACAGACTAAGATAAATACAAGGACCAATTTCATTAATATTAAAGGTAAAATAACAATCTTTTTATTCATTTCTCTCACTTGAAGCTGGCCATCTTGCCCATTATTGTACCAAATATCTGTTTCCTGATTCACAACAGCGTCTCCTTAATTCAGAATCTACCCATCAGTAGCTCCACATGCTGCTCCGTCCTGACTCCTCAGCAACAGATGGGCATCCTAATCTGACTCATCATCATCATCATCATCTCCTCCACAACACTTTAATCAGACATATTATTATGCTTCTGTTGTTTACCGCAGGCAGCAGATTGACACTAAAACACATATCTGACTTTGACATCTACATAGAGATGAGCTGATTCTTTAGCCAACTGATCTGACTGCTAAAATAAGTACTGGTAATCGAGCGTAACAAAGGTAGAAAATTCAAGTTTTCATTCTGACTTTAAAGTTCCTATAAGGAATTTTTTTAGCCTTCATGAATAAGCTAAAATCCTGAAACTAAAACATTCATCATACATGTCTGTTTGAAACTAAGAAACTCAGTCCCAGCAACCTCAAAAACGGAGACCCTTTACACTGGACCTCACATTTTTCCCCTGTCTTTATAAAGATTGTTGTTGTAAATAAAACAAGACCGCTCTGAACTCTGTCAGTGTCTCAGCAATCATTCGCTCTCCGTGTCCCTGCGGTGTCTGCCATTAAAGCAATACCCCACAGAGGACGCTCTGTGGGACAGATACACAAACTTATAGGCACACAGACACAGAGATACAATACTATAAATATTTCAGCAGCTTTTTTTCTATCTTTGTCACTCAATGGACCTACAGATGATCTGAAACTTGGGTTAAAAGAATCACATTTTTGTTAATCCTGAGAAAATTTGCAGCTTCAAGTCTTTTCAGATTTTTAGAAAATTAACAAGAAATGAGATAAAATGATTTGTTCTTTGTGCTCCGGTGAAAATACCCTTATAGATATCATTCAGTGCAGACTGTCTACAATGTGTGCATCCTTGAAAGCATTTGTCTGATTGAAATAATAACCCAGCCCGCCTCAAGGGTGTGCTCTCTTTCTCTTTCTCTCTCTCTCTCTTTCTCTTTGGTTGCAGATTTGTTGGATTTGACTGACAGATAAATACTTCGCCTTAAATCTCGCATCTTTTGTCGTTTGTATGTCTGCACATCTTTATTTGCTCTTCCAATTGACCCTCTCAGACTCTTCATGTATAATGTATATACACTTGCCAAGTTTAGCATTTGCGTCACATGTACAAATGTACACTACAGTTGGATTGTGTGCATTTGAGTACATATATGCTCGCTCGACCTTCAGAAGCACCACACATGTCTGAATGGATGGGATTTGTTTGAATGTAATTATGCAGCGTTTTCACCAGCGATACGGAGAATAAGCAATTAAGGAAAAGACTGACCCTGAAAGAGAATCCAAACCTGTTCATGAGAGATCGCTTTTAATTCCTTGAAACTGGGAAGACTGTACAGAAGACCTTATTCATACTTGAGCACATCAGAGGTTTTTTAATGGTATATAGGTTTTTCTATGGTGAGGACCTAAAGAGAGCGTGAGTGCACACAGTGTTCATAGCAAAGACTAGTCCTCCAGTGGTGAACGCAAGACTTGGAAATTTTCAGCTTAGTTTGAAAAATGATTAATACGAGAAATTTAGTAAAACAGTAACGTAAAATTGAATTAAACATGAACTTACAAGCAGCGATGACTGAACTACAAGCGTGTTTGTTTCAATAACTCATCATGAAAATGTTTGCAGCCATGTTGACTCACAGTCATTTAAGTCCTGGGCTTTTGGCTCCTAATGTCTTAATGTCTTTGGCTCTTAATGACTCTTAAGCCCTGTTTATATGTACCTGGTTATTTTTAAAAACTGAGACATTAACAATCATTTGCACCCTTCGTTTAGACGCAAACGGAGAATTCGCCCCTGAAAACGGTGCTTTTTAAAAACTCCGGCCAGAGTGGAGATTTTGGAAAACTCTGTTTGCACATTTGTATGTAAACAGAGAAAAACTGAGATTTGGGTAGCCGCAGCAGATTGCGCGCCGGAAAGAAGGAAGTGACATTGTTGTTGCTGCTGCTATGCAGGATCCTGATTGGCTAACGTGGGCTTGAGCTTCTCGCTACACCGCCACCCACATGTTTGATATTCTCTTGATGGCGTATATACACGAGTTAGTGTAAAAGAAAACTTTTCTGAAAACGTAGTGGTGTGCAGGCAGTTTTCCTTTTTTTTTGTAAACAGAGAGGGTGAAATGTCTCTTTATGAAAATAGCCGGGCACGTGTAAACGTAGTCTTAATGGCATAGTCTGAGTTTATAGCCGCTTATAGTTTCCCAGTGTTCTCTAGTGTTCCCCCTCTCCTGTGTATCTGTCCTCCCCTGTGTGTGTATATGTGTGTATCTGAGTGTGCGTGTAAGTGCAGACTTGGCCTTCTTCCTGATTACCTCCTGTTTCACCTGTTTCCAGTGTCACACCTGCAGCTAATCAGCCCTGAGGTATAAAACTCAAGCTTCTTCTCTCATTCCTCCTCAGATGTTTAATCAACAGTCCTGGAGGACACTTGGCTGTATCTGCGCACCTTTTCCCAGGTGAGTTTTAATATTCATTCCTGGTATTTGTCTTGATAATCTCTGCTAACCCAGAATCAGCACACTTCATTGATCAAAAGCTCTCCAGCCTGCCTGCACCTTCTCTTCTGTCCCAGAAACCTGCATACCTCCTCATCCTCTGTGAGTAACCTATCTGTGCTGCATCTAAACTTACAAAACTGCTCTGTTGTGACTTCCTGTTGTAAGAAAAGGAATTTACTGTGACACAGAAAATAATTTTTGGGGAAAAAAAATTGACCAAAAAAAACATTCACATGCCTTGAGCATCATAGATTAAAGTCAGGAATAAGTACCTGAAGTAAATCTCAAATAAAGTACTTAGCCGAATAACAGAATGATAGTAGTTTTACTTCTACATAAGTCATAAAGCACACGAGTAACTGCACTTTCACTTTAGTAGAATAATCAGTTCTCTTTCTATCCTTGCATGCTCATATCCACTGAGCATTTTTTGGTCTAAAAGAGGTCTAATAGACGTCCAAATGTAGCCTAGACGACTGGTCTAAACTCAGGCTACCACAGGTCTAAAAATGAAAGTTTTGTAGACATCTAAATTTAGACCAAGTCTTGATTGGGGCTACATCTATACTACACAGTATATTGCTTAACGGCTATCATAATTATTTTGGTTAAGTACTTGGAGATCAGTTGCAACTCAAAGTTGCTTTTTGAAATAATTATTGAATAATGGGTTATAGTGCAACGTCTAAATTCCATCTAAAAATATACAGAATCTAGTCGTTGAACTAGACATCTAATAGCTGTCTATTGCTCAGTGGGTACATGCTGTGTGAAGTGATGAAGGTAACGGATGAATATAAGAGGTGGCTCGGTTGATTTCTTCTGTTGTTGTTGTCTGTGCTGACTAAAGGAATGAAATGGACAGATAGTATAATGCAGTTGAGTGTATGATACCCAGCTAAGACCTTGAAACTGTTGAGATATTTAGTTCAAAGTTAGTTTAATGATCTGAGTGTCCACAGACTGCTTTCTTACGGCTAACTTGAATAAAAGAACTGAAGAATATAATCTACTTTTAATAATTAACTGGTAGGCTTCATACAATCTGGATTATCATTAATATATTGGTTCCTCGACTGGTGTTTTAGAAGAAGCTGCAGTGAAGCTCAGGCTCAGTCTGTCAGATGAGTTAGAGCGCTGCTGGTCCACAGCATGTGGGTGAAAGTCATGTGTTGAGTTCTTGGTTCTTTGTGTTTGTACACTCATCCATCCCCTAATGGAAAATCAAATGTAACCCAAAATGAATCAAGTGTGCCTCCACATTTTCTTGTATAACCTGCATGCACGGTGAGAGCTGTGGCTGCTGTAGCTCATCCGTTTGTGTGTGTGTGTGTGTGATGTTCTGTGCCTGTATGTGTATGTACAGACACGCTGCTTTACTGGTGAGTCATGTCTGGAGATCATGTTGAGAGGACCGACAGGTTAAACTCACAGAGATGAGCGTGAGATACTGCAGTGTGTGGGAAAGACCACTCAGCATGCCTCGTTCCCTTTCCACAAGATGAGCAAAGAGAATAGATGGAAGCTTTTTAAGAGAGAGAGAGAGAGTGTGTGTGTGTGTGTGTGTGTGTTTTTGTGTCAGAGGCAGATTCAGCAGGCAGGATTTCATCCATGTGGTGAAATGTAAATGAGTACGAAAATTCAATATGTGTCGCATGTGTCAGCAGAGGACAAATTAATCATCTATTAAAAGCACAAACTGAACTCAGAGCAGTGAATGTTTCCCCAAAGGTAAATTTAATCATATGCAAAGACAACAGACTACTTCCAAGCCAACCTACAGTTCTGCTATTAGTCAGCGTGAAAGAAGAAGTATTAATTTGTACAGGGCAGAGTGCCTCGGAGCGAAAAAACATCCACCCTGCGATGCCTCATAACAAGGACTTCAGGTGGGTTCACACCATCAGAAATAAAACGCTCACCTCAGGTCAGATTCTCAAGGTCTGATCCAGGATCGCAGGAGTGTTCGGACTAAAAGCTAAGTTATAATTTGCCCCAAGAGATACATAGATGCAATAAATGCTGTAATTTCTTAGGTCATTAAATACCTCTGCAGAGATTTCTCTCATGGAAGTAAACCTTCTTCATCTGTTCCCAGTAAGTCTTAGTTTCACTGTAAATGGTGAGACACACTGAGACTGCACCTGAGCTTACAACAGCAAAACAAGTGTTTTTTTTTTTTGTGATTTTTAATGGGACAAAACTCCACTGAAATATAATGTTATATAAAGATAATTTAGGATTTAGGATTTATTTCGGTATAATATGACCGAAAGGGTGTAGGCAGAAGCAATGCTTATAAAGACCTACCTCTTATACTATACATCAAGTACATTATACAGATACACTTTTCTTACTAATATCAACACTTCAATATAAATTCACTCTTCAAATCAGATAGAGTAATGAACATGCTTTACGGTTAACATTAATAATTCACAATAAATCAACGGGCAATATTTTCTCTACAGTATTGAGGATAACATTTTTCTTCTAAAGTCTCTTAAAGCTTACCAGAGTACTACATTTTCTAATTTATCCTGGACAGTCATTCCATATTTTCACCCCTTTTACAGACGCACAAAAATTTTTGACATTTGTTTGCGCTTTCGGTTTCTCAAATAATACACAGCCTTTTAGGTTGTAATTAGAGCCCTCAGTTTAAACAGGTTCTGGACATGTTGCGGTAAGGCTAGGTTTTTGACTTTGTACATGATTTGTATTGTGATGTAATCTAAACAGTCTTTGAATTCTAAAAAATCTAAAGAAATAAATAGGAGATGAGTTGATTCTGGGTAATGTAATAAGATTATAAAGATCTGAATTGGTTTCAGATAGGTTGCTTTCACATGGGTGAGTAATGGTCACTTTGACGTGTTAGCCCAGAGGGTCATTGGTGAATCAGTTTAAAGCTCCTGTGAGCAACTTTCAGTTTGTGTTAATTTTGGCGCCCCCTGTGGACAAAGTGGTCTTTGCTTATTTTATTCTCTATCCTAAAGTAATTTGATGTTGATGGAAATTTATGATTTCTGATGATTATTTTATGTTTTAGTTTCAGGGGAAAATAGATAGACACTGACTTTAAGTGCTGTCTTGTTGGGGAGAGATTTACACCCCTGGCAACAATGCAGGTTTGTGAAAGCAAAAGTACAAGCTGTTTCAGGAAGAGAAAAACTGACCACTCAGAGGCCAAATTAACTGCAGTTTCGGTCTTGCAATGAGTGACAGAGGTAACTCTGCCCTCGCTGCAGGTCCTCTCACGAACAGCAGGCAGGTCCATTAGTAAGAGAAGAGTTCAGGAGTTTCGGGAAAATAAAACCGAACACACATTTGTAAGCTTTGGAGCTGTTCAGCTGCTCACAGGTGTGCTGAGAGGCACCAGCTCTGCTTTATAACTAAAAGGAGGCATTGCTTTGCTTCTGAGATGACAGAATAAAAGCAGAGGATGTCTGTCTTAACGGCAGCGGAGGTGTAAAATAATATTCACATCAGGAGAGGTAAACGTGTTGCTTAGAAACATCAATTTTTTACTCATAGACACAGTGTTGTATTGTCACCTAAAATGACAGATGGTGATATGTTTTTTTTTTGTGTGCTGGAGAGAAAGTGAAAACAGCTTCTTGTGGAAGTGAGATGGATTGTGACAACAAATCTGCAGCGTGTGGTCAGGAAAAGCTAAATGAACCAAAAACGCGGATAGTCAGATCAGGCTGGTTAGAGGTGATAATCGTGTTAGTGTATGACTGCCTGATATAGACCACAGTGGAGAACATCGTGGCCTTTTTCTGAGTATTTGAATTATTTATTTCATGCTGATACTTGTGTGTGTTCTTGTACCTGTTTGCATATGTGTGTGTGTGTGTGTGTGTGTGTGTGTGTGTGTGTGTGTGTGTGTGTGTGTGTGTGTGTGTGTGTGTGTGTGTGTGTGTGTGTGTGTGTGTGTGTGTGTGCAGATGCTCGTGTGCATGTGTCACAGCCCCCCTCTTAAACTACCAGATGGCAGTGCCTCCTAATCATGGTTGTGTTACTTAAGTAGTAAATCCCCCTGTTGGAGAAACCAACACACGGACACTGATCCAAACACACACAAACACACAAATATATGTATGCTTGGCAGCCATCAGTAGCATACCTTACACAAATAAGACTCTCAAACACACACACAAACACAGACACACATCACTAGTACACTATCCTTGCTTTAATGTGCACACATGTGACTACACATCGTTAATTAAACACAACACAGATCCACATCTTGGGATTTGTGGGTTGGCAGAATCCAGTCAAGTGGGAATCAACCGAAAGCAGCGAGTGTTTGTGTCCAATTAGAAATACAAAATGCGCTGTGTCATAGCTCAAATGAACAGGATTGGTCACCCACTGTGGCATCATGTCTCATCAGTATGGAGGAGTCCAATTCTCATCTGTCTGAGTGCCAAGCGAGCGCTTTTCTCACAATGTGGAGGAAAATTATGTAAGTAAAAAGATGGAGTGAAAGTAAAACATATTCATTTTTGTAGCCAAGTCTATATGCTCTCAAAATCTGCTCTGCAAATTATAATATGGAGGTGTTTGGTTTGACTTCTAGATGTGAGATGGTCCAAATATGAGATTTATTGAAGGATAGGTGCTGAATTGATTTGCATCCAGAGCATCTCTGGTGTCGTGTCCTATTTTAGATTCACTGTGATCCTGTCCCTCCTACTTGGGTTGGAAAAAAAAAAGCGGTTCATCCATGGCATATGAAAAGACCTAAATGAATTCATTTCATCTCAATCCTTTGTCACACAGCGGCTGTGTTTACAACACAGTGCATTCATGTTTATCTCCTGTAAACATATCTGCTCAGCATATGTCTGTTTTCAGAGCAGAATGATAGATGAGGATCTGCACAGTGGAGATGGAGCCGCACGTTTTATCAGGGTGTGTTTGTGTGTTTGCAGTCTTCACAGAAGCAGGGGTAATCACATGTCAGATAAGACGGCCTCTCCCTGACCCGCTCCTCTATAACTGTAAACTTTATGGGACAGACTTACACTGACTATACCACGCACCTCAAGACTGAGCCAGCAAGAAGGGAGTGGTTTAAATAGCTTTGTGTGTGTGTGTGTGTGCCGAGTCACAGAAAAGAAGTATGTGTGTGTGTATTAAATTTTCACACAACAATGCCCAGAGGCTCAGGTAGAAAATAAGCTCGGTAGCAATTGCTCAAGGTTTCTGTTTACTACAATGAGACACGACACACACCTCAGGCTTACTCGCTTCAAACATATGTTTCACTTTGTTACACTCTTCTATAACATTGTCTGTTTGTCAATAATACTCCTTAAAGGTCGTTCATATAAACTGATTTTCATCTTGGTTGTGAGTTTGAAGATCATTAAACTATGCTTTAACTTTGAAGGTTACAACTTCTGGTAGACAGGATACTATCCAATTTAAATTAAACTCATGAAATAACTGCATGCTTACTTTGAGCACAGTATAAATATTTGATTATTTTTAAAAGAGTGGAAGTGAAAACAGTAGCCACGTTTACATGTGCAAAATTTCTTGATCTGATTAAAAATTTGAGGGATGGGATATGGGTGCAAAATCAAATGATCCGATCATGACATTAGTAAACATGCATCAAGCTTTATTCAGAATAGAAGCATTTGGACATGCGCAGAGTTGTCTGATTTCACTAAAACAAGATCACAAGTTGTATTTATGCGTGTGTTGTCAACAAACCAACAAACGCGGTAGTGGTTCACTCCATCCAATTCAGGAGTTTTCCTTCTGTTAAATGTTGTCACTAAATGGCGCTCTTGTGTACTTATTTTACTGTTCTGTCAAAGGTTGCTCTGTGCGTGCAGATGTGACATCGTTACGCTGCATGTACACCTTGTTATGTTACCGGAGGAGCGGACACGGTACCTGCGGTTGATAATGAAACCTCCTGTACTGGCCCCAATAAGTAGCCAAGGGCTAAAGAGTGAAGATCGAGTCAGGTAAGAGAATCACGATCAGAATAAGTGTTTACATGGACGCATTTCGGGATAACGATCGGCATAAACCACCCCTCTCGATTGGAATGCAATTTCTTTCCAAATGAGCCGAGTTGGATCAGAATCTTCCAATCAACATGTTTACATGACGGATTTCTATTCCGATCGGGCATTTATTCTGATTATTTGTGCCCATGTAAACATGGCTACTGAGGGTTCGACTCTTGCAGTTTGCCGTTTTATTCATTTTGAATTGCAGCTTTCTGTCTTAGTGGGGTCGCTCTTTCTTTTGCAAACTTTTTTTCACTCCTGTGACGTATTTCGGCTCAACACAGTCAGTAGATAAAAGTTGATGGTTGTAGTAATCTAGGTGTTTTTACATGACTTGAAAGAGTTAAATATCCTCCTTTGGACAGACTTCATCCCTCTGAGATCACTTCCATGCATATTGCAATTCAATGGAAATTTCTGATTCCTCTCTCACACAGATGTTCACTGAAATTCAGCATCTAAATGACAAAAACTTAACGAGTACGGTCAGCACTATACGTCATTGGGTTTGTTTGCAGATAAGATAAAGCACACAGGCCTCAGGTAGTAAATCAGAGCTAAGTGTTTTTCTTGTCTTGGTGTGACAGCTTGGTTTTATTGTTTATTTACCAGCAGACATATTACAAGCAGGATGTCATGGCAGATTCTGTTTCCTCCACACTCCAGGGTGCATATGAAATGTACAAGGAAACGGTTCACCAAATACAGTTTTTCACACTGATGCACACAAGAAAATTGTCCTGTGAATGGCAGCACAATTAAAAAGTGTGTCTCTTCCCTTCAATGTTTTATCTTGCTTAAGCCTCGGTGCTAAGCACTCCCACGTGTGATCCTCTCCTGTCCCACAAAAAAACAGACTTGACGCAGCAGGTTGAGCAGATCGAGGATGTGGTTTCAGGAAATGAATGAAAACTATGAGTAGTCGACGGGTTGCTTCCTTGTTTCTAAATCCTTGTTTTAACAGAAACCAGCTCCTGCCGTCATTCAAAGAGATTAGACATGGTTTGTGGTGGCGAGAGACAAAGGATTTATAGAAAAAACTAAAACCATCATATTTCTTTGAGGAAGGAGAAAGAAGTGCCATAAGGAGCAGTGATATGGGAACAGAAGAAGTAACTGCACAATAAGTCACACTCTCTTCTTTCAACTCAAGCATTAAAAATGAAGAGAAAAAACACAATATTAGACTCATGTATCTTCCTTTCTGTTTTTGTATCTCTGTTGTTGTTGTTTTTTTTGTATGTATACAGAGTATATCCACGGCCTGTCTGCACCCTGATGTACATCCATAAGTAAAATTCTGGACAGCATGGAAACTCAGCAAGCTCTTGTATTTTGCTCACTATTAACCAGCAGACAAAAACACCAGTATCAAATGCTGAGATAGTTTTTTGGGGTGTTATTTCACTCAGAAAATGTCACTGTACAAGTTAAAGCTCAAACAGAGATACATACCGTATTTATCTTCTATATTCTAGACTTTACGGTAGATAAACTGGATTTTACCAACAAGCCTAGTATGCGGTCTTGCTCTGGTATGGAAACAGCTCCATGGCTTATGAAAAGGACCTGCAGAGGGTCATGAATATCACAAACACACATCATTTACAAAATGTAACATCTACACCTCTTGCTGTCTATGGGAGACATCCTGTGTTCTCAAAGACCCACAACCTGTTTGACCCTCTTCCCTCAGGAAAACACTACAGATCCATCAAAGTGCCCATCAACAGACTCATGAACCACTTCTATCCCAACGTCATCACCATAGTGAACACTGCACTGAAGACTCTGGGATAGAGACACAAGAGACAACTGCTGTGAATTTAAGAAGTGCAATACTCTCACAATCGATATACTCATTTTACTGCTACAACCCTCATGGAGTTTTCTTCTCCTATACTATTCATTCACTCAGTGCAAGATCCTCCTACTGTGTGTTAATGCTCATTTCATGCAACACCCCACCTCCCCCTTATTTTACTTCAAATATGTACATGAAGGTACCATGTATGTACGTTTTAAGCCTTTGTTTATGTGTGGGAGGATGTTTTCAGTAGGTTAGTTCGGTAGTTTGGCAGTCTAATCCTGATTCATACAGTCTTTTCTCTGATTGGTTATTCAAAAGGAAAAGGACTTTAGTATACTGGTTTAAATCAAAAATGGCACTGTGCCTCAAACTTGGACAAAGAAGTGCATGGTTTGACCAAATTATGCACGCTCTAATCTCACTAGAAGTTTCTATAGAGATATTTTCATTCAGCTTTATTCCAAGAGTATGCAGATTATGCATTAAACTACATGATAAGCTCTCTTGCATCCTATTTTGTTGATGTAGGTCAGGAAACCAGGACTGAAGCTGTAAGAGACACTTGTCAAAAGCTATATGTATTTAACATTAAAAAATCATCTTTTTGAGCTGAACAAAAAAGACAATCTGTCATAAGCTTCTTCTTTTGAACCAGTGGAGAGCAGCTGAGCCTCACAGCTTAGTGAACAGAGACAGACCCTATGTAGATCTGTGCAGAAGTCGTATGTAGTTGCAAATAAAAAATGATGGCTATGGGACTTTTGTGTGGCTAGAATGTCAGATTAATGCACAGTGATTCGCCAAATGTCAAAGATCATCCGTGTGTGTTTGCTCCTCAAATGGAAATGCTCTGCCTCGCCTGGAATAGAAAAAAAATCCAATTAAGCTGCACCCGGTGTGAACTGGGATTTGTTCTCAATAGTAGTAGAAACAAGGAAAAAGTTTGACAATGATTGAGTCACAAGGAAGAAATGTCGATCACTGACTTTACCAGAAGGAGTTGGAGATACGATGGCTTTTTTTTTAGGGGTTTTAACCTCACGTTTGAGTCTTGTACAAAGGGAAACCACATGTGTAGAACCATAGACCGTATATAGAATGGACAGCGTCTGCCTCCTTGCACCACCCCAAGAACAGCACCCTCTGGTGACAGGCTGCAGTATAGGTCATAAATACAGCTCCATTTTCAAAAGTTATTAGGGGGTTCATGTTTCCTATGATTGGCACCTGATACAGCCTATTGGCGTACAAAGATTGCGTAGCTCACCGGGGACTCTCGGTGACTCTCCCGCCGAATACGTACAATGCTACTGAACAAGTGGTGGAGCGCGTACAACGCTACCGCGCAATGTTGGTTTCAGGATGGAGACAAAATGCAGAATTACCAAGAACTTTTCAGCTTCAAATCTGTATACAGGCGGGAGGCAGAACCAAGTTGTCCATAGTATAAACAGTCTATGTGTAGAACATGAGAACAAGTGTTTAATGGCAGGTGGGGTGTTCCTGAACGCAACCTGAAACAGTTTTATACAGACTTGTGGTGGAGCCACCTAGGCTACCAACCAACCAACTACTGACTTTATTCTTAAAATTAAAGTTAAACTTTATTCTTGACATTTCTCCATTATCAGTGTAACAGGAGCCAAATTCGACTTTTTTCAGTTCCAATTTAAATCACAAAAAAAGGTGTTTTATACTTTTTTTTCCATTGATCTGAAAGTGGTCGATGAAAAACAAAAAACACACATTCGAAAAATAATGTCCTCAAACTTAGCCTAAATGGTCCCACTCTCTCATAATTGATTGACTACTTCTTCAGAAATAAACACCTATTTTGCACATAAACTCATTGACACCAGTCTGCGTATTCACCAATCTGCAGTGACAGCTCTCGGGTCCCACTCCGGACCGCTCCTCTCTCTCTTTCTTCCTGCCTCTCAATTGGTCCACACGCCTCGTCTGCTGGGAGGGGGGAGGAGGAGGAGGAGGAGAAGAAGGAGGAGGAGGGACAGTCGGAGGGAAACACCGAGTTTCATTTCAAACGAGAGAGAGCTAATAACTCTCCGCTCTCTCAAACACTGGCGTCTCGGTCCTGGACTGAATCTTTATGAATGGTAACCCGAGGAGAGCCAGAATCACTTCAACCAAGACGTCTGTTTGGTTTTTAGTTTTTCCACCTCAGGGGAACAAAAAAGTGTAAAAGCAAGAAGAAAGCTTGGATAATGTGAAAGCCAAAAAACAACGCGTGGAGACTGTGGACAGCGGTGGAGTGAACATATCCTGGCAGAGGATGGAGAAAAGAGGCGCAGAGACGGAATAAAAACCGAGTGTTTGGATGTGCTGACAGCTGCTCTCTCGTGCAGAAACGACGCGCGGCAGGCGTCGGGATTCCCTTTGTCCCCACGTGTGGATGAGCTGTGGGGGAAACACAAGGTAACCCAGAAGCCCTTTTTATCCGACTGTGTCAAATAGTATTAATCTGACATGATGTATTTCACCAAACCTAAGTGACTGCTTGTATTTGAATGTAACAGTCAAAAAGAGGTTTTGGTTTGCAATGTTTGTTTCATAATCATCCTGAAAATACAAGTTTAGGCTGTATACTGAAAGGAACCCTGTATACTTAAAAAAACAAGCTCAAACATTGATTTAATGACTAGATATTAACATTTAATGTCATAGATTTGCTGTCAAATATAAATTGGTAATGCATTTTTACATTGCCTCGATAAACATTTCAACAAGGCTCCAAGAAATAACAGTGCTGATGCCTTACATTGACTTTGAGCTCCTATTTTCTTTCTTTTAATGCATCATTCACTCATATTTCCATGTCATGTAGGACATTTCTTATTAGTCCCAACCTGAACATAAAATAGTATCATCCCGACTGGCATTTTCGCATGAAAAATGATGCACCTGAAGTACAGTGCCTTCCTTTGCAGTTTTAACCTTTGAATCCTGGGTCAATTGGACTCAATCGTCGATTTCAAAGGTGAGGATTAAGTCCTCAGTTCCCTAATGTGAGCTGTCAAAAGGTTCACCTGTCAGTAGGTTTTCCAGCTTGATTTCCAGTCCTGCACAGAGCGGCAGCTCTCCAGTTGACTGACAGCTACTTCCACTTCAATGACGCCTCAGAGCTTAAAGACAGATCAGTCCCGGCCTCTCTTGTCTCTCTTGAGGTGGTCTTGTATCATCACATCATTAGCTCTTTTCAACAGTCTGTACAAAGAGCTTGGTGAGCTGATAATATATTCAGATCTTGAGCTGAAATGGAAAATTGGTGTGATGGGGATCCCTGGCAGGTTGGAGAGTCTCCCAGCAGTGACAGCTCCAAACCAGCAGGGTGTCCCGCTTTGTGAAGGAAACTGTGAACAAACACATTAATCAGTCTGCTGATGGGCAGGCTGGCAGATGCAGTTCTTCTTTTAGTCTGTCTTTCTCATGTTGCCCATTATTTTCTTCACACCCCCCTGGCTCTGCACTATGTACACATCCTGTTACTCTCTCCGTACTTCCCTGCTTATCTCCCCTAAACCCTGCAGCTAATTGCCAACGTGCATTGCTGTGTTACATCCCACAAACTAAAGTCTACAAATGAAATGAGTATTTTAAGATAAATTTGGAAATTCCACAACTATTGTTAAGGACAATGAACAGTAAAACAATACAGCAGTTTAAGTGCCAGTTTGCAGAGATGGTTTTAGTTTAAATCTAAGCATTAAGTTGTCAATCCTGGTCTTAAATTAACATGATTTTCTGAATTGAATGCTTTTTTGTACCCTTTGGCACACCGTAGCCAAGCAGCCGCAGTGTCCTCCTGCTTTGTGTTGCAGCGGAGTTTGCCACAGACTTTGGTCCCCGGTTATTGTTAAAAACAGAGACATTAACCCTCACTTGCACCTTCGTTTAGACGCAAATGGAGAATTCGCCCCTGAAAACTCTAGCCAGAGTGGAGATTTTGGAAAACTTTGTTTGCACATTTTCCAGTAAATGGAGAAAAGCAAAGGTAAACTGAGATTTGGGTAGCCGAAGGCAGATTGTGCGCAGGAAAGAAGAAAGGCATGTTGTTGTTGTTGTTGTTGTTGCTATGCAGGATTCTGATTGGCTAATGTGGGCTTGAGCTTCTCACTGCATGTTTGACATGCTCTTGATGGCATATATGCAAGGGGTAAGTGTAAATGAAAAACGTTTCTGAAAACGTAGTGGTGTTCACGCATTTTTTTTGTAAATGGAGAGGGTGAAATGTCCGTTTCTGAAAATAGCCGAGCACGTGTAAACATAGTCTTAACCAAGACAAACTTTATTGAAGAAGTTGATCCCAGTGTTTGCTTAATTGGTATCAGCTGACTTCAGGTCAGTCAACACTGTGGGGGGAATTTTTTGTGTATTTTAACAGAGTGAGCTCTTTGACACTTTCTCCTGTGTCTTAGTCATGGTTCTTGACTATAGCGCAGCAGGGCATTTATCTCAGAATTACTTTAACTTGTTAATATGAATAATTTATCTCACCTCCTCCTCTTATTTCAAGTTTCTTTTTCTGCAACCAGCATGGACCCTATTCTTGCTAAGTCATTCAAAAAAGCAGCTCTTCCCATCAAAACTGTAAATCAGTCAACGTACGCTAAAGAAAGAAAAACAGACAGAGAGCCCACAGACTAGAATTTTGTGAATCTCCTCTTGAAGATATCGTCGTGTCCGCATATTCAACCATCACCTCTCTATTTGTCTCACTGTCATTGATTAAAAACTGCATTTTGTGGCATTACTCCTTGTTCCACCCAAAACTCTGGGCTCTATTGATCTACTGCCCTGCACTCCGTGTGTAAATGTGGAAACCCATTGATTTGTTCGCTGAGCTCTTAGAGGAGAGCCACTAGTACATTCAGTCCTGCAGCGTGCGAAGGATTATAACTAATTCTGCCTGTAAAGATTGACTCATGCTATTTACAAATATTTAATTAGTACCATTATGGAGCCCAAATTGCTCACACTGACCCACTTTGAGGTTGTAATTGAACGCTGTATAATGCAGGCTCAGTGATTGCATTAAACAGTGTGTGGTGTTGATGTTGGTTACACACTGGGCTATGCATGCACATTAAAACCTTTTTAGATATTCATTACAGTAATCGTACATCCAGTAATTTAGCACCCAGGGTGCGTACAAACCAATTAGCCTGCTCGGAGTCACATACTGCACATCCACATTGTATCTTCACATCATTGCTATTCTGGAGAAATCTCGCATGTTAAAAAAAACATCAGCCTTTCACACACAAATGAAAACAGTGCAGGTTCTCTCCTCCCAGCTGCCTCTTCTGAAATGTTTTATTCAGCTATTGATTACCTTTTGTGTGTTTGAATTGTGGCGATGGAAGTGGTTTAAAAAGTGACAAAGCAACAGCAGGGTTTAGCCTAGATAAGCCAGTGCACACATACATCGTTTACAAAAGGCAGGTGTTCGTTTATGTCCGCGAACTACAATCAAAATTCTCTTGACCTATCCTCTGAGTCATGAATTACACCCTCTGACCTTTTTCCTGAGAGATTTAAGCCCGAAGGATGTGCTCCAGGACCTGCTTCAGCCTGACTGAACCCTGTCAAAATAATTGTTGAGTGCTTATGTGGCTCAGGAGATCTCAAAGCTTGTGAACTGCAGTATCAACAGCTGTAGGTGTTGCTTTTACGAACGCATGCCCCAGTTTTCTGAACATTTCTCTTGACCTATTACAGGAGAGCACATAGAGGCGAGATGACGGCGAATAAAAGGAGACAGAAAGGTGGAACAAGTTAAGAAATATCCTCAGCTGCAGGAAAACTAGGTTCATGGTCAGTGCTATAGCCAAAACAAGCAGGCGTCCCACATGGCCTAGTTTAAGGGCT